TATTGAAGCCCTTTGATATCTATTTTGGTAAAATTAAGAAAAAGATATTTATGTAATGTATGATAAAATTTGATAAATCTGTTAAATTTGGCAATTTTAGCAAATTCACCTTTAAGTATGGCATAAAAACCGTTTATTTGGTTTGATTATTTTTATAGTTTTGTAATTCTTACTAAATATGTGGTCATAAGATTGAAAACCAGAATTTCTGATCAACTTTTATCGATCGGATGGAGAAACTACCTAATGAATGGCTTTAAACACCGTATTATATTTCAGTTTAATTAATCAGAAATATGGTTTTTTAAATGCTACCTCTTTATCTTACAGTATGGTAATTTAACCAGAAATTTTTTCTCCTCGTTGAAATAGGTTTTTAAACATTTAATTTTTTATAATATACGAAAACTAAGATTTTAATTATAAACTTGGCATTATGCATTCCATTCCGTATGTCTATATTTACTATTAAATTTCAACTTATTTAAGAAATTATTTTTTCAACATATTAGCTTTATAATATACTAACACGAGAACACTCCGTGTAACACTGCAATTGAAATTCTGCAATACATTATGTATCTCTAAACGATATATTTCACGTTAAAGTATTCAATTCCATTTCCTGAAGAAATAGGTTTTAAAACATTCGATTTTTCATTATATGATAATAAAGGAACAAATATTTCAACAATAAACTTGACATTATGCATTAAATTAAGCATGTCTAAGAGTTATAATTTTCAGTTACTCATAAGTTTTACTTTTTTAAAAAGAGGCTTTCAAATGTTCCATTTTATAATTATACTATTAATAAATAAGTAAAATTTATTAATTCAGCAACGTAAGAAGATAAAGTACACTCTCTGAATTAGATGTATCTCTCTATTTTAGATTGTATGTTTCCAAATAATATATTTTTTTGTCATTATAAATTTCTTCTGTCAGTCAAAAGTGGTTTTTAAATATTCTATTTTCAAAGTAAAGTAACAATGTAACCAAAGTACGACATTAAACTTGACATTCAGCAATAGATTTTGACTATAGAAATCGTCCTGAGGCCTTAACTAATTCAATAAACTATGTCATTTGTTGTTGTCGTAAGCCATTAAGGAAAGGGGTACGTTTGTTCTGGTTTTCCAGTGGCGCCATCTATGAACAAGAATGCGACTTCTGCAACACATATACATCACATCTGTTTCCTAGGGAGGACCAAATCATGTATCCATTCATTCACCCACTGATCAGATCATAACTTTTACCTGAATGAGAGAACGATCAATCTCCAATTTTGTACCCCCAGAGAAATAATTTGTTATGGAAACATGGAGGGCGTTATGATCCAACATTTAACATGCATCAGTAACCATTTATCTTCGAATGGCGAAATTCGAGCTTCCGTTCTGACAAACGGGATTACAGCTCAGCTTTTTCATTTATTATTATAATTTATTTATTTACATTAAAACACAGAAATTGAACTAGATTTCAATATTTTAAACTGGAACGTGTTTCTCTTAAGAAACAGGGCGCTTTTTTTAAAAAGGAGTGTCACTTAAAAGAGCACTTAAAGAGCACTATAAAATTCATAATTGATTACACAATACAAAAACAATTTAAATAACACAATTTGATGAAATATGTCAGTTACTTGGAATAAATTTAATGCAACGATAACATCATTACAACATAATACAACGATACATAATACAACGATAACATCATTGAAGCTGCATATCACTGAGCTTAAGTATTCTCTCAAGTTCCAGATTGTCTCGCTTCACTCCAAATCAAAGACAGTGCGTGTTGTCTCGATTCTAATTGAATTAATTATACAGCTGCTGTTAATATAATGACATCAAGCATATCATCTTTCAATTACAGATTGAATACAGAGAATGCTGAAGATACTGCTGATGAAATAAGTTGTTAAATGCATATTACAGTGAGGTTAATAAAGCAACTCGAGGTTAAAAGCAGTTGTAATATAATATTTCAAATGACATATTTTGGAATTCACAAATACTGCTCAATTGAAGAATCTGAAATTCATTCATTAGAAAATTCCAATTGAATTTACAATATTCAATGTATAAGATATCACTGAAAAAAAATTCAATACTGTATTACAAATGAGATAAAGGTGCAATTTGACTGTTGTTATTACAAAAAACATTTTAACTGTTGTTATTACAAAAAAAAATATAAACATTTTGTTACAAATATTAAAACAAAAAAAAACGAATCTAAAATTTAAATGTGTAATCATCTGATTAAATAAAATGTATTTCAATTATGAATTACACATTAATATTAGAAAAAAAAATTTTATTAAATAAAACTTATCGAAACAAAATTGTATTCGAAATTATTATTAATGCTTTCGAATTTTTAAAATAAAAATGTCTATTTTTATTTATTACTGCATGATTTTTGCTAACCTTTAAATGAATGATATAATAGTATTCAGTTACAATTAAAATACTAGTATTTACTAGTATATGACGAGTATATAATGAGTAATATCATGATTTACCTTGCATATCTGAGGTCAATGACTTCTACATAGTGGATAGTTAAAAAAATTATATTTCAAATTTAAAAGCAATTAATTAAAAATATCTAAAATAAATATTCTAATATAAATAATAAAAGTAATTTTAAAAAAAGAAAGCATACAAAAAAAATTAAAATGGAAAATTTTTCTGAGTCCCCCAAAGCAGAAAAATGAACTTTTTCTTCTTTCATAAAATTTCCCAATCTGATAATACCTTATTTTACAGTTGATAAATCCTGAGGAGTCCTGATAAGGTGAGAGCACTGAAAAGCCCTTTGTTATTGTTGAGCTGGTGGAATCCACCTGAATTCACAAAATCCGTGTCGTAGAAGCCCCTCTATCCACCTACTGATTCTAAATATCGATATCTCATATATATTATAAAAGAACATCAGTTATTTAGTTCTTCAATAGTATTCCAACGTATTCACAAAACTCTCAGAAAAAAGGCCCTTTCAAATGGAAATTAAAAGCTGTTTTATTTACAATTAATGATATTGAGATACCTTCTTTTACAGTTGATAAATCCTGAGGAGTCCTGATAAGGTGAGAGCACTGAAAAGCCCTTTGTTATTGTTGAGCTGGTGGAATCCACCTGAATTCACAAAATCCGTGTCGTAGAAGCCCCTCTATCCACCTACTGATTATAAATATCGATATCTCATACATATTATAAAAGAACATCAGTTATTTAGTTCTTGAGTTCTTCAATAGTATTCCAACCTATTCGAAAAACTCTCAGAAAAAAGGCCCATTAAAATGGAAATTAAAAGATGTTTTATTTACAATTAATGATATTGAGAACCTCTTTAAGCTTTATTGTTCACAAAATATTATTTTAAAGTGCTAAATAAACTATTTAAAAATTTGCGCAAATAAACCTTGTAACAGTGATGGTCATAAAATCTGAAATAAACTTCCAGAAGGGAGAAGTTGAATTTATCATTATTTGAGAACGCTTTCCACACTTGGTTTGCAGATGATGTTTCATTCTCGATTTCAGAGGGTTTCTTTAGACTTGTTTTGTTAAGGTCGTTCAATCTTGATATAAAAAGGCTGTCTATGCATGCTTAATGTGACTCTCACAACGCTTAAACTAGAACAGTTAAACGTAACATTGTTTCAAGCTTCTATATTCTAATCATTTATAAACATTATTAAGCATTGTAATAAAGGTTGTTGCTGATATTAAAATTAATCTTACACTGCTAGCTCAAATATTATCCCAAGTAATAGAAATATTTCACGTTCGTTTGTTTCTTTTCATGTAAATACTAGCAATAGTTAAATGCTTTGTAAATAAAAACACAAAAATTATATTCAAAATTTTATTTCATTATCCTAAGAAATATATATACAAACGACGTTTCTTATTTGACACATTTTCGTCATAAAAGACTTTTAATATACAAATTTCTATTAGTCTATAAATGCATCTTTCTTCCAATTATTTAAACTCACTGTACAAAGATGTGATACAAACATTGCTTCATTTCCTTAACAAAAAAACAGTTACTTATTAACAAAAGAGATTACTGTATGCGTAAGATGAAAAAATATTCAATAAATAAAGTATGTCAGATAAAGTGAAGCTGTAAAAATTTTTCTAAAAGTATTAAGTAATGGCCTTTTTTAACTAAACAGTTATAGTTTAGCAAGAAATGTATAAATACAATTGGAAAAATAAATCGTAAAAAATATAAATATCGTTCTGTAAATTAGAAAGTAGATTCCCTCACTAAGTTCTCTGTAAAATAGTAAAGTAGAAAATAAACACGAAAATATTTGGAGATATTAATAAAATATAAGTAACGGCCACGCTTTTTGTAATATAAATAATAATTGTGCAGTTATGTAGAATTTCAAATAATAAACAGTTTTTGCCATTACGTTATCTGTAAAATGCGGAAATAGTACAAAAAATAACTACTTCAGGCATGAAATATTAAGTAACGTTCCTGCTTTAAATATTGTTCTAATATATTTTTTTAATCATAAAACTAGTGAAAAAATTTTATATAACTTTCTAACAAAATTCAAACTGTGTTTTGTTATTAAAAAAAATTATTTCCTGACCTCAATATTTCAAAAAAATAATTGAAAACGAAATAATAAAATGTCCAATTCTTTTAAAACACGCTATCCAATCATACAATGTTTAACAAAAACAGACATGAAGACATATTAGAAAGCACATCAGCTCAGCGACAAAAATGGAATGTTTAGTAGAAAACAAAAGTAGTATAAACACACAATTCTTTACAAAAATTATTTTAAAAAATAAGCATAGCTTTGTGCACTACGATTTCTTTTGCAATCTATTTGCATTTTATCACCTAAAATATAGCATATCTGCTTCAGCTTTCTGCAGCAGATAGTTACATAAATTATTTTTTTTCTGCAAGGTTAGTAACACTTCAATATCTTTTTTTTAATAATAATAATAATAACATTTCTTTGTAGATATCACAAAATTTGAAACACTAAGTAAGAGTCTGTTTTCGTATTTCGTCGTTGAGGTATCCACAGTAGCAACATAGAGCTGATATCGACAATCAAGACTTGAGCAACTCGCGGTATACTGATGTAGTACTTTAAATACTATCTTAGGCTTTGAAAAGTTTTTGAATGCCCTGGCACTACAAAAATTGTCTTTGTCCACACCAAAATCTTGGATATGTCACAATAGTGTAGAAGCTATATGTGTGTTTGTGACACAGCTCTGTGTTGCATAGTCGAAATTGGCAATATTTTTAAATATTGGACGATTGTCCATTTGTAAAAAGCTTCTGTTATAATTCAGTGACTGGATTGGTGTTCCTTCTGGAGGACCAACTTGTGAATCTGGAAGCACCGGAGAATCCCGAGCCACTGAAAGAAAAAAAGAATTGCTTAAACGAAATATAAAACAGTTTAAAACAGCATGAAATCTCAACAAAAAAATCTCAATTGCAGTAAATTTAATATAAGACGCGATGGCTCATTGTAGAGAGAGTTCACCTTCTTATGAGCAGGGGTGATTGTGAGCCCAAGTCAAAATTTCGGCAAATATCTTGAGTTTAAAAAAAAAATTTTAAAAAAAATGTTTAAATTGAAAAAAAATTTAAACAAGGTTTTTTTTTCCTTTTTCTCAATATTTAGTTTACTTAAAATATATTTAAAATTTTACACATACCTATACCATTTACACAAACCTATGATGACCTGGAGAAGTAATTAAAATTTACAAATATGTCTTTCTTTTTTGAGTTTATGATTATAATCACTATTTACTGATAAAAAATGAATATTAATCATGAATATAAGCTTATAAAGTATCTCTCTGGCTCTCCTTTACAAAAAAATAAAATAAACTGTGTTTTTAAGTTCCACCTTCAAAAATTTGATTTCCGGAAACTTCTGTGATCAATGATTTTTTGAAACGTCTGGACCTTCGATCTCCGGAAACTTCCGGATCACTGTTAGCGAAAATTCCGGAAATCCGGATTTTTCAGGAGCACAATCAGTCCTGTATAAGGGAAACTAAGTTCGAATCCCAGCTGTGGCAGGTTGAAAAGAATTCTTCTCCCTGCCCTCTCCGATCACAGTGCTGACTTAAAAGTTTCTTCAATGGTAGACGAAACATGGGTTAGAATCCCCTTACCGTCGGACTAACCATGAGATGCTTCCGTGCTTTTCCTCTTCGTGTAAACAAAGGCGAGCAAGTTCCACCGAAAAGTCTTCCACTATTATAATTTTATTACTCGCAATTTTTTTTAAAAACACTGCAAACAAGAAAGCATATCTACCTAACAAAACGTAAAAAATTTAAACAATGTATGTTAATATTTCAACAATGTTTTAATTTCATATAATTATATTTTCAATACCAAGATCATCATTTCGTATCGTACCATATTTTTTTTAATAGAAAATAGTTTATGAAGCATTAACACATATATATCTATACTGAAGAATAATAATTTTAAAGTATGTTATCTTTCTTCCCAATAGCCCATTCATATTGAGCCTTATCCCTAAAGCAAAAAGTACTAATAGCAGAACAATTTGGAACAATTGTTCATTATTGAAAAACATCTCCTCTCCTTTCAATAATGACATTTCCCTTATTGATATAAAGCAGTGTAAAAAAGAAAATGTATTACTTACTTGAATTTAAAAAATCATATAATTTTCTTTATTTTATTCTTATTTTTGAACCGAATTTCTATTTTTGTATGAGCCCAATCGACGTGATGAAACATGCTATAGCGATATAAGTGTAAAATCACAAATTCGTATCGTGTATAGATATTGTATCGTCCATGTAAGAAATTGTTAGTTCATGAGTGCATACACACACAGACAAACACACGTCGTAAATATTAAAATATCTATTTACTTATAAAAGGAATGGATTTATAAAGACAGAATTAAAAGTATTCATAAATGTTTCAATATTAATTATTTTATAAAATGAAAGATTTCGTCATCTAAAAATTTTAATAATATATCTAGAAAGAGTTATTACCATTATTAATACAAATAATATTAGTATTCGAAAAAAATTTATTATAAATTATTAATTCAAATGATAGTAGTTTTCTTGAATACTCTCCGATCGTTTATAAATAATAAAAGTTAAAACTTTATTGCCTAGGTATAATTCTACTTCTTCACTGTAAAAATTTCTAGATCAAATTACGGTAAAATGTACCGACACTCAGGTTGCCGGTACATTATCCCGGAATCTATTTTAACCGGGACATAAAATAAAAAATCTGATATACCATTATTTTACAAGTAATAATTACCGCAAAATCACTGAATCCCTCTAATTAAATAGGTATTACTGTACAAATTACAGTACATTACGCTAAAAATGGATATTACCGATGATTCATCCAAAGGTGCCGGTACTTAATACTGTAATTTGATCAGGAATTTTTTACAATGTGGTAGCTTTAATTAGCATAATAAGCTTCGTTATTATTGATATTAAAATTATTATTCATTTCAATGAAAAAAATTTTAAATGATAGAAAATGAACCGTATTTAAATAATTAGTACAAAAGTATTGAAGTTTGAAGTAAGGTTATTAAATTCACAAAATTAATTCTTTGCCAGAAACTTTAATAAAACATTTAATGTGACTGGTTAAAACAGAATACATTACATACGCAACACATATTACTAAACCCTTTCCTTTAATTTTAATTTCCTCGTTCTAACTTCGAAACTTAAATTTGGTTTGGGAAGTTCATTCATGAATTAAGCAAGTGATTTAAATAGTTAACAAAGGTGAGAAATAAAATATATTCATTGAACCGTTAAGCCAGTTTTCCTTTATTTCGATTTAAAAGCGAACTCTAACATAAACTTTCCCTTCTTCTTAGAAACAGAACAAAATCCCTGAGATATTTGACAGAATATTTAATCTTTGTTGCACTATCGCAAAAGGGTAAACTGACTTTTTTTGACTTTCTCCAAATTTGTTTCTTTGACTGTTCAAATAACATTACTATTTAAATTTCAGATAAAAGTTAAGTAATCCCTTGTTCTGCTTCATCAAATGTTTAAAAACAATGAAAAAGCTTCTGTGAATGAAGTATTATCATTGTAGATTAGGAAAAGGGATTTAGATACGTTGTTACTATATTTATGATCCGTTGTGCAAATTCAAAAACCAGACATCGCTTAAGTATGTCTCGATATTTAAATTAAAGTTTGCGCAAAATTGTTGATACAAGTTAATTATAAAATAAATTTATGCAGTTGAAAACTATTTAAAGAAACTCTTGAATCAAGATTATTGTGAATGACAAAAACAATTTTCTCTTATTCTGCGAGTAAACGTTATAGAGCATAAGTTCTTGGCTAACTATTTAAAACAAATTTTAATAGTGAAGAAGATGCTAATGCTAAGCAGTTTAGAAATAATTTAAATAAAAAAATTCAAAATATTTTCGAAAACTTTCATTAAAATTGTTTACAAACTCGAAATGAAAAAAAAAAAAATTATGCATATTATTTCTTTGTTATCTTCTCCTCTTAGTCAATATTTGTTCTGTTGTTGCTGAGATTAGTATATTTTACATTATCTTTCTCATGGTCCAATGCTTTTATATAATATCATTTAACTACCAAATAACATTATATTTTGACATTAATTGTTTTCGTAGTAAATCATCAAATTTGAAGTTCTTACAATCACTCGTTTATTTCATTGCGATCGAAATGAGAGTAAAATTATAGCCATCAATCATTGATTTTCCGCCCATTTTAAACTGTTGCCTTTAATAATACTCAATTTGAACTAATGAAAATTGAATCTCAAACTCTATTTTTAAAATATTCTAATTACTTTATATTTATAAAAATATTTTATTCATGAGTGAGTACTCATGGCATATGTTACGTAACTATTAGATGTTAAAACGTAGGGAGTTACATAATCGTATTAATAAAGTTGCAGTACCCTTATGTTGAATTAAAAATGCATAATTTTCGAAATATATTTTCATAATTATTATTATTACTATCAGATTTTCATATCATATGTTTTAGGAATATTTAATGTCTTACAAATATACTTATTACTAATAATATTATAAGTTTCTTTTACTTTAGCACATAAATTTTATAACAAATTATACAAAAAAAAAAAAAAAAAAAAAAAAAAAAAAAAAACGTTAAGATAGGTTAGGAATTTAAAATAAAATAATAAATGCAAATAAAATAGTTAAAAATAAAATCAAATAAGAAAAACAAAATAAAATCAAATAGGAAAAACAAAATAAAATAAAATAAGAAAAACAAAATAAAATAAAATGAAAATGACATCTACCTACATGGAGTCCGCTCCATCCCTCATATCATACCACTGATTATCGTTTTTATTATATTTTTCAAATTTAGGACTGGCATTTGAAGGATTAAGCGATGAGGCGCCATCTGGTGGCATTTGTTGTCTAGATCTTCTATTATTTCTCTTCATTGACTGGTTATCGAGGCTATCATTGTAGTCAGGCCTGAAATAATGCAAAAACATTTGTGTTTAAAGTCAACCCGCAAGAAATATAAGATTTATTAGTTATTAATCCTAAAAGTTAATTGATTACTTATAAGTAATTTATTAAAAATGAACCATTGGTGTCACTGTAGAAAAGTCAATTCTACATTTTATTAGTTTTGTCAGAGAAACAAGCCAATACATTCCTGTCAAATAAGAAAAAGTGCCAAATGATCTTACATTCACTTCATCTATTTCAACATACATTTCTCTATTAAATCTGAAGTATTTAAACGACAGTAAAATATATGAAGAGTTTCTACTCTAATGCTAGAGCATATAAAATACTACTCATTTTTATTTTTATCTTTGCGCTCCATAATGGCTGTAGTCTGGCCCAAACGATTTTAGAGCCACGCTACAGCAAAATCTTAACAGTTAGATTGAAGAATTGAAGAGGTTATCGAGTTTTCATTCTTTTTAAATTGAATTTATAAAGTTTTCCATAATTGTTTAGCCATTTGTTTTATTGCAGTTCCATGAAATGTTGATTCGCTAAAGATGTCGTTTGTTAATGAAGAAAAAAATATCTTTTGCTAAATAAAATTGCGATAAATTCTGATATTAATATTTTAATTTCTTACTATCTTTCTTGTTCTTAGCTATATTTCTATGTATAATAAAATACATATATATAAGGGTGACATGCACTATTCATCATTTTAAACTAAAAAATAAATGTTGAAAAGCTTTATTATTGAAGTTTTTTTTTCTGCATTTATAGCAGAATTTATTTTATGAGGGATTGAAATAATCAACAATAAATAAAAATATGCCAAAAGTATTTTTCCGTATTATAGAATCATGAACTATAATACTGAAAGACGATTCACTCTGACATATTTATAATAGAATATGGTAATAAGCACCTGGCCTCCGCAACACGCTCCCTAACCACCGGAAGCATTATATTCGAGTTAATTTCAATTCCCTAAAACGCTATAGGAAAAAGTTAAGTGCTGTTAGACACACAGTTCTTACCACAGGAAATCGTACTCAAGCTACAGAATAAACCTCAATAATCTTACAGTTTTTTCTACGACAGTATATTAAAAGCGTAGCATATATAGGAATAAAAAAGGAAGGAAATGCTTTATGGATAATAAAACTTACACTGAAAGGTCTCCGTTTGCGTAAGCAGCTTTGATGTTGTCAACTGTACCATTCGGCGTACTTCGACTACCGTATGGATTACCTAACGTTTTTCCCATAAGTGGATTTTTGATATTATACAACCGCTGCTGCTCCCAGGAAGTGTGTCTTCGTCGGACTTTCCTACAATTAAAAAACGTCATTAAAATAAAACTAAAAATTGCAAATCATTTTTGTGATATCTGTAAGTTTTTACTTATATTAAAATTGGGTTAACTAATGGAATCTTTTAAAGAAACTATTTTTTCTACCATTGATCTTGTTAGAAATTTAAAAAAAGTAAAGTCCACTTTTTTGTAACATTTTTTTTCGTATATGGCACATTTGTATGCATCTGTAAAGAAAAAAAAAGTATTAAAAATTAAACTGTATTTTGTAATTCAGTTAAAACTTCAAAACTTCTTCCATTCAGTTATGTGCGTTAAGTTTCGAGAAATTAATGAATAATTTAAACTTTTTTGTGAGATTTTACCAAATTTTTTGAGGTATGTACAATAACAAAAATGGACTTAAATATTGTTTTTGATTTAACTGATAATAATACGCTTAATAACTAATAAAATTTTGTTTATTTTATATGAAAGTTGCAATACTTTAGTTTGTCTTTGATTTTATGCCGCATTTGGAAAAAAATAAAAGGAATCTAAGTCTAAATGCAATTATTTTTTTAAATTTAAATTTTGCGCATATTTTAAATATTGCGCAGTTATATTTGCACTTTATTGATACGCTTATATTATTCAGTTAATATATCATTCAGTTACTCCTTATATAACAAAACTAAATCATATCTTGTTTTCTTATTAACATCGATATTTTCTTATTAACATTTTTCGCAATATGAAATAATGTTTAATAGTCTTGTTTTTAAGTAATAAAATAATATTTCAAATTTAAATTTTTCTTTATTTTTCAATTTCAAGATTTCAAGTTATTATTAGACTCAAATTTTCGAGAATTGAATAGACGTACATAAGAAATATTTATGGTACATATTATTTTCTTTTAAAAAATGTCTAACAATTTCTTCTATTTACTTGCATCAAATGATATAAAATTTAATCAAAGCATAAGATCATACTAAAAACAATTTTGTCAATAAATTTAATTTAAAATTTAAATCAAGTTTCAATTCATTTAACTCATCATTACTCCAACAAACTACTAAATTCTTATTCTAACCTAAGTAAATATAAGTGTGCATCTGGGGAAAAAAACAGTTCTTTACTTTAATATTGCAACACTTTTAAGCATTTTAACCAAAAAAACTATTTTGTAATAAGTTAGATTGAACAAAAACTATTTTTAAAGATAACTATCGAAATTAGTCGTAAAGAAAAGAAAAAAGGCACTGGATTAATGGCTCATACTCAAAAGATCCTTCTAAAATAAATCAATTACCACAAAAGAATTCTTTGTTTTAAGCCATTTTTCAATAACTTAATTACCGTCATCTAAAACCAGATCTACGAAATTTTAGGAATTTTACTTCCATTAAAAGTCTAGACACAAAGTTAGCATCGATTTCCTAATCATAGAATTCTGACATTTTCAATCGAACAACTAATATATAATTTTCACTTTTCGCAACATGAATTAATAAAGTTGTTTCATACTATATTATCGAAAAATAGAATTTTTGGTAGAAGAATAGTAAAAACTCTTGAGAAAACTACAAATAAAAATTTCCTTATCATTATCGCTGATTTATTGCAATAATTCGTTTCAAGGAATATCTGAAATTTAAAAAAGCAAGTAAATATTGTAAGTGAAAAACTATTGACGAAATTCACATCGGTGGAATCAATTTCATATTCATTTGATTTATATAAAAAGGTATTTGAATTTTTCCCTGGAAATCCATAAAACAAAATTATATCATTTAAAAGAATTATTTCATTTAAATGGGGGAAATATATCTAGTTTTTTAGCACTAAAACAGGTTCTTCATCATAAAATTGAAATATAGATATTATTTGTGCACTTTTCGCACTATTTAGCTTTATTCTGAAATAGTTGGAGAAAATTTGTTCTGATATTCTTAATAGTATTATAAATTTAAATTCAATTGAATATAAAATTTCTAAGTAATAAAATTATAAGTTAACTTATAAGAAATAAATAAAAATGGTATTGAAATATACTGTTTCTAAAAGTTCATAAAATAAATTTGAATTAAGTGAATCGAATATTTAGAAATAAATAATTTCATTTATTGATAAAAATACATTCTGTATTTTGATACTGAAAAAAGGTCATCATGACAGAACTGAAAAGGACATTATTTGTGCCTTTTGTGATATTATTTGTGCACTTTTCGCGTTCTTAGCTTTATTCTGAAGTAGTTTGTGAAAATGTGTACTAACATTTAGTTTTTTTGTCTTGACTAAATTTAAATATAAAAAAACACCGCAATAATATTTATTGTTCAAACGCATGTAAGAAATATTTTGTTTTTCTCCGAAATCGCTTAACAAATTAAATTAATTAGCAAAGTACAACACTACTAGATTACAAATTGACTCAAAACGCTCGATGTAATTTTTTGTTTTTGCTGTTATTGTCTTGTCTATGAGAGTGCTAAAACGTACAAAAATTTGGAGGAAGAGTTTTGTAAGTTTTTGCGCCCAACGACTGTATAAGATGTCCTCTGGTGGTGAGACGAGTTTAAACAATTAATCTAGAATAACCTGGCAGATGAAAAGGTGTTTTGGCGTTAATTGGGCAATAAGGTAGAATCTGGTGGTCTTGTCTGGAGGTATCTTCACGTCCCTAAAGTGTCGTGTCCGGTGTCTGGACAGTTAAGATTTTGAATGAAAGGTTTTTATAAAGAGTTCTTGAAAAGTCTGCCCTTGGCGATTGCATTTGCCCCTGCTAAATGCGTTTTTTTGTTTAATTTAAATTTTGTTTCTTATTGTAATCGAGTTATATTTTTTCGTTTTTTTTTTTTCATATTTTATACTTTGTCATTCAGTTTTGCATTCATTGCCTATTCATTCAGGTGTGAAATATCCAATAATTTCTTACTTCGCAGTTTAATTTTCACCGTTATATACAATGCAGAATGTTCAGTTTAGTCGTAAGATATGCATAAATAGTTTTAGTCATTTACCTTTTCTTGCAAGATGAACAAAGAAGAGCGATTCCTAGTACTGCTCCAAGGAAAATAACACTGCTCAATGCAATGATTGCGATTTCCGTTGTTCCCATTTGGCTTATCTTTTCTTGAACAGAAACACCTTGTATTCTCTGAATATTAAAGTTGTCCAAATTTGAAACTATTAATTCAGAACGCTGCTCCAGAGAACTGTGAAAATGGGAAAAAATTTGTTAATAATACATAATAAAAATAAGTGTATTTACCAAAAAATTTTCTTACTTAAATAAATAATCACAGAAACTAAATCAATAAGATATTACCTGATTAAAAACTTCATTCACTTCAAAAATATATAAAAACCAATGTTTCAAGTGCCTCAAAAATCAGACAAACTAGACGCCCTTAAAAATTTAGACTTAATGAACACGATATGTCCATTATCAAGAATTCGATAAATCATCTATTGCAGGGCATTGTTGGAATATTAGGCATAAATTCAATTTCGACAATTTAAAAATCGTTTCCACCACACTCACATCAGCTCATCTTGATTCCCTGGAATCATTTTCCATTCATGGGATTTCCGTGTTGTTAACGACATTAGTTCTTCCATATAGCACGCAAAAATGCATTTTACCCTGAATTGCACCTCTCTGCCAATCTGGTCTTTCTTCTTTTGTTTTTCATCTTTTTTCTCTCTCTCAGCTACTGTGATTTCTCTAGTTTTGTTTCTCACCTTTATATTTTCCTTTTTCGTTCTGCACATTTACGTTTTTTATTTCAAATCACTTTTGTTCTTCTCATTCACGTCCTGGAATCTGGGCACCTATTTTTGAAGCACTTGGAATGATTCGGGTATTGTTTTCTATTTATATATTTTTGAAGTGAATTAAGTTTTCAATCAAATAATTTTTCTTTATACTGCTATTTTCAGTACTTTTAAGAATACTCACTTCAGCAGAGTTTCAGTATCAACAATATCATTGGTGTCTCGATGTACAGCGTATAAGAAGAGGTCGGTACTGCAAAAATGAAAAATATTTTATTGAATACTTTTTTTATCAGTTCCCGTTACAATAATGTGCTGAATTTCTCTATGCATTTTTTTTAAGTTTTAAAACAAAAACGGTACCTTTCTCTATCTTCATATTCTCCTTCGTGATGTGGTTCTAATTTCGCCATTTTAACATCGTAACCAGTTAAATTGCTCAAGTAACTGAAAAGAAAAAATTCCAATTAGGTAAAGATGTTTTTCTAAAAAAATAATTATTATTATTTTTAACTTATCATAAGAGTCTAACTTGTTGAGTTTATTTAAAAAGTAAAATATTTTCAATCTCTGGCAAAATTTTTTGCGCTTTTGTCAGCCCTAGTAATGAATAAGATGAACTAAAAGCGAATACCAAAGAAAAAGTACCTCAATATCTTTTCAACATGTTGCTCAATTGCTAGCGGCGTTCTTCCAGCAACAAATAGTACCAATTTCGTTTCGGGTAATACATACACCTAAAATAAAGATAATATATAACTAAAGTTTCATAATATATTATAAAAAAAATGAACTTAACATATTTGATAGATAAGTAAAATAACATGAAAAATTTTAAATATTTCGTTATACAAAAGATTAATTCAGTACAGAGTATTTTTTTTAATGTCCAGAAGAGACGAGGAACTATGATATTAGGAAGGGATTTCTTATATTACGAAGGATTTTTAGGTCCCAAAAGGAATTTCTTGGAGTGATAAATAAATATATCTTTTCAAAAACTAATTATGCGCTTCTGTAACGCAGTCAGTTAGAACAAACCTAACGTATTGTTGAAAAAGGAAATTTATGGGTCTGAGCATATACTCGAAGAATTTAAGCAGCATATTTATAACTGTCCTTTCACTTGTACATGCGTAGCATGATGAGCGTAAAGACTTTAAAGTGACGTACAGAAAGTTTTGAAAATTTTGAATTTAATGGGATGGTCACTTCAACAAAATTAAATCTAAATATTAATACTGACAACCGCTTATTCCTAGCTGAAAATTATAGTACTTAAAGTAGCATAATAAATGTTAGAAACAAATGTTAGCAAACTTTTCTTCAATTTAATTAGTACTAAATGCATAATCGAATGACCTATGTTTTTTTATGTATTTGAATCATTCTTGTGTCATAGTGGTAAAACATTTTCAAATCACATTGTTTTAACTTCAAAAATAACTCTTTAAGTTTACATTTTGTTAACACAAAGAAAAAATATTACTGAAAAAATTTATAAATTGACAGCTAAGTTATTTAATTCTTGAATGATAAGCAGTTTTTTATCTGTATGATAAAAGCAAATATTAAATGATATAAAATACCTAGATATTTTATGAATCAGCTAAAAAAAATCAAAAGACCTCACCGAAAATAGCCCAAAAGAAATAAACGTTGCCCAGTGGCCTTCAAACTAAGAATCTCAATACCTTGAAGTTCATTCCTTTAAGCCCGAAAATGGCTACAAGTTCTACAATTTGAGTTTTTCAGTGAGTGTGCATGGAGTGTTTTTGACAGTAATGTCCTGGTGTTTAAATTTTTCGTCAGTCACTGATGTCTTTGTAAATGCACTATCAAACTAAGCTTTCTGTTTAACAAATTGATTTGGTTTGTTGAATGGTACTCAATGAAAAGTTTTCATATTTTAGCACTTCTGATGGTTGGATAAAAAAAATCTGCTTTTAGATATAAATTATAAACTAATGATGAATTTCTTTTTCTACTAGTTTGCCTTATATCTAAATATTCCATAAAATATTTAATTTCTATACTATCCATAACTTCACGTATTTCTGTTATCATAAAGAAAATCAATTTCTGTTAAATGCTTACAAATATCCAGCAAGCATATAAACGATTTCAATAAATTAAATTACATTGGTGGAATCAGTTATAAAACAATCACGCTGCATCCTTAACAAAACTTTAAAATAATAATGGAAATACTTACAAAAACATTAGCAACTGCTGAATGTCCATTTTCACTTCCTTCACGATCTGTTGCTTTCACATCAAATCCATAAATTCGGCCACCATCGAGGGCAAATGTTATCATTGACCGAACTACGCCAGATACAGGATCAATGTGGAATTTGGTGGATGCATCTTCCGGTTTGCGTATGATCTCATAACGAATGGCACTGTTGTATCCCACATCCAAATCTTTAGCCTAAAGAAATAAATATTAAATAAACGGTTTGCGTATGATCTCATAACGGATGGCACTGTTGTATTCCACATCCAAATCTTTAGCCTAAAAAAATAAATATTAAATAAAGAATTTTCAGAAAATGCACAATTGGATGTTTGCAAGTATCGTAGGTAAATCACGTCATTTGTCGATTCGAAAGTCATTCATGTTTGACACACACTTGACGTCACTTAAATGTATCCAATTAAATCAGATTTATGTCACATGATTGGGCTTAATTACTTCACTTCTTCTTGAGTTGCAATCTTTCAATTATGAATTTAATTTAAATAAATCTAAGGGAATAATATAATTCTGAATTTTAGTTTGTATGCTTTAAAAATAATTTTCATTTAAGTTAAAAACACATTACGGATCAAAGTAAAATCTTTAATTATTAAGAGTTTTTGAGTATTGCATGTTGATGCATAATGAATTTACCTCTAAAAAGATACAAAATTTTCGGCAGTGCATATTAGAAATTGACTAGAATTTTCATAAATTTAAGATTAATTTTTTTTCTTTACAAAATTACTATACGTTTTCAATTGAAGGTATTTCATAGAAAATTTCGTGACTGATATTCTAGTATTTAAAGAAAGAAAAATTGTTCTTAATGCATCATAACTTTTGTATTAAATTCATTGTTAAACGCGTAACTTGAACAGATAAATAAACTAAACGATTTAAGTAGGATTTTATGATGAAACAAGTTCAGGGGCATCAGTAAAACTCATTTTAAGATTTTCTTAAATATGCAATTTTTTTCAAAAACCATATTTCGTAAGCTTTGAAGATTTTTGAGTAGAAACTTTTTAATTATTTTGAAGACCAAATCCCACTGTGACCATCATATTTTGGTAGAACATTACACGTTTGTAGATGACATGAGTTATTTTCTAAATAAAATGAATTCACTAAACAGTTTGAAGGTGTTTAGCATACTTTGTAAGCCTATTTCTTAACAAAAAATTTCTCGATTCATTCCGAAGGATTTCTGTAGGTTTCCTATTCGAAATTAAAACTTTAGACAATACTTCTAGATAAGCAAATGGTTCTAGATAAGCAAATGGCTCAAAAAGCATTTTGAACAGTTTCAAATTTTCTCCGGTTTCTTTTTTAAAGATTTTTTTCTGTTGGAACATTAAAGAAACTTCGGCTTTGAAGCAACATTCTCCAATATCTTTTATTATGGATTCTGTTAGGATAAATCAGAGCTAATATTAGACAAAAATCTAATCCTGTAGTCCGATTATTTTATGTTTTTAATTCTGGCTAAAACAATGATAATGATAGTCCTTAAGTTTTGAAATGAATGAAGACCTAATTATTTATTAAGTATTTTAAAATTAAAACCAAAATAAACGTTTATTATAATTTTTTTTCTTTTACATTGCGCCGTTAAACCACAGTTTCATTCACTACGTTAATTTGAAAAAATTTCTTCTAATACTATTCTTATAGCTTCCTTAAATACTTGTGGACATTTACAGGGTGCGTAGCCAAATTATTCAACAAAAAATAAGCACCTTTTAAGCACTTTTCAAGCACTCAAATAATATTTTTAAACACTTTTAAAAAATATAATAATTAAGCAGGGTTGGAAAGTTTTTGACAATTGACGGTTTTATCTGGTTTAAATCGTTATGTCAAAAAAAAACTTTTTCGCACTGTTTTTGGCAATTGTCAAAATTTTTGAATCATGTAAATCGAATGGCGTTTTCATACGCTACGGACTGATGATGCCCCGAAATACATTGAGGTTGAATTAATTGAGAAAACGTTGAATTTAACAATGTAAATAGTGTCTTTCTGCATAATTCGTAGCGAAATTCAGCATGGGAAAGGAAAAATCTCATTTTAGAATAGGGAAAATTAAGCACTTTTTAAAAACTACCACTGAAAAAAGCACCTTTAAGGACTTTTAAAAAACAAAAATCGAAAATAAGCAACTTTAAACACTTTTTAAAAATGCTACGCACCTTGATTTAATTACAAATTTAAGTAATATATGTATTAATAAACCCAAACTTAATTTAAGCGCAGATAAATCAATAGTTTTAAGCAATTTAAAAAAAAATAAAAATCTTTAAGCAGTTTCTAACTCTAATTAGAAAAATACATTTTAATTTAACTGTTAAAATTGTCGCACATATTTTCGATCAAGATATTTTAAAATATTTTTTATTCAAAATACTGTGTTGTGTTTAAAAAGTATACAAGATATTCAACATGCAAAGATAAGATGTTTTCGCAAGAAGAAACCTGATACCTGTGTCAAATATTCAATGCACATAAAAAAGGAGAAATGCATTTTACTTCATATCTCCCGCCCTATCATCTTACAGATATATTGAGAGCAAAAACCTTTCTGACATTAAAGCGAAAACTTTGAAAACCATTTAAAAAAAAGAAACCTTTTTTCGAGGGAGTAAGCCATTAGATATTTTTGATGTTTATATTTAAGTATTTTGTATGCAGTATATTCAATCTTAACTGTTTGGATATTAGTTATAGGTAGTTGTAGTAGTATATCTCAGTAGTTTGTTAGAATAATGACGAGTTAAATGAATTGAAACTTGATTTAAGTTTTAAATTATACTTATTCAGAAAAAAGGTTGAAAACACGGAAAATAATGAAGACAAGTTAAAAAAGAAGAAGAAAAATTATTAAAATGAAATATTTAAAAAAAAACTTTTTATTTACTTAAAAAATATTACTAAAAAGCCGGAAAACAAAATACTGGAAAGATATAATCCCTTCCTCAGCTCACACGATTATATCCGGAAAAAAAGAGTGCTTTCTAATATTGTATTAATATAGCCAAAGCAATATATATCAATACAATAGTGTGAGAAATTTTGGTCCATGGTGATTTCAGAACAAACTACGTCCATACAGGATTAAGCAATTGGGGAGTGTGGTGGAGAGTTCAGGTGATTACTGCCAAAATTTTCTCTTCCAGTCTAATTTCACATTCAAATTGCGAAGTTAACAGTACTACTGTGAAGTTAATTTTGATATGTAATTAATCTCGTGTTCTAAAAAAACCATTACAATCATACCATTCATTTAAAATTATAAAAGTGCTTGTATAAGTAAATCTTGAAGTATAAAATTAAGTTTTACTAACCGTTATTCTAACAACTTGATAACCAAAAGATGCTTCAAGTGGTACAGCAGCTACAATAGGTCGACCAACTACATCGAATATTGGAGCGTTATCATTTTCGTCTCCAACCTCTATGACTACAAGAGCTTCATCAAAAGCAAGGTGATAACTTTCGGTTGGTCGAACTGGTCCTACAAAGATTGAGAAAAATCTCTATTAATATAAATTATAATAGTAAGAAAAGGATTATAAAGTTTTTTTATTTTGTATCCTTTTATTTTTAGATTATTCACGGTAATTTTTATAATTTTTATATGTAAATACTTTTTTCAATGTAAAATACCACAATAATGCTTTTTACTGCAGCATTTATTTTGATTGAGTAAATCTTGTAGTCTCAATTCTTGCAATCTTAATTCTTATAGATGATTGTGATGCCATAATTGGCATTACATATTTATTTCCTATCTTTTTAAAATATCCTTCATTACTTAAGCTTATTTTTATTAATAGAAGAATTACAATTAAAAATAAATCAAAAGCTTAATCTTTTTAAACGAACATAAAATATTTATTTCTTCTCTTCCAGATCAATGTAACAGATACTTTTTATTTCATTATTATGCAGACATATTAATTCACTGTCGCCTCTAATCGAAAACAAAAATCTATTTATAACTTTTTATTCTAATTTTCCAACGGCTATATATGTGATGCCATAATTAGCATTGCATATTTATTTCCTATCTTTTTAAAATATCCTTCATTACTTAAGCTTATTTTTATTAATAGAAGAATTGCATTTAAAAATAAATCAAAAACTTAATCTTTTTAAACGAACATAAAATATTTATTTCTTCTCTTCCAGATCAATGTAACAGATACTTTTTATTTCATTATTATGCAGACATATTAATTCACTGTCGCCTCTAATCGAAAACAAAAATCTATTTATAACTTTTTATTCTAATTTTCCAACGGTTAAATGTTTCGGTTGCATGGTTGTAATAATTCACATAAATTTGTTGGCGACTTGTGATCGCCAAGGTGTTCTTTTAAACCCATGTTGATATGCTTGTTGGCTTTGTTTTGGCTATGATATACTGTGATAAATCGCCAATTTTGGATCTCCTACCCATACTTTCTATGTCCGTTGGGAATAATTATATTCACTTTTAATTTCAAATTTGTGGAGGCTGGGAGCCCTTTTGGGGCCTCCCCAGTCTCAATTTTCTAACCGTCAGAAATATTATTCTGGCTGCATGATCTCTCAATAGAGAGTATTTTTCTGATTTCATCCCTTTAAGGGATTTCTTATTTTTGATGAAGATGTGGCCATTGTCGAAATCTTAAATTATGATTAATAAAACCTAAATTTACATTCAACGATTTGTACATTATTTCCTGGAAACTCAATTGTTCAACTCCTTCATTAATGGCCTAAATGAACATTCATGTACTACACTATACAACTATGGGCGGCTACTGACGGAGACACAAACCTTCCGTCACAATGATGAACTGCAAATGGTAATAAATACAGTTTTCTTCAACTATACAGTTATTTTTAAAATATTACTAATTGCATAAAATATCATTCGTTAACAACAATCACCATTTAAGGATTTGTATCATAATAACAACTTAATTTTGTTGATATTTCTTTGAATTTAATAAAATTAGAGATTCTTTTTTAAAAAATAAAATTCATGAGTATTTTTAACGCATTTGAATAAATAAATAATCCTAAAAGTATAAAGCGGAAAAATATTCTTAAAACTATGACTTCCTTTGCATCAAAAGATTTGAAGATGGTAAAAGTCAACATATTTTGAGCTCTAAAAAATTATTCCAGTTCTCAGAATAACTCACTAGGTCTGAAACTAGTATCACGTCTAGCGAATCCTCTTGAGAATGAGCGCCTATATTTCAGCGTTCAAAATATGTTGACTCTTACCACCTTCATATTTTCGAAGCAAATAAAGTTCTAATATTATCAAGAAAGTCCCTTTAACTCCTTGAATATAAATTTATTATTTTTCTTTAATTTTAAAAGTAAATATTTGAAGCAAATATTTCTCAAAATGTGACTGTTGCGTTTATTTTATAGTACAATCTATGCTCTTTAGCACCATTTTCAATTACAGTGGTCTCTACTTTATGATAACCGATGCATAAATATTGCTATTCGTTAGGCACAATGTTATTTTAACACCTATAATAGATCAGCACTTTATCCTTCGTTTCAATATAGAGTCTGAAACGCAGTTTTTTTAATGCTATCAAGATCACCTTGAAAATAAGAGTCAGATGTCTTTGTATTTTTAAATCGAAATTGCTCCATTGATAACAAATCATGAATTATGATGAAATAAGTCGTATGATTGAGCAAAAGTTTCAAAGAAATTAAGTAAGCTAATATAACTTTCAATAGTTAATATAATGTTACATATCTCGAAATCCCTCTTTTTAATTGTATTTTAAGCACTCACGATATAACAGCTTTACGATATAACAGCACTCACGATATATCGGATATAACGACCTAGCGTTATAGTATCTGATTTCGATTTGATTAATTGTTTGAATGACAATCGGTTAAATAACAAGAATCGTTAAAATGATATTTTGTTATATGCTCAAAATAATGCATGTAATAAGCATCAAAAAAGAAAAGTCAGTTTTCATTACGGGTTAAAAATAATCAGCAATCAATTACTTTTAAATTACTGCTTGGTTAAAATTTCACACTCATTAGCTTAGACTGAACAAAATCTGTACGCATCGACTTGGAAAGTTCATTTTTAATGACACAAGAATAGTAATTTGTTTTGTTTGTTTCTCAATATGTAAAATAAGAAAGCTAATGTTAAGATCCATCTCTTAGAAACAGCTTTTTTCGAATCTCTAAAGACTCAACAGCATTGCTTGGTATTCATCATTCCTCTTTTCCCATTTAGGGGAAAAGGCGTTCCCCTTTATTTTTCCTCATTCAAAAGGCAGCGTCTTCACCCAAGAACTGAGAAATAAAGAAATACCTATTCATAGTGAAGTACACTTTCTTTTCTTTTGTGTTCTTGAGAATAACTCTGAAATATCAATAGAAGACGACACATTCAACTCGACTTGTGTAGAATTCCATTCTTCTGAATAATAAGAATAATTGATTTTCTTTCTAAAGTTCCAAAAATAATTAATTATTTTGTTCATGGGTGAATTGTTTCAGGAGTACTTTACTTTTCCTCCGTAAACTTTCATGGTTTAAAACTTATTGTTTGACTATAAAATAGCCCAAATAACTTACATTAATTGTTATATGATGAATATATTTTATTTACAGTTTTGTAGCAATCTAAACGTTTAATTCCCTTTTATTTCTCTAAAAAAATCCTTTACCATCGACTTTTATTTTTTACGCAATGACAATCGTAATTTGTTTTCATTAGTTCTCTCATGAATAACAAATGAAAGCAACGGTTAAGGATGATCTCATAAATTTGGAATTAGCTTTTTTTTAAAACTTCTGAAGACTCAACAGCATTGTTTGGTATTTATCATTCCTCGTTTCCTATTAAGGGAAAGAGACGTTAATTTTTATTTTTCCAGATTCTCTAACCAAGAACTTCGAACCATAGAAATACCTATTTTTAGTGAAGTATACTTTATTTTCTTTGTGTTCTTGAGAATAACTCTGAAATATTAATAGAAGAAGACACATTCGATTCGACTTCTCTAGAATTCCATTCCTCTGAATAATAAGAATAATTTATTTCCTTTCTAAAGTTCCAAAAATGATTAATTATTTTGTTCTTGGATGATTTGTTTCAAGAGTCTTTTACCCGCAATATTTATCATTAACAAAACGCAACTAACTTAGATCAGAGGTTACAAAACAAATATGTTTTATTCATATTTCTGTACCATTTTACTTAAACAGCCTCTTCATTTAGTTCGAAATTGAATTCAAATATTCAGCACAGTTAAACATTCAAACCGAATGGTTAGAGTTTTAGATTTATGATTAAAAAAATTAAGTTGCCGCTATAAACAAGTTTTAAACATGAACTCTAGTTTTGTAGTGCGTTCACATAATGTTTAGTTTTCGGATCAAAATAAATTTGGAATTTTTTAAACATGGATTGTTTCCTAAATTTAACTATTTAAAATTTCTCTCATATAAATGCAAAGCTCTTTGTGCTGATCCTTCTAAATTCATAATTTAAAATCCTATGCCAAATATTATTATAATAATATTTAACAATAATAAAGTAAAAAATAAAACAAAATAAATTAGTAAGGTAAAAATTAATTAATTTAATAAATTTAATAAAAATTAATTAATTTAATAAATTCAATAAAAATTAATTAATTTAATAAATTTTATAAAAATTTATTAATTTAATAAATTTAATAAAAAATTAATTATTTAATAAAAATTAATTAATTTTAAAATTGATTAATTTAATAAAGTAAAAAATAAAACAAAACATTAATATTATAAAATATTTGGAAAGCTCTTCCACTTAAAACTCTTTGTTTGTATTGTAGCACGTGAATCAGTGTTCAGAGTGAGTTACACATTTAAACATTCTGCTTAATTTAAATTAGCGGAGTTATTTAGTTGTTTAGCTGGCCTTTTTTTCGTAGTCAAATATTATTTTTTTCCTGTTGCCTTTCCACCTCAAACCATTAATCAAAAAAAGATAGTAACTCACCAGATCTACTTATTTCTCGTCCAAACCTATGACGTCCTACATTTTCAGCGCGAACTTTTAGAGAGTACCTGTCTCTCTTTTCCCTATCCAAACTAGCAGTTACAGTTAGACGACCAGTATCAGCTTCCATCACAAACAAACCTGGGGGAGTATAGAAAAGAAATCTTGAATAAATAAATAAATAATGATATCAAAATATCGGGAATGGCTGGACAAATGAAAAAGCTTTCAGGCCTTGGAACTCTTACCTTTAGTCCAGTTATGATAGAAGAAAAAAATCACATCAATATAACCTAGGCAACCTTTTTAGCAATATATTTACTCTTTTATTGCAATGTGGATTTAATGTATAAAATTAGGAAAGAAAAGATGGATATTTCCATAGAGAAATACCTATGAGACATTAATAATTATTTTATTTCAGAATGGTGGTTTTTATTAAACCATATTTTTGGATATAGTTATAATTTTATAAACGATTTTTTTATCAAATATTTTATCAAAAGTTAATCTTTTATCAAATCTTTCTCAGGTAATTCAATTAAATTTCTTATCAAAGTTATCTTTTTATAAAAAATTGAAAAATTATTATATGTTTATAATTTTTTGAAGCATTTTGATGGAAAATTAATATAACACCATTAATTTTGTGTGAAATATATAATAAAGAAAACTTCCTCTCTTCTATCTGAAATAATTGCATATTGCGCTGCAAAAACAAAGAATAAAAACCAATTTTTGAAAAACTTATTTTTTGGGGGAAAAAAAGATAAAAATGATTACTTATTTCAATCATATAACATTAGTTTATTTAACTAATTTTATTAGGTTTGTTGAGGAAAATAAGAGTTTAATTTTCGATATAAATTAGTTGTTACCTGTAGTCGATCGAAAGTACAAATCTAATTCTGCTTAAAGTATTATATTCTTAATATAAATATATTTTTTATTGTTTATAATTATAAAGGTAATTCATGTTTCAATGATAATAAAGTTTTATGAAAAAGGATTAGTTATTGATTTTAATTTTACTTTTAATACTTGTACTTACGTACTTTTAAATACTTGTATCTCAAATTTCTTAAAATATTGTTGAAATGCAGAATTTTAAAACTTCTTATAGGCATGTTTTTATTCAATTAAGTAAATAACTTTTTTAACATTTGAAAATATTTTTTAAGAATAGCATTTCACAAAATTTCTATACTTAATTTACAAAAATAAGTAAAACTAGCGTTAAAATTTTTTTAAATATATATATTTAATTGGTTTTCGATTGAAAATGAAACTTTTCAATTTTTCTTCCTTTTTAAACCTTAATAATTTTTCTTTTAACAAATTTTGATCTTTCTCTAAAGGGTTTCAATGAAATATTAATTTGAATAAAACATAAATGCGTGAAGTTTTAAACTAAGCATGACTTTCTTTGGAATTTCTTCCATTTCTCTAATATGCATGCCAAAATGAAATAGGAAAAAAAATGAAACCTCTTCGATGTTCAGTTCATTATTGACGTTCTGATTAAATGACACGCAAATGAGAATTTTTCGAAAGCGAACTTCGAAAAAAGAATTCGACAACTTTCTCGGAGTTTAAATTACTTCGAATAGACTTATAGTAATTTACAGATATCTTAAAAGGTCTCTAGATTTGACGAAAGTTAATGATTCAGTAAAAAAAAATTTCCTGAATAAATTCAAGATTACTCGAACTTGTTTTATCGGTGAATATAATCTTGAAACAAGGTGTTTTCTTCGTCAAATATATTAAGGTGAAAATTATTTGGTGATTTTTTCAATTTAATATTTTTGAAAATTAGAAATATATATAAATGGAATTATTAAAAATGTAAAACCATAAAATATATTGTTACAATATTTGTTTATCAAGTTCATTTATAATTCTTATAAACAATATATTTTTGTATTTTCGTTGTTGAGTTTGATTTACATGGTGCTAGATTACTTTTACAAACCATCACTTTAAAATTCGTAATCTGCAGAAAAAAACACGATTCAAATTGGCGCTATCGTTTTTTCGGTTATTAGCCAACATACAGGCAGACTTTTGTTTTTATTGCTATTTAAGTAGAGTCTTGATTGCTATTTAATCTATCGATTGCTATTTAATCTATTGAAAAGCTATTTAAGTAGAGTCTTGATACCCATAAATCAAATCATTTAAAAAAAGGTGATTTGTAAAATGTTTCGCGATGCAATTTAGTGATTTTTTGAAATAAGACAACCGAATGAAAATAAAATTATATTCCTAATGTTAATAAAACGCAATATGTTATTAAAATTTCTTCTTATTAAAACCTAATAAAATATAAAATTTTTCATTGTCTTTTATTTATACACTTTATTTAGTGAACAACATCTTAAAAATCACCTTCAACTGATTATTTTCGAAACCTCAGTTCATTTTAAACTAAATAGTATTGAATGACAAAATAAAAAATTTAAAAGCAGTGTATTTTAAATTATCAGGGGTCTGTCCAGACATTTTGTGAAAGGTTCGTTTTTCGTGAAATTGTGAAAAAATTACTCACATTCTTTCAACCAGGGTCCGCTTTTATGAATTAGTGCAAATAGGGTCCGTTATTGCAAAAAAAAACTTTTTCAAGGAGTTTTTAAATTGTAAAGACATACAAGATTATGCTCAACACTGTAAAATTATAATTAAAAAAATGACATTTTAAAAAATAAACAACAATTGCTGCTTCTAAATTAGAGATGCAACATACAAATATTTGGTATTTGGCCTATACTGCTGAACGCAGAATATTAATTTCGGACGAATAATGGAAGAATCGTCTGCCGAAGACAAAACTTAATTCGTTTACATCCATCTTTCTTGTTTTCTGCCCTGGAAAGGGTTTATTCGATTAACAAAATAATAATGAAGATAAACAAATTTGTGAAGGGTCCGATTAAAAGAAAAATCATTTTGTGAAGGGTCCGTTTTTAAGTTAAAATATTTTGTGAAGGGTCCGTTTTTATGAAAAGATATTTTGTGAAGGGTCCGTTAACGGACCCAAATTTCTTCTAAACAGACCCTTGATTATTCATAATTTAAAAATGTTTTTTAAAGAATTTTGAACCATTTTTGGTTTCTAACATTTAAAATTACATATTTTACTTATTTTACATAAAAATTACAGATCATAGATTAAATTACATTTATTTAAAATTTCTCTTTTAATAAATTTCGATCTTCTTCTGACAGGTTTTAACGAAATATTAATTTGAACAAAACATCAATGCGCGAAGCACGACTTTTATTCCTTGGAATTCCTTCCATTTCTCTAATATGCATGTCAAAATGAAGTACGAAAAAAAAGTATGAAACCTCTTCGATGTTCAGTTCATTATTGACTTTCTGATTAAATGGCACGCAAATGAGAATTTTTCGAAAGAGAACTTCGAAAAAAGAATTCGACAACTTTCTTGGAGTTTAAATTACTTCGAGTAGACTGATAGTAATTTATGGATATTTCAAAAGGTCCCTAGATTTGACGACAGTTAATTATTCTGTGTAAGAAAAAATTATCTGAATGAATTCAAGATAACTCGAACTTGTTTTATCAGTGAATATTGTTTTGAGAAAGATATTTTCTTTGCTAAATGTATTGATGCGGAAATATTTTGTGATTTTTTTTACTAATAATTTTGAAAAGCAGAAAAGAGTCTATTAAAAATATAAGAGAATCTATTAAAAATGTTAAACCGAAAGGTCCCTAGATTTGACGAGAGTTAATAATTCGATATTAAACTTAATGAATTTAAGATAACTCGAACTTGTTTTATCAGTGAATATAAATTTGAAACAAGATAATTTCTTTGCTAAATATATTAAGATGGAAAGTATTTTGTGTTTGTGTTTGTTATTGTTTGTTTGTTTTTGTGTTTTGTTTGTGTTGCGATAATTTTTATAATAAAAAAAATTATAAATGAATTATAAAAACTATAAAACAATAAAATATCCATTTTAGTTATGCATTTAGTTTAAAATGAACTAAGCAATAATTTGAATATTTTCAGCTAATACATCGTTACCTTTGCTACAATATCTATATTGAATAAAATTTTAAGAAAGTGAGAACATAACAATGCGTCTTAAATTCCCATTCTGTAAAGTATGGGTTTTTGTTTCAGAGAACGGTTTATCCAATTTATTTAATCCAATCCAACTTAATCCAATTTATTTAATATTTAACTAGCCGCCACTGACTTCCATCTGTTATACCATTTTAAATGTGAAGAAATTTTTCAAATACTTTGAAATTTAAGATCTTAGATTCAGAACTCAAGACAATATGTAGGTGTAAATTCATATTGCACAAGGGAGATTGGGTATAGCTTTTACCTCTTACAGATTTGCACTTTCAGATCTTTGGTGTTCGTGGGCATTTTTTTTAGATTTGACCAAAATAGCAGTCTAGTTGAATTTTGTAATTAAATTGTTCTTTATAATACATTTTAAACTTTAAAAAAGAAGCTAATTTTTCAATGACGCTTTTGATGGGTGATGAAACAAATTAGCCAATTTGCAAAAATCAAAATTCGCACTTATTTAGTATAATTAATTTCCGTTGTGTCAGCAATTAAAACTCTATATTTCAAACCAATAAATTGTACTTGTAAAGTTTTGGTTCGCCAAAACTAAATGAACTTTAACTGTTATAAATTTCTTTAAGTTAACATAATACGCAGATCTAACGCAGAAAGTAACTCGCTTTAAGTTAAAAAATATATTAAAAAAAATAATAATTTAGTTTAATGGCACAGAAGAACTGAAAGACAGCTTAACCATTAAATTAGTATCTAATATATATATTTCTCTTACGTGGCTCCCAAATTTTGGCTGTATTTCTTTTCCGCCGGTGGCAACGTTTGCTTTGCTTTGTTTACGTTACTATTTCTCCTACACGGCGACAAAAAAAAAGCCTCATTACAACTGCCTGAATGGCAACGCTAGAAAATCGACCAATGATTTCCGCTAAAAATGTCACATGCCAAATCTAGTTGAGGTGGTTCAACATATAGCGCTTTTAAAAACGGAGGCTGAAATAACCAGAGAGCATCAGCTGCGGCAATCTCATACTATTAATCTAGGCATAAATGAGTAGTCTTTGTCGATAGATCTCTATTTTAGTATTTTGTCGAAAGCGCTTTTTTTCACGAATTTATTTGACGATTTTTGATTTATATCACGAATTATACTATAGAACATTTCTGATAGGTTTAACGAATTACATGTCATTTATTTGAATTCAAATTTATTTTAATGACTTAGTATTTACTAAAAAGATGTATTATTTTTTTTTTTTTGAAAAAAAGTTTTTATATGGATTTGAATGTTTGTTTTGAATTCTTAGAATTTTGTGCATTTGCAATGTACCTAAGTTAGTAGCGAGAAAAGCGAGCTTGTTTTGCGAAACAAACCATATAAGATTGCGTAGAAATTTCCGGGGGTTGGCGAGCGTCAGCGAGCAGGGGGGGCAGCCCTCTAGTTCACTATAATAGTTTAAGTCAGAGTTTAAATTTTATCAGTAACTTTTAATTGGTAATTAAAACGAATTCTTCTTAGCCAATCAGTTTTATTTCATTTTCTAAAGAAAAGATGAAAGATTTTTTGAGACTAAAAATTTTTCTTTTCTTAATAATGAGACCTACGAATTGAGACTTAGCTAATCTTTTTAAATGTAAGTGCTCTAATACAAAAGTTATGTACGCTTTAGTCATCTAACCGTTTTTGAAGCTCAGCCTCTTACCTTTAACTTATCGATTGGCTTAGGGGATCATGTGTTAGCGACTGTTTTTTTTAAGCGTAGGAGAAAGGATATTTTACTAATAAAGTTTTCTCTTTTTTCAATATTGAGACTCACGAATTGAGACTTAACTGATCTACCTAAATGAAAGTACTCAAATATATAAGTTACGTACGTTTTAAGCAACTAACCGTTTTTTTGAGGCCCAACCTTTCACTTTCAGCTTAACGATTGGCTAAGGGGATCATGTTTCGATTGGATGAGGGAAATTCATAAGTGCTTATAATGCTAGATCAATGTGAAAATAACATATGATTTGAATAATCTTACCATTATAATCATGTCCAACAATGCTATAAAGAACTGGTTTGTGAGCTATTTCATCAGTAGCATTCAAATCCAAAACAACCAAAGGTGCTAGTCTATTTTCAAAAACTGTCACTTCATATAAACGGCTTGGGAAAAGTCTGACCCCATGTCCAGTTCCAACAATAATATTGACCTAAAAGAGAAAAATATGTCAAATTCACAGTATTTCGTAACTAATAAGATATATAATCAATAATGTACATTGTTTGATGTATTAAAATTTAATATGAAATATATATATAAATATTTCTGTATTTAGCGATACACAATGGCAACTAAAAGTGTCTTATAAATTTTTTTTAAATTTCTTGAATCAGTTATCCCTTATACTTTTTTTGTGAAAATAAATAAAAAAGTATATATGATTGTAATGCTCTGTTATCTTAGCCTATTTTAATCACCAACTAACTTTTAAATAAAAGTTAGAAAATTTAAAGCAGTAATTTATAAATAATTAATTTATGCGCGAAAGTCTTTCTACTAGTCTTCTTATATCCTAGAAATTATTTTTGAATAACATTTTATGTCTGTTACTTTACGAAATAGAATATCATACAAGTATCTGTTACAAAATAACAGATCCCGGGATTTAGGAAATATCATTATAAGAGGAACAGCTGTAACAGATACATTTATCGATCCTGTAATGATCTAAGGACATTATCAATGTTAAGTTAGACTATTGTACTTAATAGAAACTTAAATACAGAGTTTTTAATCCAATAATATATTGACAGAATGACATATGCTTGTACGTTTCGTCCTGTTTTTTTCATCGAAAAATATTCAAACATCAAAAGATATTTGGTTGGGGGGAAAAAGCTTTTAGCAATGGAATTGCATTGCATTTTGCTTAATATATTGAAGCATACCTTTAAAAGTAACATTTTAATATCATATTAGATACAATTCTTTAACGAATGCGAAACAGAGGTTAAAGAAAATACCAGGTATTTTTTTACTTTTTTACGATCATCTTACTATGTGCTTATGCACCATTTTCCCTCCAGCAAAAATCACTGATTGCTTGAACTTACCTCAGCTGTATCAGATTTTGGAGGATCGGTATCGACTGAAGCTTCTACAAGTAGTCTGTAATGACTCTGCTGAACACTGTCTAAAGCTTTAACCAAACGTATATCACCAGTACTTAAATCGACATCAAATGCATCTATTTCGTTGGTATCTGAAAATAAAGCAAATGATAAGTGTTTGCCGTTGCATATACAGGAGATATTTTGTATTTTTTAACAGTCGTTGAACAACCGACGTAATTTTGCAAACAACCGACGACTACCCATGTTCAAATCTGTAGGCTTGTAATTTTGAACCAGAAGGAAAACCTCCTACGGTTAGTGTGACGGCAAGAGTACTCGAATTCATAATCCGTCTACCACTTTGGATATTTTACGTCAAAAAAAGGGTTGGTGTGGAAATCGTACCGACTAGTCATTGCTGGCTGTTCGAGCCCTGGACTCCTCATTGGGAGGCAAACGTGTCCACGTAGGGGAGACAACAGTTACGCTATATAACTGTTAGGTAGCGGGAGCAATGAATGCACAATTAAGTGCTTTTAACTAAATGGTGATAAAGTTGTTGAAGCCAATAAACACAGGCCAAATAGTAATTGAAAAATAGTTTCTTTTAATAAGGACCATGTATTTCTTTTTCAAGTTTATTTGTTATCAGTTACTCGAATTTTCAAGCGAAATGCTGATTAAAGGATGACTTTAAACATATACATATAATTTGTAATCCTTTAACTCTTGAAATGTATTTTGTCACATAATTATCGATGGTACTGTCTATAAAAATCACAAACTCAAATGTTAAGCTTTTAAATTATCGTTTCTTCGCTATATATGTGTTTGGATACCCTTAGTTGTTAAAATAGTCAGAAAATAATTTACAGGCTGTGCTGTATTTATATTATTGTAGTATTTACTGAATTAGGTTTGAATTTAATAAATCTGCGTATTTTTTTCTGTTAATTATTTCGATATAGATCTACTCCATCTTCCGTTTTAAACATAATCTCAAACACAGAAAAAATTCTGAGAAAATTAACGCATTATATTGCAAGGAAATTTCTAGTAAAAAAACAATGCCGGTTAATAAAACCGAAATATACGTTATTTAAACCATTCCTTTGGTAATTTTGCGTTCATATGTTAATGTTTTACCAGAAGTTCTGGTTTTCATATTTATACTTCTTATTACCCCATACGTAATAAATAAAATACAGAACTGAAAAAAATTTAAACGAATAAATGGATACTATGCTCTAAGGTATCCTAAATTGTCTATTATTTCCCAAAATTTATCTTATATTTTAAAACCATATTTTATTGTTAATATTACCGAAATCCGAATAACATTTCTTTAAAAGTTTCCCAGTTTTTTAGTGCTCTCATCATTATCATATTTACCATATTATGTTAATTTTGACTATACTTTTTTTTCCTCTGTGCATATTTCAAATAAAATTTAAGCAGCATACATTTCTTGCATTTAACTTTTATTAACCTTAAAACTGCGAATTAAAATTTTGATATACAATTTGTTTTGGTAAGCATTATTTTTACTATAATAGTCTCCAATTGATTCTGTTTCTATTGCAGACAAATTTTGATTTATAAAGATGGTACTGCAAATTGACTCAGTAAATTCTGCTACCGGGAGTATGTTATACAATCATTAATAATCATGAGTGTTAGATGTAAAGTTATTCGAATTGAGCACAGCAAATTAAACATTAGTTAAAAAATAATCTTTGGTTACTTACTAAGTAACGCATATTTAAAATCTCCTTTGCCAGCATCCAATTTGAACACAGTATCGCCAGGTTGGCGACTTTCGGCTACTTCGAGTGTGTAAACAGCTTTAGAAAACTCTGGCACGGCATCATTTGTGTCTGCAACTGTAACCCATAACTTCGTCGTTGAACTAAGACTTGGCGCTCCCTGATCATATGCAATTACCGTCATATTGTAAAAAGCTTGTTTTTCGTAGTCTAATGTAGAAAGCGTCCAGACGGTTCCATCTGATCATGAAAAAAAACGTTGTTATGAATTAAAATAATTTTTATATTTTTGTAACATAATGTTGTTCTTAATAAGTTTTAATGTAATTTGGTAACCAAATTTAAGTAGTTGTTATGTAAACAATATTGAAAAAAAGAACTTTTCATTTGTGTTACCTAATATAGAAAGCTGTTTTTTGTTCTCGATAATCTTGAATATTATTCAATTATATTATTATAAGAAATCTTGTTGCAACAAACAATAACAATATTGTCTTTTTGATAAAAGTTTAGTAAATTGTAAGTTATGTAGTAATAATAAAATATCGTAAATACCTTCTATTCATAGTGTTATGCCGAAATCGTCTAAATGGTTTTATTTATAATTAAAAACAGATTTTTCATAATACTAAATTAAAGTAATTTTATTTATATTTATCTTAGTCTAAATAATATTTAGTAAAATTTTGGTAACTATGTTTAGTTTGTTTTATTTTTAATTGATCATTATTGTAAAAAGTTTGTTCTTGATAGTTTAAAGTTAAAAACGTCAAAACGGTTTCGTCTTACAAAACAAAAATATTAATGTAATGGGAATTTTTTTTTATTTATGTTGTTATTATTACATTTATAATAATATGTTATTTTTATTTATGTTTATTTCATTTAAGTTTCAATATAATGTTTTATCCAATTAAGTTGTATTAAGTTGGAAGGTGATTATTGTTCAATCTAAATTTTTTATAATCTGATATCTATTACATTTAACGTACAATCTTCCATGCATTAACGACTCCATTATTTTAAAATTATATATAGTTTTCAAAAATAATAATTGAAAATTTCACATGCTAAACTTTTTCAGTTTCTTTTAAATAACACAAGTTACGAAGATGTAAAAAGAATTCTAGACTAAAGTTATATGTACGATTTAAACAACATGCATATTTTTGACAGAACCCAAATATAAAAATGCTTCAAAAGTTGAAAATATAATAACAAAGACAACTTCGATTTTTTTTCGCTGATTCGTAAATATTATAAAGCATAAATGAAATAATAACCTACCTTTGCTATCAATGTAGAATTTGTTATTATGCCCAATACCCAATTTATAAAACACAAGACCGTTGTTACCAGAATCAGAATCGTAAGCTGCTATCTGAGTGACCTAGAATTAAAAAAAATAATGTATTCATAGCATAATTTAATGCACAAATTTCATCGTGATTTTATAAACTTTATATGATTATAATTTTTATTATCATATAATTATAATCATAAATAAAAGAACGCATAATTATAATGATTATAAAAGAGCGCATGTGGAGTTGCTTCAAATCATACGTGAGGGAACATACTGGAGCTAATGTAAAAGTGCGAGATCGATCTCTATTAACGTTCACAATTTAGTTATTGGTTTATATACATTCAATAGCATGCACTTTCTTTTAGTAAAATCAATCGCAACAATAAAAAAAAACTTATGTTTCAACTTTTACAGATGCTTTTGCAAATTGTATAAATTATATAAATAATATACCATGGTGAATATTGTAATTAGTAAATGTAATAAAAATAAATAGCATTTGATCAGAAGATTTTACTATATTAATAGATTACTACCAATCTCTAAAATCAGCTTTTTATGTTTATGAAAAAATATATTTCAGAAATTTTAGATTATTCACCTAACATTTTTAATAAACTTTTCAATGCAAATAACAGTAACTATTATAAAAGTAAATTTCCAATAAGTTAAGTTAAATTTTAATTTCGTTATTCAGTTCAAAGCAAGAAAAATAATAATAAAAAACAAAAATATAAAATAAGATATTTGCTTAAAACACTTCCTTCTTTAAACATTTCATGCATTGTGATTTTTCATATGTATGCCTGTTATGCGTTTAACAGTGAAACAAATATTGATATAAATTTTGTTATTAGAAATATAAGGAATATTATTTAGTTAGAATACTTAGAATACTTTTTTTAATATTTCATGAGTCACATTTTTTAAATATAAGTATACGTGTTTAACTACAAGATAAATTAAATTCTGATAAACACACTTTTCTTAAAATATTTGGAATTTAATTTATATAAATAAAAAACTTTATAAGATGCAAACATGAAGTTTCAAAAAATTTTTCAATGATTTAAATTGAATTTGAGATTTATATTAAAAGTTTAATTTAATCATTCTCTTTCTAAAAAAGAACACCAATAGAAAAAAAGAGAGCATTTTGAAAATGCTCGATCTAGTAAAAAATTTCCTTTGTTAAACTTTTCAATAGAAATATATTAACATTTTTTTTTCTTTAACAAAGAATTCAATTTCAATTTATTTTGAAGAAGAAAAAAAAACGGATTAATAATTTGATTTTTGTGATAAAAAGCATGGAAAACAAACGGCTTGAAAATCTTTTGTAATTCAATGCTTTTAAGAAAAATAAAAGGCAAATTCTATCATTCTGTTCAATTTTTAAAGCATTTTTTTAAAAATAAAGAAAGTCTAAGAATATCAGCACTTTCCTAAACGAAATTACTCTTTAAATTCCAATAAAGAAAGAAATGGAAAGAAAAATTAGTATTAGAAATGTAAATTGCACTTCTATGTAAGGAACAAATGTAATAAAATAATACATTTGCTGAAAATTAATTAGTAGAAATTACTTTGTTTTCATTGAAAGATAATTAGAGAAATTAAAGCTATTCAGAGGTTACAAAAACAATTTATCTGATCTGTTAATGAATACATATATAAATATGCAGTAGCCTCAAGCGTTTTTAATTAATTCATTTACCTTTTTTATCAATGTATAGAAAACAAAGCTTTAAGCATTTATTCATTGCATAAATATTTTAACAAAAGAAAACCTTTAAAAATGATTTTGTTAATTGTAACAAAATCAATTTGTACATTGTAAAATATTTCCGGGTTTAAAGTACCGGCAATCCCGTAAAATTCATTTTTTCCGTTAAATCGATTTTTGCCGTAAAATAGTGTACTGTAATTTTTACTGTATTATTTATTCAAACAGAGGTATTCAGTGATTTTGCGGTAATTGTTACTGTAAAAACTACGGTATATAATTTTTTTTGTTCCATAACATGCTCCGGTAAATATGGATTTTACGGTAAAAAGTATCGTTATCCTGAGTGCCGGTATTTTTACCGTAATTTGATTCGGAACTTTTTACAGTGTGACTGACTTCATTACATGAATTATAAAAATAACTAAGTTGAAATGGGTTCGAATCCCTGCGATGACACGTTGATAGTAATTCCGCACCCGGATCACACTGACCACAGTTCTGACTTAATATATCCTCAGAGGTAGACGGTTCATGTTTTAGAGTCCCTTACCGTCAGGCTAACTGTGGGAGGTTTTCGTGGTTTTCTTCTCTATTAAACGCGGGTTAGTTCCATCAAAAAGTCATCAACGAAGACAAATTTCTGCCAATACTTGATCCAGGAGTTCTCTTGTATTCTGGATCAGATTCAAAATTACAAGGCTACGGAGTTGAACATTAGTAGTCGTAAACCCAAAATTTGGTCGACAGTTCAACGGTTATAAAATAAAATCGCATTAATTACAACTGTGGTGGCTCCAGATGTAGAGCATTTGCCTTCCAATGAGGTGAACCGGGTTCGAATCTCAGCAATCGATACGAGCTCCGCATCCAACTTTCTCCGACCACAGTGCTGATGTAAAATATCTTCAGGGGTCACGGATCATGGGTTAGAGCTCATTTGCCGACAAACTAGCCATGGGATGTTTTCGTGGTTTTCTTCCCCATGTAACGCAAATGCCGATTAGTTCCATTAAAAAAGTTCTCCACGAAGGCAAATTTCTCTTAATACTTGATCCTGACTCTCTGTAGATTTACAGAGAGCCAGATATTGTGAAATTCATAAAAATAAATCGAATGAACTGGGCAGCTCACATTTTCAGAAGGAATGGTGACTCAAATTTAAAGAAAATCCTATTACACAAACCCCTAACGAACAGGAAAAGAGGTAGACCCAGGCTGAGATGGCTGGATTTAGTTGAGACTGATTTCCTTAATCTAAAGGAGAAAAACTGGCGAACAAGTGTCAAAAATAGAGAGAAGTGGATTCGAATTCAAAGGAATTCACTGGTCCCCCCTGGGCTGTCTAGCCAGATATGATGATGACTAGATCCAGGAGTACCTTTGTCTTCTGGATATTGGGTTTAATATTACAATTCTATGGAGGTAAAGTTAGTAGTCGTAAACCCAAAACAGAGTCGGCTGTTCAACAACGGTTATAAATTTGCATTAATAATAATGAAATTTCTCTATAATTAGAAATTTGCTCATAATTCCATGGCGTTCAGGCACAAAACGTTATAAAATTTCACGGAATTAATTTTAAATTTAAAGATTATGTATTGGTATTCATAACTTTTGAAAAGCATCCTTGCGGAAGTATTTAATTAAAACGACTTCCAAACACATAAAGTGATGCATATTATTTTCTTCCATAAAGTATTTTAATGCATTAATGACATTTTAATCAATTAGTCAAGTGAAGTTACTAGTCAGCGATATTCATAAATGCCATTTTTTTTTATTAATATTTCCTTGTACAAGGCGCCTTTTAAAGTGCCGCAATTTCTCCCTTTACAATGCTAATAGCGCTACTGCAATTAAGAGCCGCAAACATAAAAATATGTACACTCAAAAATTTAAAATTGCAACAAATTAGTTTTTAATGTTTAAAAGTCATCATTTATTCCATTTATATGTAAGAGAGCGATGTTTAGATTAAATGTCCTTTAAAATTTAAATTAAAATTAGTTGAGAGTTTATAAGGAATTTTGCTTTCAAATAGCTTTATTTATACATTGAATACATAATTTACGGTAACTAAACCACACTACAGATGCACTAATTTAAACTTTCAAACACACAGCCTGTACGTTGAAACGTAACACTGTGAAACTAAAATGTGTTGTTGCATTAATGCAAATACTTGATGGTGTCTCATTCAAGTTAGGGGTTTTCATATCTGAAATTAGTTTTCCTTCTAAAGTTACAGATTTTCTTAAAGTAACTACTTTTCGTCAAATGTACAAGTTTATAAAAGTTATATACAACAGGTGGTTGTGCAAATGGTGGTGTGAAACAGCAATACGTCCATTAGCGTGTCTTAAAAAGCCACTATATTAAAGAATATGCAACAAGATACTGCATTAAATCTGCTGAATTGTCAACAGCGATTGTTTTGATTAAACTAAAGTAAAGACAGCAATGCAAACACCATCTATTTAAAAAAAAAGAAGTTTATAGCATTTTTAGTTACATTGGATCAGTAGGCAGGCGCACTATGAGCTTATGCTGTGAAGGTATTTTATAAAAACGGCAGAAATTACGTTATCATTCTTAAGGAGATGCGGCAACAACTAATAAGGAAGTAGAAAACTTGTCTAGAACAAATGGAGGGATGATGAACATCTAAGATATTTTTTTCGGTAAATAAATACTTTTTTAGTTTTTTTTTTTTTTTTTTCAGTTTAAAGCCTAAATATTTTTAACATTTAGTGTGTATTTGTTTGTATTTAAGTTTCTTCTCGCTCCCGTGAAAATGACGGGGTGAGCTTTCGCCCGATATTTCTCGCTCCCGTGATATTGACGGGTTGGAGTGTTCAGTAGTAACGCGCCATTAAGAATAAAACTAATTCATTTCTTTTGCCCGGAAAACATTTTATTTTTCATTTTACACACCAGATGGCAGTACCAGGATATTTTTAATGTAATTGTAGATAGTTAGTTTATTTTAAACTAGATCAAATACGTGTATTTGGCAAAATAGACACTTTTATGACCATTTTCTTGAAAATTAACCGATCGTTAAGGGGTTAAAGTACTTAAACAAATCCCATTCACGTGTGGTAATGCTTGTAAAATCATCCGATTCGGTGTCGCGCTTTGAAAAACAAGAATGCACAAATAATTACTTTTTGCCCAGGATCCAGATTTTCTTGAACTTGAGCCAAATAAGGATCGGTGTAAAATCTTGGTGGCTCATCATTCACATCGATTACTTCAATAACAACATCGGCAGTCGAGTTAAGTTGAGGCTCACCAAAATCAGTTGCCTAAAATTAAAATTTTTTGTGACATCATAGTCATTAATATTATTTAATTAATTAGTCTTTTAAATGATTATTTAAATATTTTTTTAAAAATATTCTTATAAATAGAAAATTCACTTACAAGAACTTGATATTTAAATGAGCTCTTCGATTCTCTGTCGATTATTCCATGAGCAAACAGTTCCCCTGTTTTGCTATCAACAGTAAATGGAAACTCTAGAAAAGATTAACACTCAATCAATAAGTGTCTTATGAAAGTTAAGTAAATAGTATAATAATAGGTATAGGAAAAACGAGTACTGACGCAGAATGTGGTACCAGCCTTAAAATGTATTTTTAAAATGTCAAATAACTAAATCAAAATAGCTGATAATTTTTAGATGTTTTTTTAAATATTCTTAAAAATACTATGATATTTTACGAAAACAAAAGATCAGCATTTTTGTTTGCATATAATTTTATCAAGTACACCATCTTGTTCCGGAATGGGAGCAAGTACTTAAAAAAAACGAATGAAATTAATGGTAATGGTAAGCAAAAAATTAAGCACCATATTTATGAAGTCTTAATTGTAAGGCTCTTAAAATATCATACGACCTTATAAAACTGCACGAGTACGACATTACCTATGTGTGTTGTTGTTTTGTATGTCCCTTGAGCAAGCCAAACACGCTAGGCATTGGCCTTTGTGAATTAAGTCGGGGATTTGCGCATCTCGTTTGACAAGAGAGCACCCTAAGGGTAAAATTACAACTTAGCTCAGAATTCTCCGGATAGATGGCAGCACCACTCATTCGTGAGTTCATTTCTACAATTTTAACATAGTCCGAAAGAAAGGAAATTTTCTCCAAGTCCCTGTACCCATGGTACTGTTCAGCGACGCGACTGATCACAGGGCTTTCGATACCACAAATTTTACAAGTACGCAGCATATCACTTGTAGTCGGTGGGTCTTAGTAGATTCGAAAATTTAACTCCGATCCCTCCGGGCTGAAGTGCGATTCTCTAATGTTTTGTAATGATTCTCTAGCGTACTAACATCTCGCTGAGCATGTATTAATCACATTTGTACTGTTAACAAACATGAAAAAAATCAATCGAAATTACAAAGCAGAAATAATAAATTACTTAATGAAAACTATTTGCATCGACGATTTAAAAATCCAGACTAATATTAATTCCCTAATTGAGCAGTCACAAATCGGTCAAGTTCTATTCATTTCCGCTCGATGATAACGCCTGATTGACACCAAAAAATTATAAACTTCATAGTAGAAAAAAAAAATCCATAAAAATGGTATAACATAGTCTAAATTCAAGGAAATTGAAGAAACATAATACGTAGACTTAAATATTATTTTCAATGTGTAAATTTCAAAATTAAATTAATTCTATTAATTTCTTAAAAGCAGATAGAAATTTTACCTTTTATTCATACAAAGAAAAAAAATATTTTAATAAAGATTTCAACGTTGACAAATGACGTTTTTCAGTTGCATCTCCTTTTGTCACCCCATCATACTCTCAACCAAAATACATTAAGCGTAGTAATTAGGGGAACAGTTTTTCCCTCGTTTCACTGAGTCTTTTCTTTCATTAACAGCGAGTTAATACGGAGACAATTTTTTTAGAAATTCTTAAGTTATTTTTTTTTCTACAATTCATAAGTGGTTTTATGAAACTATTTTTTCCCTGTCAAAAATATAATTTTTCATCAACTTTTTATGATTTTGTTTTTTAAAAAAAATCTGTTGGATGACTGAGCAGTTGGAGTTTTTAAAGCATATATTCTATCGTAATCTTTTTCTTAATTAAATTGATTCATGTAGTTGTGTTTCACTATGTGTAAAGAAACTGAAACTGTTTGACGTAGTATAAGCGCAAAACAAAATTTAATTATAATTACGTTGTTTTCAAAATTGGTAAGAGTAATATTTCTTAACTATCGTGCGGCACACAATAAAAATTGTTTCAGTCATTTATTTGGCATTTCAATAAGTAGTTTAGATGCTATTCAGAACAGGTGTCCATACATTGGCCATCCAAAAAATGACCGATGATTTTAAAAAGTAATAAAATAATTAATGATGGTTAATATATAAATGCAGAAAGCTGCTTCTTGTTTAAGAAACATGCTATTTTTAACGCACTTTTAAAATAAGTTATAAAATTTAACAACAGAGAGCGCTTCTTTTGGTAAAACTGTAAAACATTTTTTTTTTCCTTTTTAAAACTGAAATACTTTCATCAAGTGTCTGTTACTTTCATCTTCAAACCGCACCACATTTTTATTGTTGTGGTTATTTTAAATAACATTTTCATAGTTTTACTCAGTTATCAATAGATAGAGATCAATGCCACCTGTTGACAAACTTCGTTACTAATTTTTATTCGTGGTCAAAAGAAATTACATACTAATGTAAGCAGAACACAGTTCGCTTCATATTGTAAAACTATAGACCAAAGTCTTTTTACCCCCTTTACGAAATTGAAACCTTGATTTTAAAGAACATTGTCTTATTGCTTTTCTCAGCTATCACAGCCATCTGTTGACAAAATTTGAAACTAATATGAAATCTTGGTTAAAAGAAATTATCTAACATTCAAAAAATGAATGCGACAAACTGTAGATTTTTGCTATTCTTAAACGAATCTTGTTCTGTTTTTATTCAATAGATTTTTCGAATCGGCAATCATTTTAGGGCAATCGGCAGTAAACAAAGCTGGTTCCCACGACTCTGGCAACCACCAATGGTACAAATTAATCTTCAAAAGAGAACCCAAAAATTTTAAAAACCTAACTCATTTATTTCAAAGAAAAAAGAAACATAGCTTACTTTGTTCAAATGTTGTTGTAATCAATGAATATTCGATCATTCCATTCGATCCGGTGTCTTCATCGATTGCCTTCAAAATTCCAAGCGATTTCTTGTTGTGGCTGTAGTTTCCTTCCTTGACTTTAAAGCTGAATTCAGGTCGTGAAAATGTTGGTTTGTGATCGTTAACGTCCACAACAGTTATGTTGACAACAGTTGAAGCTGCAAGACCTTTACCATCTGCTGCAGAAACGTTCAGCAGATAAACTGTACCAGGTTTCAATGTGCTCACAACATATATCTCTCCTAGAAGATAAAGTAATATTCTTTAAAACTGTGGATTAGTTAATATTACAGGGAGATGGTGCATTTTATTGATTTTTCATTGAACTAAAATAATTATTTGATATTTTAACAAATTATTTTTTTTGAAAGGCATAAGGACTGTTCCTCGTATTTCGTGTTGACAGCGATATAAAAGTGCAATCAGTGACTTAAACTCTAGATGAAACTGCAGGAAGTTGATATGAGTTTACCCAATACAATGTAGATAATTTAACTAAATTAATTATCCAGATACTCGTATAATATCACCAGTAACACTATAATTATCAGGAATTTCACTTCACAATCCAACTACTAGTAGAAAAGGTTTTGTGACACAAATTGCAGAAGCAAGTCAAATTAATCGTTTTTATTTAATCTAAGAATTAAATTATATTTAAGAGAACACATTTTACGATTTTTAAACTATGCCAATAATTATGAATAAGTTTTTGACCAGGTATGACTATGGATGATTATATTGTTTTGAAAAAACTTAAATGCAAAATTTCAAATGAAAAAATATTGGGTAAAATTATGTTTGAGTTAACGAGTTTATGACGTATACAAAATATCGTCATCTGCAGCCGACGTATACAAAATATCGTCATCTGCAGCCGACGTATACAAAATATCGGCATTTGCACTTACCGTTTCGTCGGAATTATGAGTGGAAAAATATGAAGCAGAGTTAATTTAAAGTGCGAAATAAATTGGAAAAGGAAAAAAGGAAGGAGGAGACACAAGAAATGATCTTGATGGTCAATGAGACCACACCAGATGTGTTGAAAGTAGCGGGTTCCCAAATTGGAGAATTCAAAATAATCAATAATAATCATAAAACAATTAATAATATCCGAGTAAATAAACGTGAGTAGAAATAAGCGAAAAATTGTATACAACGAGTAGCATAATAATAAAAAATGAGCAATCAGTAATTGAAGTGAAAAACGTAAAAATATATGGACGATAATAAAAACAAATAAGGCTATTTAACAACCATATCAATACCTCTGGGAGTACTGGATTGGAGATCGATCGTTCTCTAATTCAGGTCCAAATCACGATCTGTGGATGGATGTATGAATGCGGCCGCCCTATAAACGGGTGCGACGTATGGTGTGGCAGAAGTCGAATTCTTGGCCATAGATGGCACCACTGGAAAACAAGAACAATCGCACCCCCTCTGCCTAAACAGGCATACGGCCACACAACAACCATATAAAAAATCGATACGATACGTGAAATTAATTGGCCGATAGCGTAAACAGAGATGACTTGTGGGTCCTAACATAGGGATTTTTTCCCACATCGGCTATCTGTAGCTTCAAGGAAAGGGTTGCTCCCCTGGCCAATAAAAAAATTAAGGAATTGGAGTTGAAATTAAGGATAGTAGACGATATTGGAATAAATCTTGGACAGACAATAATTGGAAACTAAAAACACAATAACAGTAATGAGTCTGATATTTTCATCCTGTAGATCGATCTCAAAAATATTGTTGAAATCACCTGCGATATTATGAGCTTCTTTAAAGAACTTTATGTTTAATTTTGCAATGTGATTATTAATGTCTTCGATATTCGGTTCTTTTCTTATGATGTTGTTGCTTAAGGCCTTTGGTGCGCCAATCATCAGTCTGATTAAGTTTACTTCTGCAATAGAGGGTTTCTTTTTAAGTGTGTCAGTAAGAGTAGTAAAAACCGGGGATGAATATGTTAAATATGTTTGATGGAAAATCTTGCTTTTTATACACTTTCTGAAGCTGATCTTCTCAAATGCTAACTATAATGTTTTTGATTTCAACTGGAAAGATGAAAGTTATTAAAGAAACACAAATTTATAGATTGGTAGCAATTGAAGAATACTGACCAGTTGCTCTATCTATCCTTACATCGCCCTTATCTCCAGCAGTAATAATGTATTCTACTTTTGAATTAGGTCCTTTAGCATCGGCATCTAGAGCTGACACTTCCGCAATTTTCGATCCTGGTCTAGCTGTTTCAGGGAGCATTACCCTTAAAGGTCCGTGCTGGAATACAGGTGCATTGTCATTTTCATCAGCAACGTTGATTGTTAAGTACGTAGAGGAACTGAGATTACCCATATCTGTCGCAGTAACCTGAAATACATAGATTACATAGAAATACATAGATTAACTTAGCTTAAAACATCAAAAAATTTAACAAAAAAATTTTAATATATATATTTTTTTCAATTTTATAGCAACTTTAAAATATTAAAAGAAATTTAGAAACATTTTAATGCAAAATTATTGACAAACTTTGCAAAATCTTTAAAAACTTAATATTTTCAACTAATTTTTTTTAAATATTACATAAAACTTAACAAATTTTGTAAATTAAAAAAAAAAACAATTCAAAAAATATAGTTTTTTTTGCGAATTAAGTAAAATTTAAAAATTATAGTTTTTAAATTTTACTTAATTCGCATTGTAATTAAAAGTAAATTTTGTTTAATAAATGATTTTTAAAGTTCATAAATTTTTTTAACATATTTTATAAAGTATTCATCTGACATATTTAACAATGTAAAGTTTTCAACGGAGTCTGTAAAATTTGCAGCACATTTATTCCATTTTTAAAATTTTTTTATACAATTTTTAACAAAGCTTTCACAATTTCTGCAAATATTTTAACATTGTAGAGCTTTTAAACAAATCTTGTAAAGTTTTTAATGACATTTTTAATAAAATCTCTTTTTTAAAAATATAGTCGAACAGAACGTTGCTTGTTTTAAATATAACTCATTATCTAAGGCGCGCAAGGAAGCCCGGGAAAATTGTATATTTGTATTTATTTGTATATCTTACCTGCAAATCGTATCTCTCTTTTCTTTCTCTATCCAGCGTAAGAATGGGATCTGGCGAACTAAAAATAACTTCTCCACTCTCAAGTATTTTGAATAATTCACTTCCGGCACCACTCAAAGAGTATCGCACTACGGAGTTGTTACCGCTATCATTGTCAACAGCAGAGATAGGAGGATCCTGCAACAATAAAATAAAACATACACACCTTATTATATGTTTCTTGAAGAAAATATTTCAAAATATAAAAATATTTCCTAGGGATGAGTTTATAGACTTTTAAATTATTGACAGGAATTCGTTATGCAATAATTTAAGGGATTTTTATAGATTTTTTGTAAAAGGTCCATTTTTGAGAAGTTGCGAAACTTATAATTTTAAGACCCCAATTAACTGCTCATAATTTTGCGAACCGAACCCGGAAGACAAATGAAATCCTGGATCTAGTATTAAATAAAACTGGACTTGACATTTTGCTGAAATTTACTCACATTTGCGTAACATAAAGATATCATAATCAGTTTGAAAAACAAAGGAATTCATAAAACACTTACGGCTGAGAGTAATGTACGTCGACACTGTGGTCTGTGCTTCTTAGCAGTGCATGAATTTATCTGCCATTGCTGGGATTTGAATCTGGGTCACTTCATCGGAAGATGAGCTTCCTATATCCTGAATTAACCCGGCTCTAAAGCGATGCTTAAGGATTGCCTCTATGAAACTTAAGCGTGCATTATAGTAGTTCTACAAATGCACTTTTAAAACTAAAATCAAAGTTTTAATTCGTTCCATCCAAAAAGGGTATCTGAATATAAAACAGATTACTGGATAAGAAACGCTTTCACTCATTCTCTTCTTGCTTGGCACAAACTTCGCCTACAAGTATGTCGTTTTTTTAATTACGCGATTTTTTTAAGTTCCGAAACATTGACGGGACTTTTTTTAAATCTTTTATTAAAAATGGAAAGCACTAATCGGACACCAGTAAATGACGTCATCGTTTGTAAATCGTAGAATTTGTCAAGTCAGAAACCAATCAGATTCAACTTACAAGCGTGACGTCACTTTCATGCATCCAATTAAATCTGATTAAATTTACATGGCTAGGCATAATCACTTCTTTTCGTTTCGATTTGCAAGTACTAAATTGCAGACTGCTAAAAACCGATTGACAAAATTTTTTTCTATGTAAATGAAATTGACTATTTTAGACTACTTAGGTTTCAATTGTTGTCTGCTAGTGTCTGTTAAATAATTTGAGTTCATTAATGAGCCCTTTACAGCTTATTTGATCATGAAAACGGATTCTTTTCAATAGTTTCCCATTTGAAAAAAAAAAAACTCTTCACAAAATTTTTATAAAATAAAGGAGCTGTTAACGATCTGCGATAATAGGACAGACGATTCTGTGAATAATAGGACAGACGATTCATTTAGAAGTAATGTTAAATGACAAAATGTTTTTCTTTTTTTAACTGAAGGCAGCGAACAACTCTCAAATTTCGTCTCGGAAGATGCCAAAAATGTTGCTCATTTAACTTTACCCGGTAGGCATTTGTGAATCTAAGTGACGGAGGCGAGCAATGTTACTCATGTCACACTGTCACAAATTCCAGCTCATAGAGTGGACCACATTCCCACACCAGAAGACAATACATAGAGAGAAACATTCATGCCTTGAGTGGGATTCGAACCCGCAACCATTGAATTTTCAGTCAGACATGCCGACCTCATGTCTGGCTGAAAAATAACTTTTTTAATGAAAATATTTTTTTCATTGTTTTTCTTTTTATTCAATCCAGAAAATTTCTTACAGAGATCAATTTTTTATCTCCACAACATTAAAAACTGGACAGGATTTTGTTACATCAACAGAGTTGAATGGAAACGTCACGATATTCAAAAGTGTTAGTTATAAACTGAATCTTAAGATAATAGGAAAAAAATTAAATGGCTTACCACTGTAACTGGAGTGCCAGAAGCTGCATTTTCGTTTATGGATCCAGTATACGTATGTTGGAAAGTCGGCACCTCATCATTCACATCCAGTACTTCAACAGTAACTTCACACACAGTCTGTTAACAACAAATACATATGAAATCGACAAATGAAATAAAAATCCCAACGTAGCATTTTCACTTTCATTCTGATGGTATAGAAAGGTTAACTAAATAACCATTAAAAATTAGTAGAGATATCAATATGCCTAGCTTGTTTCCTTAAAGATTTTAAAGAAGGCATGCAAATTACTTAACAAAGAAATTCTCAATTCTTAGCTTTACTGTAAACCTTGTTTTTTCCTTTCTTTCACTCTGGTGTTGCACAGGCTCTCAAATGCAACATTTTGTTTGCATTGAAAACAGAATGATCAGGCCGATTGTTATTTTAAAAATGTTAAAGAAAGCATATAAAAGTCTGTGCAAATAAAGCTTGTTTCGAGATGGTCCAAAAATATAAAAAATGAAACTTGAGAAGGTGAATTTATTCTCGTTTTGACAACGCTTTCTACTCTTAATTTGCGAATGATGAATCATTTTCAATTTTAGAAGGTTTTTCTAGCCTTGGTTTTTAAATGCAGACTCAGTCACGGCTTAAAAGGGTAACTTATACAAGCTTAATGCAAGCATAATCCTCTAAAAACCTTGTTGTGCCTTGTTATAAACGATGTCGTGTAGCATTAAAATCAATTTTACCCTGATATCTGGAAATGATATATGATTCTATAAAACAGTTAAAGAAAATAGAATTTTCTATAAAATAGTGAACGAATACTATATAAATAATTTAGATAGATAAGGTTTTCTCAAAATATTTCCCTAGTATTTTATTTTATTTTCAAACTATGCAATAAAAATTAAGCATATGGAACCACATATAACTGAAAGTTTAATATCTAAATCTAGAATATAAAAAAATTGTTAAAATTATAATGCGTTTAAAGTAGTTAAAACCAGCCATGAAATTGTAATCGTTGTCCCTCGGGTATTCTTAATAAAAACAAATAGAAACTACTGACATCACATTTTAATTTGATTCGAAAACTAAAGTGATTAGGATCGCTTGAAATTTAATAATTATAGTGACTAGACTTGACAATGATTCGTCGGGTAAAGCATAACGTTACGAATCATTGTATTTACTTTTTAATACTCATTTAATGCACTGTAATGTAGTTATTATACTTGAGGGAATTTACAAAAAAACTTACATAGTTGCATTCTCATCATTTAAATGAATTTGTACCGTAAAATGATGATTGAATGAGGTATTCATTGATAAAAAGTCTGATTGGCATTTATTCAAAACAAACTGTGAAATAAATTTATTTCTAAACGTTAACGTTAACGTGTATTTTAAGACTATTCAGATAATAGGTGAAGAACAGTGATTGCTACACTTCATAGGAATAGGAACATTCATTATTGCGTTGGCAAAATTGCTGAACGTTACTGCTAAACGTTAACTTGTATTTTAAGGCTATTCAGATAATAGGTGAAGAACCGTGATGGCTACACTGCATAGGAATTGGAACATTCATTATTGCGTTGGCAAAATTGCTGAACGTTACTGCTAAACGTTAACTTGTATTTTAAGGCTATTCAGATAATAGGTGAAGAACTGTGATGGCTACACTTCATAGGAATAGGAACATTCATTATTGCGTTGGCAAAATTGCTGAACGTTACTGCTAAACGTTAACTTGTATTTTAAGGCTATTCAGATAATAGGTGAAGAACCGTGATTGCTACACTTCATAGGAATAGGAACATTCATTATTGCGTTGGCAAAATTGCTGAACGTTATTGCTAAACGTTAACTTGTATTTTAAGTCTATTCAGATAATAGGTGAAGAACTGTGATGGCTACACTGCATAGGAATAGAAATATTCATTATTGCGTTGGCAAAATTGTTGAACAACTAATGTTTTTAAAATGAAGATAGTCGCGTAAATCTGAAACTGACATTATTAGTCACTTCCAATGCCTTCTATCATTCCTGATTTTAATTCTACTTAAAGTATTTTTGCGTAACGAAATCTGCAAAGAGCCAAGATATCCAATACTCACAACTTTTGTAGAAGGTTTCTTTTCTTCAAGCATTACAGTGAATGTGTGTTGACTCCTCTTTTCTCTATCCAATCCAACTTTGGTGAATATTTTACCTTCCTGAAAAATTATTTTGATAAAAATATAAATTACATTGAAAATAAAAGAGACTTTTCATTAAGAATTTTTTGTTTATTAAAATTTCGTTTTTGGTCGAAGGTAAAAAAGAGATTGGTGAACCAATGAAGGGTTAAACAAAGCTGTAATCCGTGCTCTTATTCAGTTAATTCTCTGACAAAGTCATAGATTGAAAGAGATTGGTGAACCAATGAAGGTAAAAAAGAGATTGGTGAACCAATGAAGGGTTGAACAAAGCTGTAATACGTGCTCTTATGCAGCTAATTCTCTGAAATAGTCATAGATTGAAAGAGATTGGTGAACCAATGAAGTTAAAAAGGAGATTGGTGAATCAATGAAGGGTTAAACAAAGCTGTAATACGTGCTCTTATGCAGTTAATTCTCTGACATAGTCATAGATTGAAGTTTCATATGATCTTAGTTTTTCTCTGATATTTTATTGCATTGTAAAAAAATTCCGGATTAAATTAGGTAAAAAGATACAGACACTCAGTTTGCCTGTTCCTTTTCCGTAAAATCCGTTTTCAACAATAAGTCTTATAGAACAAAATGTCTGATATACCATAATCTTTACTATATTCTTTACTGCAACATCACTGAATTACGGTATTTAAATTAATGTAAAAATTAAGGTATAAAATTTTACGATAAAATGGATTTTACAGATTCTGCACCAAGGGTGTCATTACTTTTTACCAGAATTCTTTACTATGTGCCCTAACGTTTGTACGACTTTGGATATTCTTAATCACAACTATCAAACTATAAGGTAAACAAATTAAAATTAACTATGTGTATAAGGTATTCATTACCGATAAAAAAATAACTACGATTTTTTTTACTATAATTTTAAATAAAAGTGCTATTATTTATTTCCAAAAAAATTCTTTCAATTTTTAAAATTCATTTTGATTATTATGTAAGTTATTCGAGTAAAACAAAATATACTATAAATTTTATATTTTTGACGTGATAATAATAAAATGAAATACTGATTTTTATGTTTTAACACCAATTTTTATTAATTGAATTTTAATTTTAAGTGAATTGGAGCAGTTGAGAAAACAAACAAAAACCTTATAGCAATTCCATTAAGGCTTCGAAGTTTTGGTGAAAACATCATTAAAGCAAAAAAGAAAATTAGTTTCTATAATAAGAAAATTTTTTTTCCAGTGAAAGTCAAATTTATTTTTAAGTGATAATGCATTATTCATGCAGTTTGAGTAAAGAAAAAGAAAACTGAGAACTTTTTTTTTAACTATAAAAGTTTAGTTCAAGCTATTTAATGAGCATTTGGTGTTAAAACGTTAGAAAAAATTAAAACTAAATTTAAAAAAAGCCTTTGAATCGAATACTTAAATTTTTGTTCCATTCACTCATTTAAAAATTATGAGTTAACAGAAGAGTGTATTGAAATATGATTACTAACTAAGAAAAATAAGAATTGCTTTTATAAATGCTAAAGCATTCTGATTGATCACTACTTTTTGTGAGCATTTAAAAGTATAATAATTACTTCCATTTTTTTTGCATCAAAAGGTAATTAATTTTCAGTAATTTATTTGTGATTAAAAGTTAAAAGAGCTGCTCCAGTAATTCCCAAAATTAAAAATAATATTTTCTTTTCAATCGCTCTTATTATTTGTATTTTTAGAGTAAGTAATTTGCCATGCGCCCAATGAGTTGTCTAATGTAGAAAACAAAAATGAAGACAGATTAACAGCTGATAGTTCAGGGTTATTAAAAAAGTACATCAGGAAAAAACATCACGCTTACTTTGCTGAATAATGTTGAGTGGTTTTTTAATCCCTTATTCAGCCGTTTGTGAATTTCATGGAATTAGGGATATTTTTCAAAGTCCAAGGTTTTATAATCAACCACGTTTTGAAGGATGAAATTGCGTTCCGTTTTAAAATTATTCTGTCACATGCTGAATAAAGTAATATAATTTCCTGGTTTTGTAGATTTCCTTTAAAGTAATCATAAATAACCACCAAGATCATGCAATTTAATGAAGTTGGACTTTTTTGTTAAGTCTAAAGTGTATTTCAAGAGGATTTAGAAGAACCCACGTTTTGAAAATAAAAATTAAGTGCCGTATCAACAATATTCAGTCACATCTTGAACAATATAAAGTCATCGCCTAGCAAATTTCCATTGATGCAATCATAATTGACCACCAATATCCTGCAATTTAACGATGTTGGACTGTTTTGGCTACTAATTTATTTATTTTATTTAAAGTGCAAAACAAGAGACTTTACAGTCACCCACGTATTGAATATCAAAATTGTGTACTACATCAACAATATCTATCCACAAGTTGATCAATGTAAAGACATATTCAAGTCGTGTAATTTTCCAACTTAGTAATTATAATTAGCAGCCCAGATCATGCAATTTAATGATGTTAGACATGTTCCTTTGGGAATTTTTTTATGAAGTTAAAGTTTTGAAGATTGAAGTTAAAATTTAAGTTTTGAAGATTGAAATTAATTCCGTATCAACAATATCCAGCCTCACTTAGAACTAAGTCACTTCCTGGACACGTAAATCTCCTTTCATATAATCATAATTAACCGCCCAGATCATGTAATTTAAGGATGTTGGACATTTTTTAAGTCTAAATTGTATGACTAGAGTATTCACGAGCACCAGAGCTTTCGTAATTAAGATTCGTATCAACAATATTCAACTACATGTTGAGCAATGTAAAGTCATTTCTTTGTCGTGTAATTTTTAGTAATATAACGATTTTGGATTTTTTAATAAGAATATTTTAAGCTTACATGCCTGACAACAGGCTTTACTAACCACGCCGCCTTGAAGGATGAAATTAAGTGCTCAAAAAATTCAATCACTTATGGACTAAATTGAGCGCTTTTTCAGTTTAAGTTTGTAAGAAAAAGAGTTTAAAAAACGAGCAAAACAACGCTTTTTTACACTTAATTTTTATTTAATATTAAAGTATTTAAATAAATACTTTAATATTAAATAAAAATTTACAACATATTTAAAATTTATAAAATTTTATTGAAATAATGCTAGATAAAATGAATGCACGATGAATTCCCCACTTAAAAAAAAAAATCAATTACTCTTTCAGTAGATTCAACATTTTCTACTTGAGAAAAACAGTGAAAGCGATAAAACAAAGATTGAAAAATTATAATAATCTTTTCAATAAGAAATGAGATTTTTTTCGGAAACATATAACGGATATCAATCAATAAGAAAAATGGATTCTCTCTCACGTAGAGCGTAAAATATGGGTGTTGCAGTAAGGCACTAAAAAAATATTATCTGGTTGCCCTAAAAAAATCCTTCTTTTTCCCTTTTTTATTCTTTTTAAACTCAACCAAAAAAGTTATTTTGCTTGAGTTAATAAAATGAAATGCCATAACCAGATACGAAATAAACTATACATCTTAATAATACGGTTTGCTTTTAATAATTTATTTATGTTCTTTGCAAATTTACAGTGGCATTTTAAAATTTATGTAATTTTAAGAAATTTTACATGACTTATTTCGATACAATAGTGGAATGTTTAATGAATGAGCTTACTAAAATGTTAATTGTTAAACTAATTTCTGCAATTAAATGCCCTTACAGCGGTTAATTTTGTTTAGTTTGAAAGGGGCTTGGCACATAACTCCAAGATACCTTACTGATATATATTGATAGTGACTATGCCAAACATGAATGTCAAGGACCATAAATTAACGGCATCTTATCAAATAGTGCTAATTTAAAATTTGTAATATATAAAGTATATATATTACAAATTTTAAATTTGCACTGTTTGATAAGATGACGTTAATTTCTGGTCCCTGGCATTAATGTTTAACACAGTCACTTTGGGCACTACTACACACACTGCTCAATTCATTTGACATAGCTTCTGTTTTTGATAAAAAAATATTAATAACAATACTTTCTTTTTATCATCGTTGTTGAGCAGCTGATTGATTTTTGTGATTTGAACAGTCGATGCTCTACGTCATAGCCCTGGAATTTTGAACTCTACTCAGAAGACAAGGAAGGAAACCCGTCATTATGGAGGGTTTTTAAGGGAAATTACGTTTTCATGGAGAGAAAAACAAGAAGATACTAATGCATGATCAGTAGGAAATATTCCAAGAGTTTATTTAAATTACTTGGTTTTCTCAGTGTAATAATTAATAACATAAGAAATTAAATGCTGTGTAATGTAAAATGTTATTCAATATTTTTATATTGCACTGGATGATTTGAATTAAATTTAAAATATAATATAAAAGAAATTCCGAGGGTCAATGAGCGAATTTAATAACATACAATAATTCCTCAATAACAATAATTCCCCAATTTAATAACATACAGCTACGCAGGTCTTTTTCAATAATTTCTTCAAATTTCATTAGACCTAGTTAAACATTTAATAACATGTGTTTTTTTAATGTAATTTTACTTATAACCAGTTAATGTTATATCACTGTGACACACTCTATTTAATATAATTGCAAATAGCTATTTTTAAAAAAAAAAGTTCTTGGATGAGCATACTGTCAAATTTTCTGACAATTGAAATAAAACAATAACTTACCCGTGTGATGTTGAAAAGATTTTTGACATCATTGTTAACAATGTTGTATTGCATTTGACTGTTGCTACGGTGCATACGTTCCTTCAACTCTACATGACCAACGAAGGCACCAGCAATATTTTCAGGAATACCGAAACGGAAATGTTGCTGATCAAATAAAGGATCACGCTCCTCGGCTTCTCTGATGAAAAGTTTCAATGTCGTCTAAAAAAACGATAAATAAACAATACTTTTATTTTAAGATAAAAAAAGATAGGAAATATTTTGTTTAAAAAAAAGCTAAACATTTTATTTCTTAAAATCCTTAACTTAGAAATAGTTATAAATAAGCATTATAACAATTGAAAATTAAAATTTTAACTTCGCAAAATAACATTAAAAATTAAAGCGTACTGAACCGATCTATTTATAAACTACGGTTTATACTTAAAAATTGGCATTTTTAGAACTTTTATTTCGAATAATGATCATTTAAGAATAAAGGTATACTGTAAAAAAATATAAATAAATACTGTAAATTCTTCAAAAAAAAAATATATTGTTCCCTGGAAAAAAAATGTTTTAAGAAAAAAATAACGATTTTTTCTGTTTTTATCCGTTAACTGTAAAAAATTCCCCTTTTTTTACAACCTTTCTCTGTATATTTAACGGTTTAAAGCTGCTTTATTGACAAAACGGTTTTTCTCTGTGTTTATGCTAATCATAAACAGATTAAAACCATCAGTTCAAATTCTAGTTTTTGTCTAGTTTTTACCAAAGTACGATAACTCTACTTTTTTTAAAAATAAAAAAAGTAATTTTACGATTATTTTCCATAACTGTTTTTATTTCACCTACTTTGTGGTTTTAAACGTCGTATAAATAAAACTGTGATTCAATTTTATTGTAAAATTGATACTCTACCTGATTATTATATTTCTTTAAATATACTTTTTTGGTAAATTAAGTTAGCAGATAATTTTATACAGGTGGGCCACTATAGTTTTAAACGTTTTTATAAAGTTTTTACTCATAATATTGCTAAAATAAGTTAGGCGTTTAAGATAAAAACGGTTTAAGATTTTTCTTCTTACTGAGCTAAGAGGACAGTGAGCTCGCCTTCCAATGAAATTATTCTGATTCGAATCCCTCTGTTGACTGTCGTACAAATGCAGTTCTCGGTTCGCACCGATCGCAATGCTGATAGTTACTTTACATATTTTTTTCTTAAAATAACAGAGTTTGTTCAAAGAAAGGAATTTATATGTTAAAATAACAGTACTTAACTGCTTAGAAAGCAGGTGACTGTTTTTAAATAACAATATTTTTCCGTTAAATAAACGGTGTATTATACTTTTTTACAGTGTTCTGAAATAATATCATAAATTATTTATTAATATTTTTTCGCTACTTAAAAGAAAAAAAGTACAAAAAATATCATTAAATTTGAGGTGACAGAGCTGTTCATATCAATGTACGAATAGTCAATATATTTTATTCTTAATTGTTATTACGATAAGTATAAATAGTAATTTTATAATAATGTTTATTAACATTTATTACAATTGGGTAGTTAGGGAGTGCGATGCGGAGGCTGGTTGGTTACAACAAACATCTGCCCTTTGATATAAATTGTGTTAGTTTAGAGAACAAAAAAACTAAACAAATCAACATTTATTTTTAAATAACTAGTGTAACTTCACGCGCATTAATTTCAAAAAGCAATTAAAAATTTCGAATATCGGTTAAAATATATATGTTTTATTTTTTCAAAAAAACAAACAAAAATACTTTTTTAATATAAAAAAATATTGCTATCAGTTTAAAAACATAAGTGAATGCAAAGAAAGTAATATCAAATGCTTGCAAAAATATTAAAATCTGCATTTTGTTTCAAATAAAATAAATGACGATAAACTTTAATTGCTAAAAAATTTCAATTTCACATTTCTTAAGTATTTAAAACATTACTTGTTATTTTATATAGATTTAAAGAACATCTGCTTCATGTTTCGAGCAACTTAAAAATGTTAGTTACATTTTGAAGTATTACCGTATCAAAATCAACTGAAGAATTCTAAATTAATTTTAAAAATTGCGTGTAATTTTTAAAGCAAAATTTTTCTTTTAATGATCAGAATTATACAAAAAAAAACATATACTTATTTTAAATTACAGCTTTTAGACAAATTTATATATCATATTTAAAAAAATAAAATAATTGGATTCTTTAAATTGACTTAGTTTAGTTTTAAAAACTAAACATTTCAACGCTACGTGTAAGTATATTTTAAAAAATATTGCATTTATATTTAATAGTATTAAAAATATAGTACCGTTTATGAAGAAAAAAAATTTAAAATGCTACAGCTACGCTATTGTAATAAAAGTTTAGTACTTCTTATGGAGTAATATTTTTAAATAAGATTACAGTTACATTTAACAACACAAGGATATAGTACCGTTTATGAATGAATAGTTTTGAAAAGTGCTACACTTACATCTAATTGTAATAAGAATATAGTACTTTAATGAAGTAATAATTTTTAAATAATATTACAGTTACATTTATCGAAACAAAAATATAGTACCGCTGCTTTCCAGAGTCCATCAGAAGCTTCAACAATGATACTATATTCTCTGTTTTCTGAAACATCTAGAGTTCTGGATACATTTACAGCTCCGGTGAATGGATCAATAAAGAATGGAACTAATAATAAACAAAATAATTAATTATAATAATCAATTATAATTGAATAATTAATAATAAAAATTCATAAAAAAAATTCATAAAAAATTCATAAAATAATTCATAAAAAATTTTTTTTAAAAATTAATAAAGAAAATAAATAATAAATAAATTAATGGAAATAAATAAATTACATAATTTACGGTAAAAAAAATCTGCTTGCATATAATTAAGATGATTACAACGAATAAATAGAGTTGTTAGAATCAAATCAATCAATTTCTTTAAATCATTATAACAGTGATTCAAACTTCAAAACTAATTAATTATTGAAATCTTTGAATTAATAGTTTAATGGATTTTTAACACAAGGAATTCAAACTACAAAAATACTATTTTTTTTTTAAATCTTTGAACCATTAAATTTAAATCAACGGATATTAAACAAATCAACTGTCCCGAAATATCAGTTTTAAAATCAATTAAATCAGATTAAGTATTTGAACCAGGGACTCCATTAACGACTATAAGAACTATTTTGAATCGACGTAAATTAATATACGAAATTTAAATTAATAAATTCATCTGAAATGGCGGAATTAAAGTAAGTTGAATCAGATAATTTAAGCATTTGAACCTGAGATTCGAATAATGCAAATATTCGATAAATACTTTGAATCAATGTATTCGAATCAACGAAATTTAAATCAATAAACGGACCTCTCATAACAGTTCTAAATTATAAGAATCTTCGCCCTTAAATATTAGAATCAAGGATTCAAATCCCGCAAATAATAGCTAAATGAAGTCTCTGAATTGGTATATTTTATTAAACGGATTTGAAAAATTTACTTTTTCCAAATACGTTAATACGAAACAATATTAATAAATTCAAATCCGTTGATTTAAAATAGCAGAATTGATTCGATAAGATTTATTTAAAAACAATCACTTAATGTGATGAAATAATATTTTAATCAGTGATTCGGAGCATAGATTCAAATCGTAGATTCAGCATCAATATTTAAACTGTAAAAAATTCCACATCAACATAAGATAAACGTTTTATTGTTACGGTACTTTTTATCGTGATACACATTTTTTAGAGAAACATGTTAGTGAACGAAAAATCTGGTATACCGCATTTTTTACAATAATAATTACCGTAAAATTAATGAATCACTTTTTAACTAATTATTCATCATTTGCTTCCGTCACTGTAAAACATTATGTAATGCGGTGAAAAGTATCGGCACTCAAGGCGCCCGTATTTATTACCGTGAAATTAATTTTTACCGTAACATGTTACGGAACAAAAAAAAACTGATAAACCGTAATTTTTACAACAATACTTACCGTCAAATCACTGAATCACTTTAAATAAATAAATGTTACTGTAAAAATTACGACATAATATTCATAGGAAAAATGAATTTTACGAATGTTGCCTTTACTTTATACCGGAATTTTTCGCACTGTAGTATACAATTAAAAAAAAAACGAAATTGAAAAGAGAAAATTTTTGATAAACGAAACTCATCGAATAATTCAGTTCCATTTTGATAGAAATTAACCTCCTAATCAATTAAGAGAACTAATTAAAAGAGTAACTTCATGGTAAAAATGGATTTTAGGAATGCTGATGGCATTTAATACCGGAATTTTTTGCGCAGTAGTATACAATTAAAAAAAACAAAATTGAAAAAAAATAAAAATTCTGATATACGAAACGCATTGAATAATTCAGTTCCATTTTGATAGAAATGGACCTCCTAAATCAATTGAGAGAACTAATTAAGAGAGTAACCGGAGGAAATTGACATGTAAAAGTGTCACTTACCATTCCTCGTTCTCGATCCGAATGCATATTTCATGTTGGTGTTGTATTCAGCGTCTTCATCCTTGGCGGACAATGTGGTTACGACGCTGCCCACAGGCTCATTTTCAGAAACGAATTCATAATAGATGTCTTTGGCGAACTCCGGAGGACTATCATTAATATCTTGAATCACAACTGCCACCTGATGTCATTAAAGGATTAAATTAGTGAATTTAGATTAGATTGATAGCACACTCGGTGCAATAACGGTTTCAATAAAATGAAATAATAGAATACTCAGCTTTAACTGAACAGTAGTATTTATCTATTAAGTATTGAACTTAAACCTATTGAACCTAGTAAGTATTGAACTTATTTATAAAATTAATTACTTATTCATATACATAATTATTGATATAATTATTATTTACTTTAATAAAATTGTAAATAATTAATTAATTCGATTATGTTTTTATATTTTTGTATATTTTCTATTAAATAATAAACTGTACGATTAAGAACTTATTAATTTAAATAAATAAATTAGTATTATTTATTTTATTTAATTAATTATTTGTATTATTAAATTAATTATTTGTTTTATTAAATTAATTATTAAATTAATTCATTATTATTTAATTAATCATTTTTTATTTATTTTATAAAAATTTTAGATAAATTATTAATCTATGTATTTATTTTTTATTCAAAAAATACTTTAATAATTTTGATTTCATTTTATTATTAACATTAACTATATTATTATGACTATATTCTATTTTTATAACTGAATTATTTCTGATTTAATTATTAAGTTTATTATTTAATAATTTCATTTATTATTGATATATATATATATATATATATATATATACATATATATAATTAATTTTCTTCGTAATTATTAATATATACATAATTATTGATATAACAATTATTTATTTTAATAAAATTGTAAATAATTAATTCATTCAATTATGTTTTTATATTTTTATATATTTTCTATTAAGTATTGAACTGTACGATTAAGAACTGAACTGTAGGATTGCGGTATTTATCTATTATCTGCCCTTTGATTTTCATACAGGTATTAGAAAAGTAATCATTTACATATTACTTAAGATTAAATATTAAAAATTTGACTATCAGAGTTTTTTATTTTAATTTATTTAAGCAAATCTAAAGGTAAATTTAAGAAATTATTGAAATTTCTATGAGATCAAAAAGTCAAAAAAAAGTAATAATTAAATTAGAGTTTTTGCGAGGATATTATTTTAGCAGTTATTGATTTATCATTTTAACAATCGAAGGAATAACTTGAAATAGGAGTGCATAACTTGCTGCCTGAGAGCCTTATGTGGCCTGCTGAAGGTTGATGTGCCGTTCACTAAAGCTTTTGAACACTGTTAAAAAAAAATGTCGAAAGGTTTGAATTGTACATTTAAGTCATCTCATCGAATTCTATTGTAAATGTCGTCTCAGATCATTTTTTAGTGGTTACTGCTACGAAATTCCTCATGGTTTCAAACACGTTTCTTTAAAACAGTTGTAAACCAGATTTGATTTTCGATTGTGTCTGGTGTTTTATTTACTATCAGCAGTGAAATTTTTTTATCAATGGAAAAAACTTTTTTACAAATGTTTAATTTATGTAAATTAAAATGATAGCTGATATATTAATTTAATAATTATTCATTTTAATTCATTAAGAATAAAAGAAATGGCCTAAATGCTTGTTTAAAACACTTACAAACTGGATAGATCAATGAGAATTTCTTTCATGCAAATTGTTTGCAAATGCAATTTAGAATTCTTTCGATTATGTTAATTTAATAGTTATTGGTTTTTATACTACCCATTTTGACCTAGCGCGACACATATGTACGTCACAAGAATTGTGAAAATTCTTTGAGAATTTTTCTAATTTGAAAAATAATTGTTTACACATCAAGCAAATGTTTTTATTTTTTATTTTATTCTTTTCAAAAATCAAATAGTAGCTAACAGGAGAAAATATTCATTTAATTAAAAAGAAATAATCAATTATTTAATAGGAGTTTTTTTGCGACATGGCATATAAAAAAATTCAGACTTAAATGCCTTTATAAATGCTAGATTTTCAAAGAAACACTATGTTCATTTAAAACATTAGCGAACTAAATTTGAATTCTGAACATAACTCGTAGTTTGTTATGCTGGTAAAAAGTTAAAGATATTCATAAGCGAGGATTACATTCATACAATAGGTTCTTCTTAAAACTGTATCCAACTGTTTGACTCGTCTTCTGAGTAAAATTAAAAAATTTCAAAATCTTCAGACGTTAACGCAAAGACACTCATTAATATTTTTTAAGCTAAAGACGTATTTCCTTAAATTGTTATAAAAATTTTATTAAAACTTAGTTTTATAGGAAAAATTTAACAAACGGTACTAGGAGAATTTTTTTCCCTTGTTAATTTTATTTTTTTTATTACATTTAGTTTTTTAATCAAAAATCATGATGCAATTTAAAATAAACTCTGAGGCTATATCTTAATTATTTAATAAAGAAGTTAACTTTTATGTAAGGTTACTCCATCTGCTTAGATTAATTTAGAATAAAATAAACAAAAAGAATTAAAATATTCGAAAAATAGAGGAATGTAACTTATAAGTTTCAACTTACAGTTGCTGTCCCTGTTCTGGAAGGCACTCCCATATCTTTTGCACCAACTACTACCACATGCAATGCTGAGTCAGGCACACCGTACTCTTCTCTGTCTAATTCTTTAACTACTGTCAGCAAAGGCTGGAATTAATAAAATGTTTTAATTTTATCTCATTTATAAAAATAAAATTTTGTGTATGAAAATTTCTTTTCTTTAATATTTTAGAATTAAAAAAAAGTAGCTTTTGCAGCGTATTTCTAAAAGTCAAATTTGTCAAATTAAATTTTTTGTTTAGATTTTATAAAATCCGAAATATTTATCACCTCACCTAAGCACTTTGGCTGTTTCAATTACTTACTGAAATTATTTGCATTGCTGGCTGTTCGATTACGTTGTTATTCAAATTATTTTTGCAAATAAAAATACATTAATCTACTAATTAGCAGTAAAGAATATCGTTTCAACTATTCGTTAAGTATTTGGAAGTAATTTGAAAATATTTTAACTGAAAATAAAAATTATAACAAAATTCTAAATGACAATGCATGGTTGTTTACGGATGTGAAAAATAGCTCTTAACATTTTTAAAAAATAGGACAGAAAATAAATATGCAAGGATAGTTAAAAGAATTTTAAATTTAAAATTTTTGAAAATCTAGTTGGACATAAATAAACTTTAAGCCTTGCATTTGATTTAAGAATTTAAAAAATCACAATTCGGCTCGGTTATTAAGAACTGTAATATAACAAAAATAGAGCAATTTTAACTATTTTCTTCTTCATAGGCTTTTACTAGAGCCGATTACCGGGACCAAAGTAGTCACTTTACCCCATATCGATCTATTCGATGCTATATTTCTCCAACTCTTAACTCTCTCAAGTCCCTTAACCACTTCTCTTCTCAGTCTAACCATCTTGTTCTAGGTCTTCCTCTTTTCCTTTTTCCCTTTGGTTCTGGGAAGTTTATTTTTTTAACGGGATTTTTATCGCTATATCGAAATACATGTCCTAGCCACCTTATTTAAGAAATCTTGATCAGTTTTACTACGTTAGGTTCTTTGTATTTTGATTATAATTTATAGTAGTAATGAATTCTCCAAGTTTCATTTTCTCTTGCTAAACCAAAAAATCTTTCTTTATATTTTTCTCTTGAAAGTAATCAGTTTCTCTTCGTCTGCTTTGGTTTAACTATATTAGTTATTGTTAATTGGTTGAACAACATCTAAATAATCTTTTCTTTTTCTCTTTTTTACTCTTAACTGTCTTTTTTACTGGGGTATTTAACTCCTTGAACCAACAAAACATTTTTTTTATTTATTTATTTATTTTAGAAATTATCTTTGGGGATTGATTAGTTATTGAAGTAGAATAGATTTCTTTTCTGACTAAACCTTGTAATGTAACCTTGTAATCTTGCTTTATTATATTTTAGAAAAATAATGTTACAATTAGAAAAGAGAGCTTATTTATGAAAAGGATGATATTACGTTGATAAAATGATGCTATAAATCATTTGAAACTTACTCCTCGATCATCTACAGATAATCTAAAATGATTGTCTATATTTCCTTCCAGTATTAGTAGCTCCATCTGCCGATTTGGTCCGTCATCATAATCGACAACTGGCAAGCGAATGCTGGCACCTAAGCTACTTGACCCTTAAAAGTAGTAAGCAATAAAATAATTTGTATGTAGTAACATAAATACCATTTGGGATTATTATCTTCTAGTCTAGAATTATTTCAGTGACATGACAAAAATATTTATTTTTATGAATCCTATGATATAAGTAGAATCAAAATGGGATCTTTTAATGACACTGTAATTAAACAAATTATTATATTTCATTGTATTTCTCGGAAAAACAAAACATATTTTAAAGCAAAAAAATATTTCAGCAAAGAAGTCATTATTTTTAAATAATAATTAATTTGCAAAAAAAGTTTTTCTAAGATACAAATAATTTGGTGCTGCCATCTGTAAATTAAAATAAAAAACATTAAGTATTAAGAGCATGTAAGAAAAGGTTTTACATGAAGCAAATAACTTAAATAAATAAGAATTAAATTAACACTAGAGCCTTAAATTATTACTAAATATAGGTGCATAGAACTTGGATAAAACAAACTGAAGATTTAAAAATAATATAAATTATTCAAAATATATAAATTATTAAAAAGATTGAAAAATGTTTCGGTGCTGCTCTCTATACTATTTTTTATTAACTGAATTTTAGAAAATTTTATTAAAAAAATTATGGTGAGATTTAATGAATGTTAATCAGCATTATAAGGAAAAAATAAATAAACAGCAATAAAATAATTTAAACTCTTAAAAATTACTTCAATATCAAAATTGAGTATTTATTTAAATTTATCAAGAAAAATTGAAGTATTTACCTTCTGTAACATTAAGTAAGAAAGTTTCATTCAAAAATGTCGGGGTCCAATCATTTTCATCTTGTATGGAAACGTGCACGTTCGCAAATCCCTAATAAAACCAAACAAAAAGTATAATATATTAGCAATATTAATTATTTTCAATATAATAGTTTTGGTTCAAATCAAATTTTAATCACTTACAGTATTATTGGCAGAATCAAGGGCAAGAACTCGTAACATATATACAGGAGTTTCTTCTCTATCAGGAGATGTACGTACAGATAATACTCCAGTATTTTCTTCAATTTGGAATTGCTGTTCACTGTTACCTATTATAAGGATTCATATTCTATTAATACGCAATTTATATTTTAATTCAAGATAAATATAACTGTTATATTAAATAGAAATTAAATAGAGTGAATGAGTATAACATCTCCCAAATTTAATATACACAGGTATAATAATAATACAATACAGCAATTCGAGAACTATGTTATGTCTCTCGCATATATAGCATCAATGCTTAAAGTTTTATTTATTGTATTGTTCCTATATCGATTTAAAAAATTTTATGCATTTTTATGCAAATCTTAATGTATTTTTATGCAAAATTTCATATATTTCATGATTTAATTCATACTTCTTTTATACTTTGCTGTTAGTTATTTTTTATTTATTTTTATTTAATTATTAATTTAAATAAATAAATTATTATTATTTATTTTATTAAATTAATTTTTTGTTTTAATTATTAATAAATTATTTATTATTTAATTAATCACTTTTTTTTTAAAAAAAGTTGTAGATAAATTATTAATTTATGTATTTATTTTTTTATTTAAAAAATACTTTATTAATTTTATTTTTATTTTATTATTATTATTAAATCTATAATTACTATTATGACTATATCTATTTTATTTTCATTACTGAATTAATTGTGAATTAATTATTAAGTTTATTATTTAATAATTTCATTTATTACTGATACATATAATTAATTTTCCTTGTAATTATTAGTATATACATAATTATTGATATAATTATTATTTACTTTAATAAAATAGTAAATAATTAATTAATTAAATTGTGTTTTAATATTTTTATATATTTTTTATTTTTAAATATTTATTTAATTTTATTTTTATTTTCTTCTTTGCTTGCTGAAACTTTGTAGTTTTTTTAAGAAAAGAAGAAAAAAAAAATTTCAACAATTCTTGTCGTTCCAGCTTGTAGTTTTTCGCATTAAAAATACACTCCATTGTTTAAAAATCCATCAAAAAATATTATTTAATTTAGTTATTTAATGGTATTTAGTAAAAAATTTTCAGGCCTTTCAAAACCAATCCATGCCTTATTTTAAAAAATGAATTTTGCATAAATATATTAAAAGGTTGTGGCAGTTAAGTGAAAAATTTCATTTCTTCCAAAGGAGAAATTTCTTTGTCATCTTAAATATTGGTAAAACACAAAGCAAACACTTATATAATCTATTGCTAAAATACTTATTGCCTACATTTAAACTATTTTTTTAAAATTAAGTTTCTGAGAAATTTGACTTCTCCTTATATCACCCAAAAGCCCTACATATTTTATATGAAATTCAGACTTAAAAATGCATTCTGCAAACAAAATTCACTCATTAAAACACTTATCGGTTACTCAAATGTACAAAATAACACTTCCAAATTCGCGTGTATAAAATTATTTAAAAAATTTATAGCAAATGCACACAACTTAGCTGACCAATTATATTAAAGGGAACAATTCAAGAAAAAAATATTACCATCAACGATAAAGTATCGTAACTTGTTTGTGTCTAGTTCATCTTTATCCAATGCAGTCAAATGAACAACCACGTGACCTGGTGGTGCGTTCTAAAATATATAATCAAATATAGTTGGATCAAGAAAAGAATATCAAAATATAATCTATAAGGAATATTTATCAATAAAATATAAAGAATATGGAAAGAAAAGAATCGAATTTCAACAGACATTTTTTATGTTCAAATACATATTTTTCACAAATTATAAATGTATTAATTAACTACGATATTTATGTTAATTAAAATACAGATATCAATAAAATATTACTCACCTCTTTCACTTCCACAACAAAATCTTTCTTTTCGAAGATTGGACTGTTATCGTTCACATCTTCCACAAAAATATTCAATCTCGTATTTCCCGAGCATCTTTGATTACTCGCAGTTACCTGAAATGTTAAAAAAAAATATGAATAAATAAATAACACTATTTATTCATTAAATTTTGTCTGAGTATTGAATTTTGTCTATTTTAATTAACGGACTTACCGGAAAATTTATATTTATGTGACTTGCATAGAATCTTTTATTTAAATTACGTGTAGTATTAAATGAGTTTATTACGAAGCATTTTCAATAAATATTTCACCTCTTTCCATAAAATTTCTTTTGCGCATTTTCAAACAAATAAAAAAATTTTACTCATTTGAAGTATGAGCCAAATAAATACGATATATTTTAATAAATATAAAATATAACAAGTTTCATAATTTTTTAAAAATATTTATGATTTCGAAACGCACTGTAAGAAATTCAAACGCATCACTTTAGGTGCATCATCCATAAAATCTATTATACCGTAAAATATTATATCATATTTTTTACAAAAGTATTTATTAAATTAGAGTGATTGAGTGATTATACGTTAATTATTACTGTAAAAATTACGTTATATCAAGTTTTTTGCTATGAGGAATGTTCTGGTAATTACCGTAAGGATCCAAAATTAATCACAAGGATTTGATAAGGATCCAAAATTAATCACCGGAATCACGGAATAAAATTACGGCAAATTACCGTAATTTGATCATGCGATTTACCGTAATTTGATACTGAATTTTTTACAGTGTGGTATATATATTCAAGTACGTAAAATGACTCACGCCATAATGATACCGTAAAAATATTCAGTTATAATTGTTGAACTCTAATAAATTAAATTCTCATAAAATTCAATACTAATACCATCGTTAATTTCATATTAAATTAGGCAAATTATTTAAATTGTTGGGTTATACTGATGGCATAAAAATTTGCAGTATGGTAACAATGTTAAAAAGATATATATAAATTTTTAATTTTCTTTAAATTTCTTTATGAAGAGCCAACTTTTTTTTTAATCTTTAAATTTTAGATCTAGTAACTATAATATGTCAGAGACACAATGGGCGAATATGCCTTGAGTATAACTGAAATATTTTAATTTAAAAAGAAGAAGAATCATTCCATACCGTCAATGTATACATTCCTTGCAAGGTCATTGGCATGCTATCTCTGTCAAGAGGCTTCTTTATTTTTGCTGATACATTGAATGCCAATGTATCAATAAAGAAATTGTCATTGGAGTTATCTTCTGTGATTTGATATGAGATCTAAAATTATAGAAATTACAATATGTTACATAAATCATTGTTTTGTCAAAAGAATTGTTATGTTATTTGTAATACGAAATGAAATGTGTATAATTCCCACAGTGAGAGTAAAAAAAACAAATTGTTCCCGGTTAAAGTATTCAAAACAAACGCTTAAAGTGTTTCAACCTTGTTGAAAATTGGTCTCTTCAAAAACTCGAAATGATAAAAAAAGATTAAAAAAATCCTCTTAAATATGTTTCCTGTTAAACTATACGTAAAACTATTTTACCAATTCCAAACGAATTAAATTTCGTTGTAGCGGGATCTATGGAAATGTCATTAATTTCATTAAAATCGTGTTTTGTAATTTAATGGTATGGTTTGTTATGGGAGCATGGAGGAATTTGAGATCCGGCCGACAGATGTAACATGCACCAGTCACCATTTACTACAAGGGGAGTCTTCAGTCCACGGGGATCGAACTAACGACCTCTTAGACATGGACCGACGCCCTACGAACCAGGCTATCCCGGCCCCTTTACATTTCGTAGTAATTCTGAACGCAATCAAGGACTTAAGAAAACTAGATTCTAAACAAATGCACCTTATAAGAGGACTTTTCGAGAGAACTATCCCGCATTTCAGTTACATGCAAAAAAAAAATCACAAAACCCCCACGGTTGGTGCTAAGGAAAGTAGATTCTAACGCATTTTCTATCAATTGCTGATGGAATTTCATGTAAGTTCTATGGTCTATGTGAGTCAGGATTGATAAGCAAATGGACCATTTGTAACCAGATTCGAACCCGTGTCACTTAGATTAAAATCTAGATTATAAAATCTTTGATTCATTTTAAATATTTTTGTTAAGCATAAAGCTATATATAACGTAAACCGTTCTACTGCTGCAAAACAAGACAAAATATATCTACACTTTAAAAGCATCCAATATTTTCTTACGTTTGCAGCTGAGATATTTCGGCCATATATTTATTGTCCATTGTTTTATTTTAAGTAATGTGTGATACTTTACAAAACTTTACTTACTCTGTCAAAAATATGAGCATCTTCTACTTGTAAGTATGGTAAGACCACTGAATCAGGTGGAGCATTCTCCCTTATTGCTGTGAAATATTCTGAGAAGGGAAATTTTGGACAACGGATACTAGCATCACTTAATTGAACAACAACCTACAAAAATAAAGGAACAGTTATCATGTGGATAAAAGTATCGCAGAAATAACTCGGATTCTTGAAAAAACGTGTTCAAACATGAAAAAGAATTAATATTAATCTTAGCTCTAAGAGATACTCACTCCTGCTTCAATGCCGCGTCCAGGATCATTTCGATTTGAAGCTGCCACTAAAAAGTGATATAGAGTCTCCTGATCAGCAGACAGTCTTGTTGTGGTTGTAATTCGACCCTGCAAAGATATTTAGTTGTTAAAATTATTCAGAATTAAATTTATAGCTAACATTAGTTAAAAAAAATTAAGAGGATTAGAAATATATAAGTTAACGTAGAAATTGTGAGACGCAAATTAAAAACTTCATGATGCAATTGTGAAAAAAGTAACTCTGATTCAGCTATTATTCCATACTTTATAACTGCAGTTTTTATTGGATTACGATACAATTCAGAATTATAGTGGTTTCTGAGGCATTAAACTCATTAATGGTTAGTAATAATTTTAGCTTATTTGGAAATTTTCGCAATCATCCTAAGATAAACTTTCTTTCGAAATTATGTGCGGAATATAAATAAAAAATATTTGTACGAATATTACCAGATAACAACAGAACATTACATTTGTAGGCCGTTTACTTTCAAGATTTTTTTTATCAATTAAGAAGTTAAAAATTTTATATGGAACATCGTTTTTAAAAAACAGGAATCTTGAGTACTCCTTTTAAAATCAGAAATTTTTTAGTTTAGTTGTGGTTTATTTGATTTCCGTTTTTCGGTAAATGTATGAACCGTTCGATGATAAACTGATACAGAAATCCTAATTATTTACTTAGATATTTTCGTGCGAAGGCATGTTCATTAGAAACTGATCGATACATTTTAAATCATTTAAATAGTTATTTCCGTTCGATACTACTTGCAAGCTAGAAGCTTATTTTGAAATGGTAAATCATTTCAACAGCTATTTCCGTTCGATGGCATGTAAACCAGAAATTAATTGAGAAATGGTAAATCATTTAAATAGTTATTTGCATTCAGTGGCGTGTAAACCAGAAACTGATTGAAAAATACTAAATCATTTATGTGACTATTATAAAAACAACGCAAAAACTGCTTAAGTTACGAAACATATCTTTAACTTGTTTAACATAATATTTATTATAAAATTAAACTCCGTTTTTCTTATAATTTTGTCTGAATTTTTATGAATACAATTGAATAAATTTTGGTTTCAAAAGTAAAAATAAGTACTCACGGTTTCTCTGTCTATGTTGAAACCTCTAATAAGAGTATCTTCCGGACCAGTTATGTTGTAATACACAGGAGTGCCATTTGGTACTGTAGCCCGCACATCGAGTACTGTTGTACCAGCTTCCAAGATGCCATCGGTGTTCACAGAATATTGTACAGAGTTGAATACTGGAGTAGGATCATCGATGGTATCTTTGAAGACCTCAACAACAAGATCAACAGTGCTGAAAAAATTATTGAAACGAATTTAAACATGGAATAAATTCAGTTTCGATGTGCGTAATAAATGCATAAACTCTTAATTACACTTATAATCCGGATTATAATATTATAACGCTTGAAAAAATTTTTAAATATCATATGCTTTCCTCAAAACCAAATATAACTAATGAATATTCTTAAAAAGTAATGCATATGTGTTGTATCACCAGTAGGAAGAGCTTGCAGGAATTGCAGAGGACATAAAGAAGACTCCTCAAAATCAAATTGAATTAGGTCCAAAATGAATTCTACAAGAACTACAGTTATGAGAAGCTAACGAAAGGAATTAAAACCGTAAAAATACGAGTTTATTCGAAACAATCTTGATGCCATTTTTTAATTTGTCTTTTACATTCTACGATAATATTTTAAATTCTGAGCGATAATATTTTAGTTCAAAAGCAGTCACACAGACTGCATTGCGAAACGGAAGAGAATTTCTAACGTTCTGGAAGATTTCTGGCCTGTTTCACAGCTTCAGAAATTTAAAAACAAAGAATAAATGGAATTAACTCCGTGTCTTACAGCAAAGTTCAGGCAAGATAGGTTTGGCAATCTGGGAAGCCCAAATAAGCTAAAAAACTGATGTCTCTATCCTAACTCCGTCTCCTACTGATAAGTCTTAATTTTATCTCGGAAGAAGTCTAGCCAAGATTGGTTCGCCTATTTCGCCAGCCGATATGAATCCAAACACTGATGCCTCTCGCCTGACACAGATATTTCGGACCCTGCATATTATCTGATTCTGATTCTCACTGAATATATCCTACAAAGCTCTTGTAAGTTTCTCGCACTGGTCGAGAAACACCTATCAAATCGATGTATACTGGATGTCATTTGCAAACAGTAAAAAATTAAAAAACCATAATTTGTAATCAATTATTAATAATTGGTAGAGTAATTGTTTATAAAAGGAAAAATATTATTTTTACTTATGAATAACAAAGTTACGTAAGCTTCTTACCTGGATAAAGGTAAAACAGAGCCATCAATGGCTTTGATTCGAAGTGTCTCGGTACTAGGACTCAGTGGTTGACTAGGAGTGATTTGTCCTGTTCTCTTATTAATTGAAAACTGGGAACTAGGTGGTTGCAGCTCATATGCTATTAAACTATTACCGCCAGCAGGACTGTCAGCGTCAGTTGCTTTCACAGTGTATACAACTTCAGCTAAAGAAGTGGATAACGGTACTCGCAACACATGAGGGAGAGCCAAGAATTGAGGCGCGTTGTCATTCATGTCGTTAACTGATACCTATGATTAATAAGTAAAAAAAAATTATTTCAGACATTCAGTCATCTACAAAAATTTGTAAATCAACTACAAAAGATACTATATATTTGAAAACTACGAAAAATATTTTTTTTTATTAATGGTTACAAGAATTTTTCGAAGTGACGTCTGTTGACGTCATTGCACAGTCCGCAAAGATGTAAAAAAAAAAAATTGTTTCCCACATTTTCAAAAATATTTTCTAACAAACATGAATTCCTTTTAATTAAATTCCTTTTGCTGAGTAATTTTCTATTTAAATATTCTGTTATGATAAAATTATTATGTTTATCTTGCTATAAAAACCTTATTAGGATTACCATGTTATGCTAACATTATTATGATTATCGCGTTATGCTAATATTATTATAATAATCGTGTTATGATAAAATTATTATAATTATCGTGTTGTGCTAATATTATTATGATTATCGTGTTATGATAACATTATTATGATTATCGTGTTATGATAATATTATTATGATTATCGTGTTATAATAACATTATTATGATTATCGTGTTATGATAATATTATTATGATTATCGTGTTACAATAACATTATTATGATATTATTGTAACAAGAGTGTTATTACTCTATGTAATAAGAGTGTTATTTTACCTGAACAACAGTGGTAGCAAACTGTGGCTCTTTAGATTCATCTCGAGCTTCGACCAAAAGTTCCAAATATTTCGTTTTCTCGTAATCCAAAGGAGTAACTAAAGTAATTCGACCGGTTGAACCGTCAATTCTAAAAGCTTCTCTTCGAGTAGATCTCACTATTCTATACCTCAACCTAAGAATAAAAGCAAGTGTCAAAAATATTAAACATTACTTTATTTTCAAAATCTTAAAGTAACAATAAATAAATAAAGAGTAAACGATGAAACTGTTTTTAATAAGTTCAGAAGATTTACTAAAATCAGAAAATAATTTAATCATATTTTTATAATTTTAATACAGCAAAGGTCAGCTGGTAAGATGACATTATTATTTGGATGAAATGTCTGAAACTAACAAATATATTTAAATTTTACTCAGTAATTAAAAATTTTAGAAAATTTACTGTCAAAAAAAGAATTAATTAATGAAGTAATTAAGTATTTATTTACAGGATATATTTTGCAGTGAGGATCGATAAACATTCATGTTTAATGTTTAAAAATGTTCCGATTTAAACGGATTTTTTTTAGTAACTACACTTAAAAAAAGACAAAAAATTGAATCAAATTACGGTATGAAGTACCTGCACTTTGGGTGCATCATCCGTAAAATCAATTTTACCGTAAATTCTATTTTTACTGTAAAATATTGCATCGCAATTTTTAAAATAATATTTATTTAATTAGACTGATTTGGCGATTTTTACGATTATTATTTCTGTAAATTTTACTGTATATCAGATTTTCTTGTTCCGTTACATGCTCCTGTAAAAATAAATTTACGGTAAAAAGTACCGGCACCCTGAGTTCCGCTACTTTTAACCATAATTTGATTCCAAATTATTTACAGTGTATAAGTCTCAGAAGTTAAATCTTACTTAAATATTCAATGAGTTTCTAGCTCAATTAAATTTTATGCCGTTTTTGAAATTTCTAGTTATTAAATCAAAAAAAAAAAAAAAAAATTATAAATTAGGGAATTAATTGAGGGACGTATTTTGTTAAAAAACATTGCTTTATGTTTGATGATTTTTAAGGATCTATTTGAGTAATTTATACAGTAAAATTTTTATATTACTTATTTATAAATATTAATAAATACGAACTAGTAAACGGAGATTTTTCTAAAAACTCCGCAATCCCGTATACTAACCTGCCAGCGGGCCCGGAATCAGGATCATAAGCATGCACACTCAACAAATCAACATTTGCAGAATTTTCATCAACAGCAACTCTATAGCCGAATTTTTCGAATTTTGGTGGGTGGTTTCTTGTACTGGACACTCGGACAACAAGGTTGGCTTTTCCTATGTTTGAAGCTGCACCGTGATCTCTGGCAAATATTTCCATTTCGAATGTCATATTTTTCTGTACTTGAAGTGGCAACGCGGATGAGAGTCGAATATGTCCGGTTTGAGAGTCTATTTCAAAATGGCCGTGAGAGTTTTTGATCCAGTATGTGACTTCTCCATTACTTGCTAAATCGGGATCAGTAGCTAGTACCTAAAAATGAAAACTTGATTCTGAGAAATTTGTATATTAATTAATGGTTAATTGTTATGCTTGTAAATAAATAATATTTAGCCTAGGCTTTGTTAAAACAGATATTTTTAGGTACATAAAATATTAATGGCTTTTGAAAATTAAAGATTATATTTAATTGCATATCTTGAAAAGCATTAAATGACACAAAGAAATTATATAAAAAAAAAAAAAATACTTCTATAAAAAACACTTTAATCAAAAATTAAGATTTTTTTTCCTTAAAATTATTTTTTAAAATAATTTTAATTCGATAAAATAATATTTTATACATATTTTATTGATAATTTATAAACGTACTAAATAAGTAGTTCATACTAAACACTAAACATGTTAATAGATTTTAGTTACATTAAATTACATTAAATAAAAAAGTTAAATATTTCTGTTAAATATTACATCATGATACTGTTAATTTTATGAAATTATTACCTTCGATGTTTATAATATTATAAAAGGAAGGTAAATTAAAAATTAAGAAATATTATTTATTTTCGAAATTGCATTAATAGGTGTCAGCACTATAACTATCTTGTGACAATATTTTTGCTACATGACTCGGGAACTAAATTATTCAAATCATGCTCAAAATAAAGATCGAGAAAAAAATAACAACAAATAAGAAACATTTTTCATAACAAGAAATAATTAGAAATTTTTTTAAGTGATTATTTACATTTTAATTCTTGTAAATTTTATACTCAAAGTAATCGTATAATCAAGGAATAGAAAGTTCTAAATACAGTTTTTATTAATTAACAATGGTTAGTTATTGATCGCAATAAAGTTTATTTAAAACTAATAATTATAAAAATATTTATGAAATCATTTACATCTGCAAAAAGTTCAAACGAATTGCCGAATAACCAGTTATGAGAAGATGTGGATAAGTTCAACATCAATAGATGGCAGCACTGCGTGAAATATTTTCTGATTTTAGCTTTCGAATAAAAGACGAAATGTGAGCAATTTTTACAAGTTGCAATAGACGTTGACTCTTAACTTGCACTTTAGTTTGAAATTAATACTCCGAAAGTTTTTTATCTAAATAAATAGAAAAAAAATAGAATAATTATTAAATTATTAAATTTTCTTCTGATCTTAGCTTTTTTTCATTAAGTTGCAATCGATGCAAATTTTTAACCTGCACATAAGATTCAATTTAACACTCTGAACGTTTTTAGAACTAAATAAAAAAAAATTTAAAAATTTTAAATGGGAGGATATTTATAGATCTGAACGTGTACTTATAATTTAAATTTCAAACGAACAGCATAAATGGCTATAAAAATTCTTAAATATTTTGTAGAATACAGCTTGAAATAATATTTGGGAAAATATTGATATTTAAATTATAGTTACGATTATTATTTTGTAATTAATAAAAAAATAACACATCCATTGAAATTATCATTAGTCATTTTCTTTCTGTCATTATTAACGATAGGTTATCCTACAAATTATTTAGTATCTATTTTTCTTGTGTCTACATAAATCGCGAAAAATTATAGATATTTTCAATAATTCCACTTTGAAATTACACTAGAAAATTATTAATTTTTTATTATCCCTCTTTGCATTAATTACATTATTTAATTATAAATATTATCTATTTATTTATTACATTATAAATATAATCTATTTTATTATGAAATTATAAATATTATCAATTTAATTATTATTTAAATATATTATTAAATTAGAAATATTATCTATTTTATTGAAAAATTATGTTATTAAATTATAAATTTTGTCTATTTTATTGCTAAATTAAGTCATTAAATTATAAATATTACCTATCGTATTATGAAATTAAATTATTTAATAACAAATAATATCTATTTTGTTATTAAATTGAATTATTTAATCGTAAATCTTATCTATTTTATTTTTAAATTATATTATTAAATTACAAATTTTATTTATTTGAATATTAAATTATTGAAAGAGCATCAGTATTAAAATTTTTGTATATTAAAATACTCTTGCGTTATTAATTATTTATCACAACATAAATAATTTATCGCATATTTTTAATGCACTTATTAAAGGGAGAATAAAAATACCAATTATTGGTTTAAAATGCTTCACAATAAAACTATTACAAAACACGATGTTATAATTTAAAATATATAAAATTTAAATAAAATTCTTTAACCTGTATGATAGCTCGTCCTGCTTGTGATTGTGGGGGTATGCTGACAAAGTATCGTTCTCTTTCAAACTTGGGTGGATTATCATTTTCATCCAGAACTCGAATGGCAACAGGTGATTTAGTTTCATACCGCCCATCCAAAGCAATGACAACAAATTCATAAGTATCTTTCTCTTCTCTATCAAGTACTTGCTTTGTACAGACATCACCAGTTTTGGGATTAACTGTGAAAGGTATGGTATTTCTGTCCACCGCATATGATAGCGTATCCACCGAATCACCGCTTTCAGCATGAATCTATATTATAGATCGAAAATATTTCTGCATAAATTATTTAAAACTTCAATCTCGGTATTTTCACGTATATTAATGTTATAAGTGTGCGGAATAAATAATTAACAGATTTTTTTAAAAGAAATCTGAAAAAGATTTTTTTTTGAAGTATATTTTGGATGATGTTACAAACTCATTAATTTCCAAACAACATCATCGAGGAGAAATAAAATACGTAGAATAACATTTAATTAAACTATTAGAAAAAGTGGACTGTTTTTTAAATTTTTTTTTCTACACCATTACTGTGTTTTAACTATTTATGTTTTGACCCTAAACGTTTTACTAAACCTTTATATTTTACTGCAATACGACTGTGCAGAATATAATATATTGACAATTCTAATGTTGTAAAATTGGTTTTACTTTGAAATTAATTTAATTTTAAAACTACATTTTTTTATTTTCTTTTACATTTAAAAATTTTACGAATATTTTTTTTTTCAAAAATATGTTCAGAATTATCTTACATTATCTTTAAAAAAAAATACTTTTAAAATTTTCTATTTTTATTTTATTTTTAATTTTAGTAGATTATTACTGCTTTTTTAATATGTATGTTCTTCACTTTAGATTTTTTTTTACTACACCATTATTATTTTACGGCAATACGACGGTAAATATTATAAATTTTATTTTAATATTTTTAACAAGTAAAAAATAATGGTGCTTTACTATAAAGCTTCAGTTATTTTTAAATTCGTTATTTTTTCATATGTTAAGTAATTAAAATCTCTTAGTAAAAAAAAATATTTAGAATGGTATTGCAAATTTTTATTTAAAAAATTTTATTGACCAAAAGTCCACATCAAAATCTAATTTATATATAAGAAAAATGTTAAATGCAAAACATAAAACCAGCAGATTTACCATCACATGAATTATTCATTTATTTCTTTTTTTAAATATTATTATTTTTATGCACCATTATTGCGGTTTTAGTTTTTGTGCTTTTTCCAATAGTTTTTTACAATGCCATTTATTTTACTAAAATACAACCTGTAACGCTCTAGTATATTTGCTGATACAGATTAAGTCACTAAAATCTGTATCAGCATATGACGATTTTTAAATTTTAATATGATATATTTCTTTGCAAGATGGATTGACTTGATTAATTCAAATAACGTGTTTCTTTTGGCTATATTTTAATTTCCTCGCATTAAGCCGTTTAAAAATCATAACTCTTTAATCTTAATTCAGCAACACTGAAGCATACCTGTAGGAAGCAATGTCCGGCTGGCAAATTTTCAGCAAGTGAAGCTGAGTATGACATTTGCGTAAACACTGGTGGGTGATCGTTTGTGTCTATAACATCAATTGTCACCATAGCTAGACCATACAGAGATGTCGCATGTGCTGTAAGAATGAATGAAATATTTTTAAGTGGTTATTTATAAAAATAAAATAATGAAATTGATCAACTCTCATAATATGATATATTCTATAACATAGATATTTTTGAAAAAGTGGATACACTGTGAGCGATTTCGGATCAAATTACGGTAAGAACTACTCCCACCTTGAGTGCAGCATTCGTATGTGTCACAAATTTTTCAAGGTCTGATTTTCTATCCTTAAACGTTTAATCTTTCGACAATCGAAATCCGATTTTAAAATTCAACATTCTTAAACTTTCAAACAGTCGAAATTTGATTTTCTGAAATTAGATGTTTAAACTTGTCTACAATTGAAATCAGTTTCTCTAAAATTAGACGTCAAAAATGTTTCAACAGTGCTTTCCGAAACTCTAAACTTAGATCTAAAATTCGATTAAAATTTTCGTTTTCTAAACTGAACAAAAATCTAAAAATAGTTTTTAAATAATAAGATTTAGAATTTTACACTTAAAATTGTTGATTTTTGTTGTTAATTGTAGATTTATCTGATTAAAATAATTTCTTAAAAGCTAAATTCTCTAACATTCGATGTTTAAATTTTTTCAGTAGAAGTATAATTTTTTAGCATTAGACACCTAAAACGTTCAACAATCGAAATATTCTTTAGATTAGACGTCTCAGCAAATGAAGTCTGATTTTTCTAATGTCTACGTCTAAAGCTTGTCAACAGTTCGAATCGAATTCTCTAAAATTGGACACAAAAAATTTTTGACACCTAAAACGTCTGATTTTATTTAAGAACCATTTAAATTCTGGCATTCGAAATCTAGTGGGAAAATTATTTTGATAAAATAGAATTTAAAGTGGATCCTTTAAAAGTAGATCATCGATTGACCTAATTAAAACGATTACTCACAATCTCTAGCTTCAATGAGGAGGCTGTATGACTTTGTCTGGTCGTAATCTACCCTGTGAGCTTCAGAAGGTTTGACGAAGATCTCTCCTGAAGAAGGGTGGAGTTCGAAGATTCCATCTTCATTTCCACTTTTGATGCTGTAAGTCACGGTGTTGTTCTGAAGATCACGATCCACGGCGATCAACTGTCAGAAACAATGGTTATTTTAATCAGATTAAGTTAATCGATAGAATATATTTAAAGAACACGAATTAAATTTATATAAAATACAATAGATCTATTTTAAAGTATTTAGATTGAAAAACAAGATTTTTAACTGTTTTCCACGAATTTAAGAAAAAAAGTAAATTTGAAAATATAAAACTAAATGTGAATGTACCTTACACAAATATGCAATTCTGAATCGTTTCACGCTAAGTTTGGTGTACATTTTAAAATTTTCTTCGGCAACTTATACCGCGTGTTATAATCCATAGAGTTTTCCATAAGATTGAATTAATATTTTTTCTAAGATTAATGAATTTATATCGAACTGCCCTGCTTAATCAACAAGGAAGTTTCATTACAGTTTATAGTAATTTTTATTTAGTTATTTTTATTAGTTATTCATTACAGTTTATAGTAATTTTTTTTTTTATTTTTTTGTTTCCTGCACTGTAAAAAAAAACTTTATAAATTACAGAAAAAGTACCGGCAATCTGATTGTTGGTACTTTTTCACAGTAAAATCCTTTTTTACCGGAACAAGAAATCTGGAATACTGTAAATTTTATTGTAATAATTTACGTATATAATTAATCTAATTAAGTAAATAAACTCTAAACTCAATGGAGCGACAGCCCATGGAGGGCCAAGGCCTACTCTGTCCATCTCAGTTTTCTTGACCGATGGGCTCTGAGGTGCAAAAGCAGTTACTCCGGTTGAGTGGTCAGCCCAACGCGCAAACCTCAGTGTTTGGCTCCCAAGCATGCTTGGTACTCATTTTATAGACCCACTGAAGGGATGAAAGGCTGAGTCAACCTTGCCCAGCCCACGGATCGAACCAAGGACCTGTGGCACGACAGCGCCAAGCGCTACCGCTCAGTCACCGGGCGTCGATTAAATAAATATTACCGTAAAAATTACAATATAATATTTTGCGCAAAAATTGATTTTTCGGTTAAATGGATTTTACAAATGATGTACCCAAAGTGCCGGTACTTTATACCGAAATATAATCTGGAATTTTTAACAGTTTGTGTTGTGTACGTAACTAACCTTAAAGCATCTCCAATTACTAATCATGTGCTTTTTGATTGATTATGTTTACGATTTCTTAAGGTAGAAATTTTCTGTATTAAACATTTGTTAAAAAAATCAAATTAACCTTAAACAGAACACTTACTTTAACTACAGGTTTATCTGTGATTTGTTTTTCGGTTACGGCGCCAAAATAAGAGAGTCTAGTAAACACTGGCGGATGGTCATTTCTTTCTCGGACCCAGACATTGACTTGCACGCCAATGCTGTTATTCTGTGGTACACCATCATCAGTAGCCCGAGCAATAAAAGAAAATCTGGTTCTTGCGTCCAAATCTTTCTTTACGTAAACAACGCCTGTATCTTCATCGATCATGAAGAAAGCTACAAAATCGAAACAAAAGATATGTAGACATTATCCATTAAAGGCATCCGTTAAATAGCAAATGAAGATTTCATCAGTTTTACTTTCAGTTCTCCGTATAAATGAGGATTCATACTCAAACCAAATTCAATATTCAAAATTTTCATTGGATATACAGTTCTGAATAAATTAAAAATCTTCATTCGGATAAATATGTATATATAAGTTCCCTTGATATATGTGTATATGGGTTCCCTTGACTTGCTTTGCTGTGAAAACAGATGAAACATAGATTATTATAAGTCTACGCCTTCTTCGTGGATATATAAGAGAATAGAAGAATATATAGAATAGAAGAAAAATATAGAATAGAAGAATAATATAGAATAGAAGAATAATATAGAATAGAAGAATAATATAGAATAGAAGAATATTGTAGAATAGAATAATATTGTAGAATAGAATAATATTGTAGAAAAGAATAATAATATAGAATAGATGAATTATATAGAATAATGGAATAAAAGAATAGCATAGAATAGAAGAATATTGTAGAATAGAAGAACAATATAGAATAGATGAATATTGTGGAATAGTATAATAATATAGAATAGAAGAATAGTATGGAATAAAGGAATAATATAGCATAGAAGAATAATATAGGATAGGAAATATGCTCTAGAATGCAAGTCTGAAGCATATTTGGTGAATAGTTATAAAGGTCTTAGCCAAAATAGAGCCTAAAATAGAATTCTCTAAGTAAGTAGTTTGGATTATTGCAGTCTACTGTCTATTGACGTCATCAATCTCTAAGTCGAGTATCATTGACGTAACAGTCGACTGTACCTTTTACAAGAATAATGGCATTTGCTTCAAAAGAAAGATTATAAAAGATTTAAACTTTATAGATACACTTTATTAATTTAAAAATCAAAAAATTCTGAATCGAAAAAAAAATTTCGATTAGTCGATGACTGCACAAATGTGCTCTCTCTATATACAAGTATATTTAAAAAAAATACAATTGCGGAAAGAAATCAAAACGTTTACTACAAGAACAAGCAGGATTTTGTTTTTAAAAGTGAGATTTATCTACAATGATTGGGGTTCTTACATGCGTAGACAACTGCTGTGTGCTCACACAAATTCAAACTTCAGGTAAATAACCAAATAAAATTTAGTTTCCTTATGATTAGTTTGAATAAGGTCAAACACTTAAAGATTTAGAGAAAAATAAACAATATAATAATGCCTTAATTCCTTTAAAATGTTGATTTTTCTTACAAATGACATGAATATCACAGTCAATTAAAGTGAGGTCAATCGAGGTTACTTACAAGTATCTCCACCTGACAAACTGTATTTTATTTTATCACCATCACCATCAAAGGCTTTGACGTGGCCAATTTTTGTTCCCTTTGCTGCGTTCTCTTCAGCACGGAAATCATAAGGTAGACCCACAAAATCAGGTGCAAATTCATTGATATTTTGAACTTTTATTACAACATTGGCGGATCTAAAAAATGGAATCATAAATATATTTTTTTCTTCTCGATTTTAAAATATGTTTTTCTGGTAAAATTACCGTACTGTATGTTAATTATATTTCTGGTAAAAAAACATGATAGTTCTGGTTAGTAAAACCAAAATATACGGTATTTAAATCATTCAATTGGTAATTTTTCCGTTCATATGGTAACGGTTACCGGGAATCTGGTTTTTAAAATAATACTTTTTATTATCTCACATTTAGTAAAAAGATACAAAACTGAAAAGTAAATATGCCATGCTTTAAGGCATGTTCTGATAGTTTTGACGACACTTTTATCTCAGTGCAGTAATTGACATTTTTGAAAATGCTTTAATTAGCATTTTTTTTAAACATACGTTTATTAGGTATTTTGAAAAACATGTAAATATATTTAAAACAAAGTTTAAAATAACATGTTAGTAAGTATTTTAAAAACACGCGTTATTTGTTACCTTCGAAAACATATTATTTGGTATTTTAAGAAAATGTTTACAATGTCAAATAAGAGTCGGATTTTGAGATGCTTTGGACCAGTTCGTACTCATTATAAATCTGTACTTCAAAATATTTCTCTTTAAATATAAGATAACTAGAAAATCTATTTTTCAAAAAAATAAATTCAAATCTTTATTTTTAAAATTAAATAATTCAATAATAAAAAAATAATTCAATAATAAGTTGTTCAATAAAAAAATAATTCAATAATAAGTTGTTCAATAAAAAATAATTCAATAATAAGTTAAATAATTCAATAATAATTTAAATAATTCAATAATAAGTTGTTTTTTTCTTCATAAATCATTATTGTAAGACAATATACCTTAAATCATTATGATCGGGGAATGAAGTATGTTCCGCGTTAGTTAAAAACAATTGAAATAAGTCTGAAGTGAAGTGAATTAATTCTAATTGTAAAGTAAGTTAAAGTCAAACTATAACACGCACGTACGTATATATTAGATGTAAAAGAGAGATCAGTACTAACGAACGTTTCACGCATTCTCTGTGGAGAATCGGGATTGCTCTGTAATAAACGCTCTGTGCAGAACGTTTGTACAGGAATGCTGCATGAAAGTGCTAAACCTCTAAATTTTAATGCAATTTGTTAAATTATGGAACTTACCCAATTCTAGCTGGTCTACCTCCATCCACAGCAAAAACGGTAAACTCGTGTTGATCATTAGCTTCGTAATCTAAATTGGAAATGAGTGTAATGGCTCCTGTAGCATTATTGACTAGAAATACATCCTAAAAGAAAGAAAAAAGTTTAAATGTAATTAAAAATAACCTTAATTATCAAAGAAACCCTTTATTATTTGTATTTTAATTCTAATTAAAAAAATTTAATTTTTTAATCTTTTTAATTTTTAGAACATTAACAACAAATTTTAAACGTATAGCTATTTCGTGAAAGCAATTTTTTTTACAAAAGGAAATTATTATATACCAATTGAATATCATCGGGGCCAAGAAATTTTATTCAAGATCTAGGGTAGTTTGATCAATAGAATAAGTTTAAATCATAGGAAGGAATTACATCTCAGGCAATAAGTAAATCTTTAACTAGAGTTTATCATAAAAAAATACTAAAATCACTAATTTCAAAACATAAAACTGAATTAAAGAATTAACGACTTTAAATAAGAGTGAAATTATTCCGTTTTTATTTAAAAATATTATCAAGTTTGATCAATAAAATAAGTTAAAATCGAGAGAAGGAATTACATCTCGAGCAATAAGTAAATTTTTAACTAGAAGTTTTCCAAAAAAGTACTAAAAATTACTAATTTAAAAACGACAAACTGAATTAAGGTATAAATGATTTTAAATAAAAGTAAAACCATTCCATTTTTATTTCAAAATATTATAAAAATTGAATTTCAACGACCATTGGAAAAATCCTGAGTGTTTAATATTCGACAGCTATTTCGTGAAAACATTTTTTTTTTAAAAGAAATTATTATAAACGAATTGAATATCATCGGGGCCTAGAAATTTTACTCAAGATCTAGGGTAGTTTGATCAATAAAATAAGTTTAAATCATAGGAAGGAATTACATCTCGGGCAATAAGTAAATCTTTAACTAGAATTTATCATAAAAAAGTACTAAAATTACTAATTTCAAAACAACAAACCGAATAAAAGAATTAACGATTTTAAATAAGAGTAAAATTATTCCGTTTTTGTTTAAAAATATTATCAAGTTTGATCAATAAAATAAGTTAAAATCAAGACAAGGAATTACATCTCGAGCAATAAGTAAAGTTTTAACAAGAATTTTTCCGAAAAAGTACTAAAAATTACTTATTTAAAAACAACGAACTGAATTAAAGTATAAATGACTTTTAATAAAAGTAAAATTATTCCGTTTTTATTTAAAAATATTATCAAGTTTAATCAATAAAATAAGTTAAAATCGAGAGAAGGAATTACATTTCGAGCAATAAGTACATTTTTAACTAGAATTTTTCCAAAAAAGTACTAAAAATTACTAATTTAAAAACAACGAACTGAATTAAACTACAAACGATTTTAAATTAGAGTAAAATCATTCAGTTTTTATTTGAAAATATTATCAACATAAATTTTCAATGACCATTGAAAAATCCAATGTTGTAACATTTTTTTTGTAAAATATTTTTTCTTCCGCTAGGACTTCAGAAAAATGAGACATCGTTCAAAAGACCTCATTAAAGGATTCACCACACAAACGTTCTATAAAATAAAGATGAACTTACATCGGATCCATTAGTGTAATATCTATCGATTTTTCCATTTGGACCAGCATCAATATCCTTAGCTCTAAAGAAAGGAGGCAGTGTCGTACCCAGGGGCAAGTTTTCGGGAAGCTCCAAAGCATAACGTTCTAAAAAGAAAATCATTCAGAAAAATAATAAGCACAAAACTTTATTCTAAGTTACACAAAAGCAATAGTATGAGAATTTATTGAAAAATGAAAAATTGGAAATTTAGCAGTTAATAACCATCTTAGTTAATTTTTCGATTTTTTTGTAGATAATAAAAATTTTAGGCTTTACCTGCTTTTTTTGTACTTTTGTTAGTGTCCATGCTTTTGTTTAAAACTTATTTTTCGGGAGAAATTTTTTTTTACTATTTTAGTAGTTCTTATTTTTGTACAAATCCTGTAAAATAACGAGTATACAAGAAAAAAAAATTCTAGTAAAATTACCGTACTGTATGTAATTGACATTTCTGTCAAAAAAGGAAGAAAAAAAAACATAATTCTGGTTAATAAAGCCAAAATATACGGTATTTAAACCATTCATATTTTGTTTTCTCCGTTCATATGGTAAGGATTTACTAGTTTTCAAAATTATAGTTCCTATTAAAGCACATTTAGTAAAAGATACGAAATTGAAAGGCAAATTTTACCGAGTAAATGGTTTTTACGACATGCACTAAGGTATCATGCTAAAACTACTAAGTTTTATAGCATTTTATAAAGCTCTATTTTATTGTAATTTCTACTAAAATTATTTCAAAAGCGGTTCGGTAAAAATTACCGAGCTTTTCGGTATTCAACATTGCATCACCTTGACAAAAAAGTCGAATATATGATGTTCAAAACTATAAAGTAATTGCTAGAAAACAAGAACAATGATACAGAAAATAGTTGGAGAAAAGTTAAAAATCTATTACGGAATGCAAAACTGCCTGGCAGAAACTAGAATTTTAACTGACAGTATTAATCTGTTGGTGATTAGGTTGAAAAACGGCGAAAAACCATTTTGTCAATAATAGGGCCGTAAAACCGTTAAATACACTGAGAAATTCCACACACACACACACAAAAAAAAAAAAAAAAAAAAAAAAAAAATGCTCAGTATTTTTTACAGTGTAGAGAAAAAAATACTAGCTTTATTAATATTTATTTGATTAAAAACTTCATTCGCTTCAAAAATATACACATTAGAAATAACAGTCGACATGTTTCAAGCTCTCAAAAAACAGAAACAAACAGACGCCCATTCTCAAGACCTGTTTTTTAAGCTCTTGAAATATGTTGACTGCTATTTCCAATTTGTAAAATCTTGAAGCAAATCAAGTAATAGCTTACGGTTTCAGTTTCGTGTGATTATTTATTTATTACCATTTTTCCGAGATCTTAACTGGAATTTATTTAAAAAAAAACTACAGAGACAATGTATATATATGCTCCTTGCAAGTATGATATTTTGCACTTACAACTGTTGAAATCAATTAATATTCTATTATTTAGTTAGTTTTTGATAGTTGAATATTTTAGCTTAAAAAATAGAAGTGAAATAATCCTTCTCACTTTAAAAACCTTCAACTGGAAATAGTATTTGTCACAGAATAAATTATTCATTCCATAACACTCAAATGATTTACATGTACACCTTTGAAATACAAAAATATCGATTTATTTTCTTTAATAAATTATAAAGATAACTTACCTTCATCGAATGTAGGTGTATTATCGTTAACATCGTCTATGACGATAACTACAGGAACGCTGGTGTTTGCTGCATTACTTGATAACTGATCTCGAGCGAACATCTATTGTAAATTATCATTAAATAAGATTATTTGCATTCAAATTTTTTTTTAAAAAGTAGTCATATCATAAAAAATGCACTAGAATTTATGCATAAAAATCAACGTACCCTAAGTTGGAAAACTTGCTGATTGTTTGGGGGATCTCTGTCAACAGTTTCGGTCAGGACCAGTTCTCCTGATCTTGGATTAATCCAAAATCGTTCTTGACTGTTACCGTCGCCTATCCAATAAACGATAGATTGATCTCGGGGAGACCTGTGGAGATTGGTTGCATTTAGGTAGCCGATACTTTCACTTCTTGGTAAATTCTCTGGTATCCGGAACTGGTAAGATTGACGATCAAAGACAACTAATTCATCGTTTACATCCTACAAAAAGAACAAAATGCGAAAATTTTAGTCAAACGGGGAATGATTTTGAAATGTAGCAGAAATAAAAATAAAGGAGTTTCACAATGAAGAGCTTAAAATATAAGGATTTCCAATAATCACTTATTTTCCAAGAGTCTTGGTATCTGTTTGTAGTATTGGTAAATCGAATAGTCCTCTTAAGGTTACGCGATTTCCCTACTTTTCCCTTCCAAGTTACCATTTCATCCACATGTGATTTCCCTACTTTCTCCCTCAATATTATTATGGCATCCGCAAATCTAGCTTTTTCTCTACGCCAGTACGTTATTATAATACTAATATTATAATAATAATATAATTTTTTTGGCCATAATATAATTTTCTCTTCATATTACAATTTTTCTTAGTCATAGATGGCGCCACTGGAAAACAAGAACATTCGCACCCCATGCCTTAACAGGCATACGAAAACAACAACAACAATAATAATATTGTAATAATAACAGTTATAAGTTTTAAGTACTCCCTATCTGCTGTGTGAATGAAAAGTCTATAGAACAAAAAGCTTTAAACTGCCGCAGTTACCTGTCACATCGCTACCAAGGCGACAAAAACAGAAAATATGACCTTGAGACGCTAATTTTAATTACAAGGACAAACATAAACAAAAATCTATAAGGCAAGTTGTTGTTTATTAATAAGAATTTAGGTCTAAAAGCTCGAATGATCGGTATTTGAAGCAGTGCACGATAAACCTAATTATTGTTTTTAAATATTATAATTATTTTTTTGTAATATTTTTTTGCATTTTCCATTTTATTGCATTTTGTGAATCAGTACTTCGGAACAAATTTAATTTGTTTTTGCTATATTTTCTTTAATGAAGCATTTTCTGTTTCTATCGTTTTAGGAAAGTTCTTGGTTTAATCCAAAAAATTAAACGTATCCCTCCAGCTGAATATACTTTAGCAAGAATTTTTGACTTCATACTATCACCAGAGAAAATAAAGGTATGATGCTGAAATTTCGCATTTTGCAATAATGAATAACATTCTATGATATATGTTACAATTCAGAAATATATTTTTCGAATACCTCTAATAAATTATTGCTCATAGACAAGGTTTAGAAGCAATTCTTATGATATCTTCAAAGACATTGCGGACAATTACTAAAAGAATTAATTGGCTATTCAGGTATAAAACGATGGAAAAAAATTCGAGTACGCGTCTAAAAAATAATTGATATTAATCGTGAAAAAATGGTATGCTTACCATTACTTTAACGACTAGTTTTACAAATGGGTTTGCAAGGGCTGAGGCTTGTGGTCCTTGGAAAGGCTTGACATTCCTTGCGGCAACGTGCAGCACATATTCTGATTGTCTTTCATAGTTCAATTTGTCTGCAGTGATTACTATACCATTATCTTCATCAATGGTGAACATCTTATCTTCATTTCCTCCAACTATGAGGTACTTTAAAACTGCATTTTCGCCAACATCATCGTCTTTTGCCTACAAAAGAAAGGAAAGAAATCAACATTATTGAAAAAATAGTTACAATATCTTTGTAGCATAAATACTTAACAAACATTTACGCGAATTTGCGTTGAAGAACTTATCTGAAGGAGGAATTATTTTAGAATTTGTGGTTTTAGAGTTATGGTTAAATTATTTTTTTAATTTATGGATCATTTTTCAATATTTGGTGTTATTTAGAAATAGAAAAAAAAACTGAAATAAAGTTTGTTACATAACAACATATGTTTAAGAATAATTAAACACACATAATTCTTCTAAACTGATTGCTTTACAAACAGATGTTATCATTTTTAAATTACGCTTAGCCAATACTTATTTGGCATTACCATAAAAATTTAGAAACTTTTTACCGAAATCTATATTATATTTTTGCATTCTATTCAAAAATACTTCCTATATGTCACTTTTGTATTATTTAAAATACGTGGAGTTTTGTCGATAAGAAAATCATGTAAATAATTTGACTTCTCTTGTACCAAATTATGGTAACTAACACGAGAGTTTGATGAACAAATATTCAACTATTTTAGAAATTCCAAAAAAATTACTAATACTTTGTTTTTGTCCAGAAGTCTAATAAGCTAAATCAATTTAGTTAAATAAATATCTTTTTGGTTCATCATCCATATTAATTATTTATAAATCGGAGTAATTTTCCACGAATTCATATTTATCAGAAACCTATAATAAATTTAGAATATCTATAATAAATATAGAATATCTATGATATATCTGTAATAAAACATAGAATTAAAACAACATTTCAGGTGTAAAAAAACATCGAATTACGTGCAATATTAAGGTGGTTAAAATTAAATTCATCTAAATAAGTTATCTAAGAACTTACACATACATATATATTCCTATTCACTCCGAATTGGAGCATAGAGCTTCTATCATAGCGCTCCATCTCACTTAATTTGTGGCCATGTATTTTGCCTTTTTCCGTGTCTTTATTGTTTTTTATTCACTTACAATAATCCTGTGTTTTTAAGTTTTCTCTTTTCGATTGCCCTGAGGGTTCCATTCAAAAACTTGTTTTATTTTTAATGTTTCAAGTTTACGTAGAACATGACCAATCTATTTTCATTCACGTTTTTTAATTTCCAGATTAATTGATTCTGTTTTGCTTTTCTAAGGATTTCTGAGTTACAACCACTTAATACATAATTTATGGAACCACTTAATACATAAGATTCTTTTTTTAACTATTGTTAATAAATACTTGAAGTCATTTCGTGTTATTTTTATTGCTTTTCTATACAGAGTAGGACGAATTTAACATTAGTATCTAACAGCTTCAGTTATGTAAAATTAAGTTCATCTAAGTAAGTTATCTGAGAAATGTTTGGTAAAATTAAGTTCATCTAAGTAAGTTATCTAGGAAATTTTCGGTAAAATTAAGTTCATCTAAGTAAGTTATCTAGAAAATTTTCGGTAAAATTAAGTTCATCTAAGTAAGTTATTTAGGAATGTAAATTATATAACTCTAAGATATAAACATTCAACATTTTTTTCCTTCTCTCTCTTTTGAAATAGAATATAACAAATATTTTTCATTAGCTAATTAGCTTTTATAAATCAATAAGATTATGTTTTATATAACAAATCCTATCTGGTTTTGATCTGATTTTGATAAATCTTTATATATCAAAACCAGATTGTTTAAAGAAATAAGGTTAACGTAGAAAATTATTTGTGGTCAACTTACGTGCATTTTGTGAACAGTATATGGAGGGTTCTCCTCTTCGGGCACGCTGACGACATAAGTATCTGAGTCGAAGTAAGGAGGGCTATCATTAATATCTTCTACACGTACTCCGACAGTTGCTGTGCCACTCAATTGTGGTGTGCCAGCATCAAAAGCAACTACCAAGAAATCAATCATGGCTTCCTGCTCTCTGTCAAGTCGTCTTCTACTTAATATGTTGCCTGTCTCATCGATTTCAAATGCTTCGTTTGCTTGGTCACCCAACAACTTGTAACGGACAATAGCATTACGACCCGAGTCTCCATCCAAAGCCTATAAATTGTAAAATAACATTTATTCTGTAATAATGCTGGGACACAGTTGGCAAATGAGGTTTTATCAGTATTATCAATAATTACTGTCAACAAGATTTAGATATTTAAAGATAGTGTTTTACCTATAATAAGATCATACGAATCTGTCACTGATAAGGATAGAAGTTACATATTTTGCTGATAAATTTAGTCAAATTTACTATTAGTTTCATTTTCTAAACTAAAATTAAAGCAATTTTGTAAACGGGGATTAATTTATGTTTAAGGTATTTATACCCAAAATTAAACAATCCCTGGATTGTAAAATAATAAATAAATAAAAAGTAGAAAGGTTTTATAAAAACAAATCATTTATTGTTTAGAACAGTGATTCTCAACCTTTTTTTTGTTGCTGCCCACTTTTAACGATTTCGAAATTTGGCGGCACACACTGAAAAAAATTAGATTAAAAGTTGTTTACATAACTACTATACCACTGCGTCAAATAGTTTGTGATAATAATTTTGAATGTGAAATAAAATAATGTAAATATATGTGAAATAAAATAATAACTAAAGCACGTTTATTAAGGGATTAATTATTTCTTTCGACTAATTTTTGATTAGTTAGTAACAGTTATTTATTTTTTTTGCTAGTTATTAATTGTTAGCTTGTTTTCTATAGTTATTTACTTTTAGTTTTTTTTACATTAACTGTTATTTTTTTGTGATTTCTTGTGAACTAGTTTTTTTGCTAATTATTAATTGTTAGCTTATTTTTTTGTTACTTATCCTTCGTTAATTTGTTTTTTATATATTTGTTTTTTTAGTTATCCTTTGTTAATTCGTTTATTAATTTCATAGCTTACTTTAATGATGAGCTTTTATTTCCGTTTGAAAGTATATATATATAAGTGTAGATATATACACTTTTCTTTAATTTAAACTTTACTCATAATAAAAAAAGCATTATAATTTTTATTGTATCCTTTCTAATATTTCGCGGCACATTTTAAGAATTTGGCGCCACACAAAAGTGCCGCGGCACAGTGGTTGAGAATCACTGGTCTAGAACATTGTCGTTTTTATATAAATTTAGAATAGAATATTTTACACCCATGTTGTTTTTGTATGAATCATGCAGGTTTAGATTATTTTTGGCTTGAAAAGACAACAGTGTTTGTCATATTTTGTGAATTCCTTAAAAACTTCAAGAAATAAGAAAAGAAAAGTCCTACAGAATAAAAAATTAAGAAATATTTAAAAAAAAGTATTTTTGCCTATAATAATAATAATTATTATTTTAAATATTTCAAAATTAGTCTTGTTATGAAATAAAAGATATTGTTTTATTAGAGTCAAAAATATATATGCCAATCAAGTGACTACTATAAAATTATGACAAACTGTAAGTAGGTAAAGTTTCTAACGTTTGAATCTAGTAAATTCAAAAAACTGATAATAAAAATTGAACTTACCAAAATTGAACCAACAGTAACATTCTCTTGCATTTCTTCAACTATGGAGAAATTATAGTAATTATGTGTGAAGATAGGTTGTTGATCATTAATATCCACTACGTTTACAGTCATTGGAGAAACAGCAGTCTAAAAAGGAAATAATATCAATTAACTAATGTTAGCTTAATAATTTTAATTAAAATTTTTAATTTTTATGTACTTATGATTAAAAATTATGCTGGCACTTACATTTATACCATCGGATACTTGAACTAACAGATCATAGCTTTGTTTCTTTTCATAATCCATTACAGCGGCAGTGAGTACTTGTCCGCTAGAAATAAAAAAATATTAATATGATTATATGATTATATAGCACATGATTATATTTGATTACGTATTTGCATGTGATTCTATATTATGGCAAATCTGTTTAGAAATACACAATAACGATTGATAAAATTATGTTGATATGAATTTAAAACGTTAGTATACTTTTGTATGTACTAAAGCACTTTTGTACTATAGTATACTTTTGTATGTATACTTTTCTACTTTGAGAAAGAAAATATGGTCAAAACTACCGGAATATAGTGAAATTTATCGTGTTTTTGGCTGTAAGGGGACACCAAAAAGCTCAGTAATTATTCTAGTAGTGGTGGATTTTTAGCATTAGTGGTTTTGATAAAATTAACATTAAAATATGGTTTTATAATATGCGATAAAATTCCATAAAATTCGGTAATTTCATCATCCTACCTTAGAATATGGCATAAAAACTGTTTATTCGGTTAAATTTAATTTTCAGCTTTTTTTTTTGCTAAGTGTGTGGTAGTAAAATGCGTCATATTAATTATCAATATGATCATATTAATTATAATAATTAATATGATTTAATCATAAAAATAATTAAACCATATTAATTATTTTTAAAACGGGAATTTATAGTTTACCGTTACCATGTGATGGGAAAAATTACCAAATAAATGGTTTTAATACCATATATTTTTATTTTTATTGTCGAAGTATGTTTTCTCTTTTTTTTTAAAAAAAAAAAGCGGCGATGTCATTAGCATACATTTCGGTAATTTTACCAGAACTTTTTTCTCCTTGTTGTTAAAAATTTCATTTTATGTTGTGGAATTTAAATTTGCAAAGTAGAGCAATTTTAACGTTTGTTTGAATTATTTAACTTAGAAGTTAAATAAAATTTTGAAGTTGTGTTGTTAATGTAATGAATGATTATTTAATATGTGATTACATTATGATAATTTGCAATGCGTTTAAACGTAATTGTGCTTAATATTAAATCTATTTAAATAGGAAATAGCATTTGATGAAACCGTATCGTCAAAGTTCAATTTAAATTCAACAATAAATCTATACACTATTTAGTTTTAGCAACATATTTCATTTTGTTATGCCGTGGTACATAAATTCGTTAAATGTAAAAATTTTAAATACGTGAAATTAAAATAAAAGATATAATACGTTTAATATTATTAAGTTTCTTTAAATAATCAAAACGGAATACAACAAAAAATTCAATTAGCAATTGAAAAATTTACTGTAAATTAAAATTTGATTATACAATAAAAATTCGATTTAAAGATTAAAATTTAGTTATAAAGAAAAATATAAAAATTTTAAATGCGCGTAGTTAAAAAAAAAAAAATATTATATGTTCCTAATAAATGACTAATTTTATTTAAGTAATCAAAACATAATTCAACTAAAAATTGAATTAACAATTACTATAAATTAAACTTCGATTATACAATAAAAATTCGATTTAAAAAGTAAAATTTAGTTAGAAAGAAACATTCAATTAAAATATTACAATTCATTAAAAACGAAAAATTTTGTAAAAAATGAAAATTTTAGTGTATTAAAATTCGTTTTTAAAAATTATGGTTTAGGCATATGCCTAAAATATTCTACTAATAAACAGTTTGGTATTCAATTAAGTCATTGTTGACTTACGTTGAAGGATTGACAACAAAATTTCCTTCGTCATTTCCTGCTACAAGAGAAAACTGCAGAACTGTCTCGGAATCGGGATCTTTAGCCTAAAAGAAAAATCGGTTAATTAAATTAGATAAGGTTTCAATAAAATTATGAACGTAATATGAAAATTTCAGAAGGAAGTAAAAAAATGGTGGCTAATGAGTTCTTGAATTCAATGACACTGTAAATGATATGTTTTATAAAATAAAGTTAAATGTAATTTTTTAACATTACACTTTATTTAAAGCGCTCCATAAATACTTGATTGGAATAAAAAAGAAATATTATTAAATAGTGTAGATCTGAATTAATCGTATCTAATATCTATTTATTATGTTAAATTACCTTTTTAGTTTAGCATTTTTTTTTACTAAATAATACAAAAAAAAAAAAGAATAATAAAGAATAATAGTTTTTGTGAATCAGAATTTTCGGTAAGCCATTACATTATTAACGAAAAAAGTACCAGATGAATGCTTTAAATACAGCATATTTTGGTTTCATAACTAGAATGCTTTTCTTTTTCTACCAGGAATGTCTTTACAATACAGTGTGGTAATTTTACTATAATTTGTTTCTCCGTTTATTTAGTTATGCAGTAAAATTTATCAAAGCAATGTATGAAGATACTGTTGGATAGGCTTTATGAATCCATTCTTGACCAAACACAGAAAGAGATCCAAATATGAAAAACATCCAAATGAAACACATTAGTAATAACATAGTTGTTTATAATTAAGTGATATTTTTTTCTGCTGCCTATAACTTTAAGCTTTAATTCAGAATCTAACATAAATATTTAAATAGTAGACAAAAATATCTAGCTAGATAGAAAAGCTCATAATGAAACAATTGTGGCATCCTTTTTTTTCGCTTTTTTTAATAAAAAAGTACCTCCATCTATAAGGACGCCAAGCATGTTTAAATTAAGGTGAGGAATATTGATTGTAGCATGCATTAATATTACCTACAGCTCATACCTTTCATAACTCATTTTTTCCCTATATGAATGACTAAAAGACATAATTTTCACATCAAATAAAGGATAACTTTTGTTAACACAGCTGAAATAGTTTTAAAATTTAATAAATTTGCAACTCAGGAAATTCAATTTCTATAATATTTATAGAGACGAAAAAGGAATTATAGTTATAGTAATAATAAATGGTAAATATAAATTTCTTAGCAATGCGTTCCAAGAATTTCAACTATCACCATATTTCTAATTAACAATAAAAAATTTAAATAAATGGTTGAAATGAAAAAAAAATGCAATGCGCAACAATGTATATTTATTTTCTTCTTTCATTAAAATTTAATTATTCCATTTCGAACTGCAAGTCAGCTAAATAAATAAATGTTTAAAAAATTTATTCTTTTTGTGATTAAAAATCTAATTTTTAATTTAATTTAACAGTGAAAGAGTTTATGCAAATTAAAACTTGCATTTATAAATTTAAATTATTATAAATGTAATCATTTGCAGATACAATTTTAAATTAAATGGAACAATACAATACAAATAGCAACAAGGAACAGAAAACCCTTCCGTTTATTACCTTTTTAATTCAAATTCAATCACACTTAGTTATAAAGTTAAAAAAAAGAAGACAAAACAAATGTATCTAACATAAAAAGTTCATTGAACTTGATAAATATTTTATACACGGTGAATATTTTTAGAATGATGAAAAAAGAGCCCAGAAAACTTTCAATAAATCATTTTTTTATATTATTAAAATGTTTTTGATTGATAAGAGTTTTCAAATTTTATTCATGAAAAAGTTTGAGATGATTTATATTTTTGTTAGTGATCGGTGGAATACGTCAAAAAAAGTTTCATCAATATTCCAAAATTTGTCTTGATGTACTTCAAAGCAAAAAATATTCAGAAAATTTTTCTTCGTTTTTATACTTGAAAATTTACCTCAACAATGAATTTGTTTTGTTTGAAATATTAGTAAAAATGATAAATGTTGTATTTTGAATTAAAAAAATATTAAAGAGAGAATCAAAATAAGTCATTATAAAAGAAAACAATTTACATAATTATTTACAAAACCAGCTTGATTTAGCAAAAAAAATTAAAGTACAGACAGAACGAAAAATTTACTTCCAAAATGTTTTAATTTCGATAAATATTTTAATTTTTAAATTAAATTTTTTTTTATTATTAAAAGAATATCTATTTTTGAGTTTATAATTATTTCGTTTATGAACTTATTTTAAAAATAATAAAAATTATAGTATTTGGCTGGCGTTACAAGAAAACAAAAAAAAAACCTTTTTTGTTCAATAACAAGACAGAAAAAATATCAAAAAATATTTTATAAAAAAAAACAATTTTTCAAGAGTATTTTCACTAAGAAACACGCAATAATGAAAAGTTTTCAATTAATATTAATGTTAATATTAAAGTTTAGGTGTTAGCGACAATGCAAAAATAATCTAAAAAATAATAACTTAGTATTTAAATACGGAAGACAATTCATAATGAAGAGTCAGATTCTTTGTTAGAAACGTCAAGTGTTGAAACTAATGACTATATTCAAAAGGTCTAAGCAATGAATCACTTATAGAAATGTTAATTTATGCGTGAACATTATTGAAAGAAACTTTTCATGGATTTTAAAGGATCCTCCCTTACATGATTGCCCTAAATGCTTCTTTTTATTTTTTTATGAACGGTTTTGCGTTTTATAAGTGATTTCACAGATTAGATAAAATCATTTTTCGTGAGATCATGTAAGAAAATTGTGATTTTCTTATACAAAATATGGTCATGTAAAAATAATTAAATAAATATTTATCACATCGAGAAAGAAAGTAAGGTCAGATCTACTAGAATATGATAAAATTTACCGTGCTTCTAACTGCCTGGAAACAACAAAAATGGTACTTTGGTAGTAATTTAAATGAAATTAACAGTAATATGTGGTAAAATTTGCTTTAAGTGCTAAAACATTTTATCATGATTCATTAGAGCATGTCATAAAAAGCACTTATTCGGTTAAATTTACTTCAATTTTACCAAGATTACTCTCAGTTTTTACTAAATGAGTGGTAATGAGAAGTATAATTTTGAAAACCAGAAATTCCAGTAAGGCGTCATCATACCAACGAAAAAATCCAAATTAATGGTTTAAATGCCAAATATTTTGGTTTTATTAACGAGATTTATGGTTCTTTTATTATCAGAAATGTCTTCACTATGCATCCCCATAGCAGAATGTTTGTGAATGTTTTGCGGTAAGCATATAAGTAAGTGAATAAGTTCTGCATTTTATCTCCGAGTAAGCTTGACATAAATGTTTTCATCTTATTTATTAACATTTAATAATTAAAAACTAGTAAAAAATATACCCAAGTATTAATGTTATGCACAAAATGTAGCGAAATGTCTCATCTTATTTTATTATTAAATCATGTAACATCTGATTGTTTTTTTTTTTTTTTTTAATTTCCTTTTCTCGAGGATAATAATTCATACACAATATTTTTTTCAACAATAATTGATTATTCTTTCGAATTAGATTCTTTTCCGATATCGACGTTATTTCTTTCGCTGATACAAGCGTTAATGTTGGGATAAGGATCATCATCATTAATTCTTTGTATTTTTGCAGGAGTCCTATCTTACTTGATCAACGATATCTTTTAATCGAACTTAATAAACATTATGTACTTCTTTTTAATTTGTTATAATAAACAACGAAAGCCTCTTATCAATAATATTCATATTTTTTTAAATTCTTAATTAAAAGTAATTGTTTCTAAAGTTTTTTTGAAAATTTTGCAAAATTATAAATTGATTTTATATACTCAACGTTTTACGCCGAAATATAAACAATATATTGATGTACAAAATGGAAAAAATAAATATAAAGCAGTGTTTAACGCTAGCTTCAACAAATCCTTGTAGTGAAAAGAGTATTTTTGTATTAATATAAGGATACCAAAAACAATATTCCCGCTGCTCATAAAGACTAATATCAAACTTCTATTCAATATTATCCTATATATTGAATACTGAATAATTTATCAAAAATTCAATTTTGGTCAAATTTTTTTTAAGAAATGAAAAAATATTATTTTTTAAAAAGTATTCACTAGATTATTATATCTAAATTATGTGAATAAAAAAAAGTTTATCATATAAATAAATAGCGTTAATTTTAAACTAATCGTGCGCTATAGTTATAAAACATTTCTTTTCTGCGAGTTAATTATATGGAATGACTCGAACGTGATGATATCTGATGAAACAAGCTATGAACTATCTTTAACATGCTTTGTTCTCATAATTTTTCAATCTGTATTGCTCCATTTTCGATCCAGCTCAAAATTAAATGCTTAAATCAACACATATAGTTTAAATAAAACTATCGCATGGAACAAATTAAATAGAAAGTCTTTACTCTGAGCCTACCACCGATCTATAAAAAATATTTATCCACTTCATACTCAACAGAAATTAGAAAGATTTTTCATATTGTTCGATAAAAACTTTCTTCAGAAATGGAATCAGTTTTACATAACAATTGTTTCTAGTTCAACATACCGGTTTTACTTTCAGGTAGAAGAAATATATCGAAAAAAATTGCGGTCAGTCGCCCAACCGAAGTATTTCTAAAACATAACATTTTTTTTTAATTTTTAGAACTATTACGATTTACCCGGAAGGACAATTTTTGATATCCATTGTTTAAAAATCAAGGGCAATTTTTTTCTTTTAAAAGGCGAAATGTAACCTTAAATGTGTAACGAGTAAGCAAATGTCTATTTCGTGACAAAAAGAAGATCCTGTTTAGCCACAAAAATAAACTTCCCTCACACCATCAATAAGTGTTTTTATGTCTTTAAACATGACACATCCATTAGATTTTAACACAACCCAGATTGAAATAAGAGTGTACCTACAGTAAGGAATTAGATTTATAAATTGAACATATAAATGCAAGGCATGGTCTTTTTTTAATAGAGATCGTTGATTTTTTTTACTTTTTATTTTTTGCAGCCTATATTTCATTACTTGAATATTCGTTTGCTTTTTATTATCATTGGATGATTACTGTAATTTATAACCATAAAAACCTTTCAATAGTAAGTGTTAGTTTTCATCATTTCCCTGTATATTTATAGACAAAGATATAGAAATTTATTTACATTCATTTAAATGAATTTCTGGATATTTTGTTTTAAAGCGTAAAAATGGAGTTTTTTATTTTTTGAATATTCGTCTGCTCTTTTTTAATCGTTTGACGATTAATTTATAGCCATAAAAATCATTTCATGCATATTAAATTTGTGTATATTAAATGCATGTATTATATACAAGGAATTGTTATTTACCAAAAAAAAAAAAAAACAATATGAGATGTTTTATGAGATTTATGCATGCAAAAGTATTTTAATTTTATACACAAGCTCGATACTTTTGTTACAATTTCCACTTAAAAGACAAATAAAAAAACAAAGGAACAAATTTTTTCATTGATGATATTTAGCTTTTTTAACCATTAAACAATTATTCTTATTTGTTATAAAAAATATTTTTAATCGCTGAAAGATCATTGTCTCTGTGTTTTGGAACAAATGTTTCGTTTGTCAAAAAGATAACTTTTGGTAACTCAATTATTTTATCGTTAGCATTTTCTTTAACTCATCAAGGCATTTACACCCCTGGAAATATTGAAATAATATAAAAATCTACAACTGGATTTGCTTCGCTGTTTAATTTTTAAACCGATTTTGTAGCTAAATCAAGTTAATTTAATGACAAATATTATGTTCATTTTTTTATAAACGTTCAATACTGATTAAGAAATAAATTAAAAACACTTTTATTAACGCTTAAGCTTTTTCTCTACAATATCATATTTGTGTCGCTATTGCGCGTTGCCAACAATCAAATCACATGTTACACGCTTGCACACGAATATAGTTGGATCTAGGCATCTAACTTACTATGTATATTGAATATATTACATATATTATATTCACATTTTCCTGTATATAGATTGAGCAGTTTTATTCTTAGTTCTTTCAGTTACAAATAGAATTCAGAGTAAAATTAATAGTTTCCAAGACAACTTAAGAATTGATTTTTGGAATAAATGTTTAATAAGGAATGATAGGGTGGCTGACCCGCTAATGTAAAACAGAACCTGAAGGAATTAGTTTTACTCATTAAAATCCATTTGCTGATTTTTTCATTGTTCAGTAATTACAATGTAATTATTCATCTTAAAATAGACTGAAACTTTTCTGCTGAACTTATAGGCTGTATATTGCGCAGAACAATTGTATTTGGTAAGATATTTTATTTTTATAAACTAATATGCATGTTAACAAATAACAAAATGACATCGAATATATATAGAAATTGCGGAAAAAAGTTAGTAAATTTAAATATTACATGTTTCCCATCTTCTTTTTTTCAAAAAAAAAAGTAAGAGATCTATAAATAATAAAAAACACACACACATAACACTTTTCCTACACTGTAAGAAAATGCAGATCAAATTAAGGTAAAAAGTACCGACTGTCAGGGAGCGGATGCTTTTTCAGAAAAATCTAATTTTAACGAAACAGATTACGGAACAAAGAAAACACAGCTATTTTTATGGTAATTTCGGTAAAATGCTGAATCATTCTAATTAAATAAATATTACTGTAAAAATTACGGTTTAATATTTTACGGTAAAAATGTATTTTTAGATAAAATGAATTTTACGGATGATGCACGCAAAGTGCTTTTACTCTATACCGATAATTTGATACGAAATTTTTTAGAATACTGTTTTACAGGGTGTTAGCATAAAAAAATTTAAATTAAAAAAATAATTAGTAGTTATGTATTTATTTTGCTATGGAATTTAGCGACCCTCATCAGAAGATTCACTTCCCTAAATTGGGACTAGATCCATAAATGGGAGATCCTTACTTTTCAATCTCCACTCACAAGCTTTTATTTCAGGATTCTCTCCAATATAGCTTACTAAGATCCTTTTTTCATTTTTTTGTCAACGAAAAGAACGAGTTTATGTTATGATCCACCTTCACGAAAATCATTAACTTCCCCCACGACCCGGAAGAAATTCTATTAAAGTAATGACAAGTAATCCTTTGCCTTAAAACACCCTCATTACCAATGTCCTTTGTCTGCGGAGGTTTAACATTTGTCCTTGGACTGATTACTAATTTTCTGATTCCTCCGCACCACCGTTTTGTTTGATGACCAATCAGTTGATGATATCAAATGAAACAATGGCGGCATGGAACAGTCGTAAAGAATTTTGAAACATTAAGTTAGAAATTGATGACCTGTTAAACTTTGTTTTGAGAATAACTGTCCTCACCTGTAGTTGATAAACGAGAGCACCGGGTGGTAGAGATTCGCCGATATAAGCTTCATATGGAGCGCCGATAAATTCTGGAGCATTGTTGTTGATGTCCTTGATGTTTACGTTGACAACTGCGACCGATGATCTGTGGAGGAAGATAGGAAATATGATAAGTTTTGATTACCTTTATGACATTTCAGAAAAAAAAATTCGATATGAATACTGACAAAGAAAAATTGAATTCTTGCATATGAACCAAACTGTTATTTTCTAGTATTCTTTCTAGTTTGGAAATAATAAAAAATGAAGGAAAGCAATTGTTTCGTTTAAATTAAAATAGTCAGTAGCTTAATTATTTAGTTAGTTTAGTTTTATAGTTACAACGTTAAAAAGTATCTGGTATAGTATATTTAAAAAAAAACTAAAAACTTAGCTTGGCGAAAAAAATCCACATAAGAAAGCAATGGTCATGAAGCAATGCCATTTTTTTAAAATTTCAAATTGTTATAATAATTCTTTTATTTTCTGGTGTAGCTGAAAATATTATGCATTCATTAACAATTTTTCACGCAAAATAGTTATAACTAAATATCATAATAATTATACTACAATTTTTCATACTTCGTTTTTGCAATTAGTATTTTAAAAAAATTAAAAACATAAGACATAACGTAAGATAACAACGCAATGAACATAACAGGAGAAGGCAATGGTCATGAAGCAATGTCATTTTTTTATTCTTCAAATTGTTATAATAATTATTTTTTTGTGTGTGTAGCTGAAAATATTATGCATTCATTAACAATTTTTAATAATTTTTAATTAACAATTTTTAATTATATTATAAATTTTTCATACTTCCCCCATTCATTTCCCCATTTCATTTTTGCAATTAGAATTTAAAAAAATAAAAAAATTCTAAAATTAGAAAAAGAATCTCGTTCTTTTATGTTTAAGGATTTCTGTTAGCTCGATCAGATTTTAAAATAATTTATTGAAGAGTTTGATTTAAATGAATGTTTATAATTTTATCACAATTTCTGGTTTCAATAGAAACATTTATTTTATTTTTAATACAACACTTAAAATCATAAGACACAATAGAATAATAATAAATATTTTTAAAATTCAATTCGATATATTTTTAAAATTCAAAATATTTATTTAAAAATAATTTTATTTTCCCAGAAAAAATGCATTGTTACTTGAATTTCATTAATTATATGTTTAGAAGCAAAATTCTCATTTTCAAAATTAACTAAAGTTTAAGATTGTTTTTTAAGTCTTATATATCATTTCGCCATAAAAGCACGAGAATTTTTTTTTAAAAAATAGGAGCAAATTTTTTAATAATTGACGAAATATTTTTTTTCCTTCGTGTGTCATCTCAGGTTATTTCTTAAGCCACCAAACTTTTTTTTGTCTGATTATAAAACATTTTGCACAGATAGACAGAATGGTTCAAGAGTAAGTGGAATCCTTTTCAAGCATTTTTTATAGGTTCAATTCATAAATGACTGAAATAAGGATTGAGCACTCATTTACTCGAAATCCTTTCTTATTGAAATCCTTCGAATTCCTTTTTTAAATATATATATATAATTACTGCATTAGAACTAAAGTTTATCTCGAAACTCATATTTCGAAACAAGTAAAGACAGTAATTTCTTAATTTTGATGAAATGTTCACTCGGTGCAAATCTTAATAAACTTCTGCATGAACAACGTAGAAATTTTCATAAGTTTTCAAAATCGTCCCTTTTTTTTGCAGAAGCAATAAGCATTAAAATCAGTACCGTCTTTACTCATGGACACACCCGAAGAGTGACCGGGGGTCCCGGGCACTATTGGGGTTCTTGAGAATCTCACTTTTTACAAATTGTATTTAAAAGAAAAACTAAGAATAAACAAAATTGCCTTATATATTTTTTTAAATAAATATTTTTTTCAATAAATTTAGTTAAATAATTATTAATATCAAAAATTAATATATACATCTTTTTTTTAAATAAATATATTCTATTGTATAAAATGTGCATTTTGTTTTTCTTTCTACAAATAGTGATTGATGGTATGCAAACAACAATATTTTGAATAATTTATAACTATGAAAACTTAAATGGCAACCGAAATCTCTTTTTCTACGTTCCAATGAAGTTTTTATGCGCATTGCGTTTTTTGGGGCAATTAAAATGTGTTTAAATTTGTTTAAATTATTGCACATCTTAAAAATGCTTTATTTTATGAATGTGAAGTTTTTTAATTCTATTTTAAACAGCATGGCATGTTATAAGGGCCCAAAAAATTTATATTCCCGCACACTATTAAGACTGTCCTGATTAACACGCATCCTGTTTCTCCTATTATTAAACTTTAACGAATCTATACAAAAAAGCGTGCTATGAAAGTTTAAATGCTTTTTCAGAAAATTTATTATTTGATTATTTACACAAATTATACACAAACCAATTTAAAAAATAGGAGCTATTTCAATATCCAAACCAGGAAACACTTCCTACAAAATCCCCCAAAGCCCTAGGGTAAGTTTTATTCACTTAATTTAAACGTCTACTATCATCAAATTACCCTTCTTCACACTTCCTAGCAATCAAAACGTAATCTTAAGTGCTAAAGTTCAAAACATTTCACAAACTTCACTTTAACACTATATATCAAAAAAATTGCCAATAACCTCTGAAACGCAGTTATTTTCTACCTGTTCCCTCGGGCCTATTCCATTTTCTCTAAATTCTTTTATTGACAAAGGAATATAACTAGGTTATCTCGGAAATCTCGTAGCCCGGAAAAATAGGTATTGTCCAAATGAGTTACGTTGTTACAGTTATCGACTCATAGACCTTCAACACCAAAGCCTGACCTTCTGAATTACTTAAATTGTCTTCTATAATTGATGGTTTTCAATTAGATTTAAGATTAAAGGAATGGATATAATAAGAATAGAGTCAAAAATAGCACTTTTCGTAATGTTAGCGGTTTAATATTATATCAAAAGTTTTTAATCTGTTGCATGTTTTTAAGTATTCAGTGCATCTGTTTTTAGTGCATAAGTTTCCTTAAATTTGCTTACATCAGCATGCTTAAGTTTGAGTTGCAAAAGTTTCTTTAAATTTGTTCATATCAGCGTGCTTAAGTTTTCAGTGCATCTGTTATCACTGCAAAAGTTTCTTTAAATTTGCATACATCACCATGTCTAAGTTTTCAATGCATGTGTTTTCACTGAATAAGTTTTTCTTTTTTAAATTTGTTTGTATCATCATTCTTAAATTTCCATTGCATCTGTTTTCAGTGCAAAAGATTTTTTTTTAAAAATTCGTTTGCATTAGCATGCTTAAGATTTTAGTGTATCCGTTTTCATTGTATTTTCATTCCTCTGTTTTAAGGGCAAATGAAAGCATTCTTAAAAAATGTAGTTAGTTTCTAATTGTTTTAAAGTAATTGTGTAATTTGTTATGTAATAGATAACATTGCTACGAACATATTTTTTTTCATTAATATTTTTTTTTTAGTTCTTCAAAAATAGTAACAATTATGAGCAGCATAATGCTCTGGAAACAAAACAAAAGCTCTGGAAATTTGTTTATATCTTCATAAATCTCTTCTCAGTGTATGCGTGTGAGTCTATTAATGCATATGATTAAATCCATTTCCAATGCATGCATTTGTTTCCAGTGCAGGATCTTAAAAATTAATAGGCAATTAATTTCTTTATTATTAATTATTTAATTTTTTATGCTTAAAGATAACTATTGTCAGAAGAATAAATAACACTGCTTACAAAATATATGTTTTTTAAAAGTAGTTATTATAATTATATACAATGGCAATTAAAACCAGCAGAAAGAACACTAGAATAAGTAAACAGTAATATTTTTTTCGTTTCTCCTTCTTTCTGTATTAATTCAGTTAATTGTTGAACCTATTGTTAATAATGAATAAAAAGATCAAGCCCTCAAATATTTGATAAGAGAATGAGATAAACAAAAATTAAAAAGAAAAATATTACAATTAACATTATATTTTATCATCATACCATTAATCAACAAATGTAAAAAAAATAATTAATAAATTTTCAGTTATATCAAAAATTAGAAAAGTCAATTTCTAATTACGCTGAAATTAAAAATGTTTCTTTTTTAAATAATTGCTCATAAAAGAGAAAAAAATAGTTTTTCTAACTTTTTTTTATCATACACTGGTTATCATAAATTAAGGAAAATTCACAAAAATCGCGATAACTCAAGAAATTACACATGGAATTTTATGAAACTTACCCACAATATACAACACATAGTAAGGTATTAAACAACATAAAAAGAAATTATCAGACATTAATAGTAGTATAGAAATTAGCACATGTATAAAATAAACAAATTGGAAGTATCGGTTTGCAATAGAAAAAGTACCTTTAATATGGAATATGATTGCCTCTAGAAGCAATACAGCACAAACAGCGATGTGTGATGCTTTCAATTATGCGGTCTATCAGTTCAATAGGAAGTGAGAGCCATTGCTCTTGTAAAGCAGTTGCAAGCGTGGCAAGGGTCTGAGGGGGCGGATTGATGGCAGATACACGCCTCCCTAGAGCATCCCAAACGTGCTCGATAGGATTCAAGTCCGGGGATCGAGCTGGCCACTCCATGCGAGTAATTGTTTCCTGTTGAAGATAATCATCAACAATGCGAGCTCTGTGTGGTCTTGCATTATCGTCCTGTAACAGGAAGCAATCACCAATTGCCCCGGCATATGGGCGCACATAAGCATCAAGGATGTTGTCTCGATAAACCTGAGCATTCACGGTTCCCCTTGGAAAGACATGGAGGTATGTGCGCCCTCCTAAGGATATGCCTCCCCAAACACAGACACTGCCTCTTCCGTATGCATCTCTTTCACGGATGTTTGATGGATGATAACGGGTCCCAGGTTCTCTCCATATCAAATAACGTCTACTGTCACTTTCTAGACTAAACCTGGACTCATCCGTAAAGAGAACAGGCCTCCATTGATCTGACGTCCAGTGGACATGTTGTCGGGCCCACTGCAAACGGTCTCTCCTATGGCGTGATGTGAGCGGCACGCAAATGGCTGGTCGTCTCGCATACAGACCACCTTCGTGGAGCCTTCTGCGCACAGTTGACGTTGACACCAACCTTCCGGTGGCTGCAGCAAGAGAGGATCTAAGATGTGTCGGAGTAGCGGTTCTATTCCTGCGTGCACTTAATGTCAAATATCGGTCATCGGCACTGGTCGTAACAGTTGGCCGTCCTTGACTGAACCTCCTAGATGCCGAATCTGTGGTTTGAAATTGCCTCCAAAGTCTATGAACCACAGATGGACTCACATTTAGCCATCTGGCCACTTCTGATTGACTCTGCCCTGCCTCTAGTCTCCCGATGGCTCTCCATCGTAGTTCTTCAGGCAAATGATGCCTAGAGGTCATTATTACGAATTGGCTATCTCAGATTTTCAATGTCGCAATCACAGTAAAATTTGTGTGCTTTCTCTCAAACTTGGACTTTTATGCTCCAGGCAGATGACGTAAGCCGAGTGCAGCGCCACTAATTTGCATATTGCAATTTTACTCAGCTACTCTTAGTGGACAACATATGCAAATTTTGCACGGTTTGGCTCACTTTTGAAAGAGTTATCGCTATTTTTGTGATTTTTCCTTAATTTATGATAACCAGTGTATAACAAAAAAGCCAAAAAAATTAAGAAGACTCTACACTGTAAAAATTTCTGGAACAAATAATGTTACCAACACTTCGGGTTCACCATCCGTAAAATCCATTTTACCGTAAAATCTATTTTTACCTTAATATATTATACCGTAAAATATTATACTGTAATTTTTACTGTAATATTTGTTAAAGTAGAGTGATTCAGTGATTTCACTACAACTAATAAAGTAAAAATTCAGATATATCAGAAGATATATTTTGTTCCGTATCATGCTCCGTAAAAAATGGTTTTTACTAAAATAAATATCCGTAATTTAATCCAGAATTGTTTACAGTATAAGTTATGCTTATATATAATTGCTTAATATAATATTATATGCTTATATATAAGGCGTGATGAGTTATCAAATAAAAAAAAAATTAAGAATTTATCAAAACCATTTTGTAGCATTGTAGCGTGATAAAAATCAATTCATGTTGTTGTTGTTGACATACTACACTAACTGGTTTCAAAAAAAAAATTTTCTTCAAATTTTAATAGACACGCCTTTAATGAATAGACAGTAAATGAAGAGAAATAACTGCAGTAGAAGTTATGAGTCGTGTTTGTAAGTGGTCATGACTTTTCTTTTCCTAGAGGGACAACCATAAAATACTTTTTTATTGAAAACTCATATCTAAATCGAAACTTTCTCATTACTCATAACAATTTATCATTTCAGAATCCTTTGTTTCAGAATTGTTGCCTTCGAAATAAAAATAATCGTTAACCAAATCGTATCCTTGAAAAACAAAATCAGGTTAATGAGCTTCAAATAGTGCCAGTAGGGATTTTCTTTAACTTGTAACTGCTTCATATTGCTTTACATATTATAACTTATAACGAAATTGAATTTAAAAAAAATGTTGTTTTAAAAATGAAAGCAAATATTGAATATTTGTACTCTCAGATTTAACAACAACGTGTGTGTGAACTTTATTATATATGGTTACTTTTATTTTTTTGTCTGATTCTTTAAGGATATGCTTTATTATGCATTGGAAAAAAATATGGTTCAGATTATCAGAATATGGTTAAATTTATCGTGTTTCCGGCTTAATGGGAACTCCAAGAAGCTCAGTCTTATTTTAAAAAATATAGAACTTTTGATTTTTTTTTTAATTGAGTAACAAGATTTTAAAGTCTACTAATATGGCATTAACTGGTAGAAATGTTTATATTTAATTTTCATTTTCATAAAATGACACACAATAATGGTCACTTTTCCTAAATAAGCAGAATTCAATAAACACATTTCATAAAATGAAGTAAAAGATGGGATTTTTTTTAACTTTTCGTGGTGTAACATTCAAGTCTCTATGCATAAAAAATTACTGATTAAAATAGTGACACTTACCCTTAAATTATAATGAAATCTTCAAAAAACACGAATTAGAAAAGAAATTTTTAAACTAGAATTAAACTTACCTTCGCTCAGATTCAATTCTCGCCAAATCAGAAGCTTGTACAAAAAAAGTATAGCGAGCTGGTTTTTCTCGAATATTCTTAAATGACTCCATGATGTAAATAGAACCATTTTCAGGATGGACATCAAATGGAACTGTTTGGCTGAGGCTATCGTTCTGACGTCTGTACCGCACAACACCATTCACATCCAAATCAGGATCCAATGCAATTACCTGTACAAATATTTTGAATTTATTAAGTTGATTTCATTTTTATCCTATCCAAAAGGATGAAAAGCCTGAGATTTGGGTTGGCTGCACAACGCCGATAATAATATTTTAAAAAAAATTATTTGATTTTCAAAAAAATATGAACAATAATTTAAATAAATATTTACACGATACAATAAAAGTCACTGTGGTTCAGGGGATAAAGCTTTCGCCTCCTAATGAGGTGGCCCAGGTTCAAACTCCAGTGGTAGCTGGTTGATACGAACTCTGCTCCCGGTTCGCATCTACCACAGTGCTAATGTAAAATGTCTTTAGTGGTAGACGGATCATCGGTTAGAATCCACTTGCAGTTGTTGGAAGGTTTTAGACGTTTTTCTCTCCATGCAATGCGAAAGCAGGTTCTCATTAGTTCCGCAGCGCAGTTTGTCACAATACTCGATCCAGGAGCTCACTTGTCTTCTTGGTTGGGCCATGGAGTTGAACATTGAAAGTCATAAACTCAGAATCACGATGACCGGTTATTAAATAAAATAAAACTATACAATATAAAAGTATTTTAGGGTTTATTTTATTGGATCTCTGATCTGGAATCTATCAAAAGATTATTTTTCATTAAATTAATATGGTGGTCATAATTCCAAAGTATTTACCCTAATGCTTTTCCACATTTTTCTTATTAAATTTTTTTCTAAATGTTCTATATTTTTATTTTTAAAAGATGTATAGTATTTATACTTGTAAATATGCATGGCAGATACAATAAATTTATAATTTTGAGCATAGCTCAAGGCATTCTTACCCATATATTGTAATTGTTGTTTTCATATTAACAGGACTATATTCATACAAAAGTATCTGCGTAATAAATAATTTTCGAAAATTCTTACCACGTTGAAACTAACGGACATTAGACTCAAACTAAAGAATTATCTATCAGTGGACATACTTTATATACGAGGTTGAAAGATTTCAAAGATCTACTTTTAAAAAAGAAATGTTTGAAAAGAAAACGTTCATAAGAGAAACCCATATTAGCGAACTGACGTAAAGTTTGCGCAATAAAGAAACATAAATAATACAAACGGGATCATTCTTTTTTAGTTTAAAATGATTAGTTAGGATTTTTTTTTTAAGTTTCTTTCCCCAATGGCCTCCTGGGGAATGACCTTTCGTGATACAGGCACCTGAAGGCAGATTTGTTGGCCACTCTTTCAGGGGCACCATATTAGGTGGACCAACGTTACTCCCACAGTAAAGACAGATAGTACGGAGAATGAAAGAACATTTATGCCTTGTCCAGGATTCGAACCCAAAGCCTTTCTAATGCAAGGCTAGTTCCCTGAAGCACAACCGCATGGCCTTTTTTTAAAGTTTACTTTATTTTTGTATTAAATCTGCAACGTCAACACTTGTTATGTTATACTGGGATTATAATATATTAGCTTATTTAAAATTAAGCTTATCCTATTTGATATTTGCTTCTAAGAACTAAAATAAATGCATCCTGAGAAATTAATTACTATGTGAAAATAATTTTCTAAGATGATACTTACTTGTCCTACAATTGAAAAAGGAGCATCAACTTCGGTTGCACTGAACATGTAGACACTGCTAGGAACAAATTGAGGGTTATTGTCATTCGCATCCAGAAGATGTACTTCAACAATAGCTGGAGTAGGTTTGGCATTTGGATTAACATTTGGCTTTTTTTCTTTGGCAAACACTTTCATCCGTATGACATCTTTGGTTTCTCTATCAAGCTTGCTGGGATCCTTGACGCTGATGGATCCACCCGATGGATCAATAGAAAAAGCTCCTGATTCATCTTCCAGTTCATATCTGAACTCAGCGTTATCACCCTGAAATAAAAAATGAAAGCTAAAATTAAACAAATTTCTTACATGGAGCAACATAGTTTTCTTATAAAATTATTTAACAAATGTGAGAACGCCAAGATCACTTAGTACATGATTTCATCGAAAGTTCATGATTTTTTTCAAGCGATTTTATTTTTACTCAGTGTTATTTTCTAGGTGTGGAAATACCTTCATGAAAACTGGACTGATGAATATAAATTAGCATCAATAAAAATGACCTCTAATTATGTGTAAAAACAAATTTAATAATTATGAATGATGGAACTATTTTAAATAAATAAACAATTATGTATTTTGTTTAAGTTTGCATTTAATTTTATATCATAAAAATTAATTAGCTTTAAAAAATGAGAAGAGGATATTGTAAGCTTGATATGCTTAATGTTTTCAAAAATAACTTTCTTTTCCTAATTTAAATTTCAACTCTGAAAATAAACAATTGATAGTATCGTTTCAGTGCAAGTTGACTGCAACACAAGGATGTAGATCTCTTTCAGACATCGTCAAAAAGAATTTTCTAAATAAGAGCCGCAAATATTTTAAATACATTTAAATCTACTTTGTTTGCTCAATATTTTTTTAAAACTTTTCGTGTTTCCTCATTTGACCTTTTCCGTATTTCGTGGGGAGATTTTCCTGTTCGCTGGGAGAGGTTCTGATGGTCTCTCCTTAAGGTTTTCTTCAACACAAAGTCTATGGAAAAAATTCCGTACCTCCTAAAAGTGGTTGTAAACAGAGGAGGTTGCTATACAGAGGTGGTCTTTGTTGGAGGTGTCACTGTATATGAGTTTCTCGAATTAATAACAACTTACAAACCTGCCAACTTCTATATCTTTTGATCGGAGATTTTTCTCAAATAATTATGCAATTTTTGTTATTTGCATTTAAATTGAAATTATATTGACTACCAAGCACAATATCTACCAGAATATATTACGGAACAAAAAATCTTAAGTATCATAATTTTTAAATTAATGATTACCGTGTAATCAGTAAATCACTCTCATTAAATGAATATTACGGTAAATATTATGGTATAATATTTTACGGTAAAAATTGATTTCACGAATGATACACGAAAAGGGCCGTTACTTCATACCGTAATTTAATTCAGAATTTTTTTTATAGTGTAGCATAAAAAAGGCCTAATAAGTATGATTTAATATTTTAAAGTGCTAGGGAAAATTTGAATACGTTTACGTAACTAATTGTAATTTCATCACCAGCAAAAATGTTGAGAGGTACTATTATTATAATCTTCGCTATACCTTTCGGGTTGCCAACTCTAAGGTTAACAAATTTCCCGAAAATCATTTAAGGACCTTACCAAGATGACTTACAAGGGAAACTAGGGAAGTGTGACTCGCCAATTTTGAAATAAACTAGTGGGATGTATGCCTTATGAGGAATAATTTTAGGGGGCAACATTCGTTTCGGCCCATAGAAGGTCCTATGAGAGATAAAAAATAATTCGATATGTAGAAAAATCGGTATTTTATTACTTCGATGCAGACTATTAGTTATTGTAATTGTCTCATACTCCAATTAATTTTGTGGTACTTTCACGTTCTATATAATGCATATTTATTGTCAAAATTGATTTCGAAAATTTTATATATCTGTAATTTTTTAGAAAAACTTGTTAGGTTAATTTTAAAAAAAAAATTGACATCAATTTTTTTTAATTATTTTTTCTCAAAAAACTTTCTAAATTAATTGGAGTGCGTAATTGCAAATCAATTAATTAATTGAAATTAATTAACAATTAATTAATAATTAATTACTTTTCTGATTAATTTATTACTCAGCAAATTAATTAATTATCCAAATAATTACAAATTAATTGGATTATAAGACAATTACAATAACTAATAGTCTGCATTGAAGTAATAAAATACCGATTTTTCTTTATATTGAATAATATTTTATCTCTCATAGGACCTTCTATGGGCCGAAACGAATGTTGCCCCCTAAAATTATTCCTCATAAGGCATACATCCCACTAGTTTATTTCAAAATTGGCGAGTCACACTTCCCTAGTTTCCCTTGTTAGTAGCTTTTTTAAATGTTTGGCTTAAGAGTATATTTAAAATTGATTATCAGTATATGAGTTTCCCGAATTAATAGCAAAACAATAAATAACGAACTACATAGTAGAGTATTAAACGAATGTTTAATATAGAAAATTTAAATTTTTAATTAAGTGAAACTAAAGCTAATTTTATTAGCAGTAGCAGTTGCACCGATCTTTGAACCAGAAAGTAGCATTTGTGTCTCTTATTTTATTCGGCAAAATGCTGAGTTTTATGAATTTAATATCTAATGTAAGAAGATTTAACATGATTTAAATATGATTTTACTTTTTTGCTGCTTTTGTTGTTTGGTAAGTATTCCGTAATATTTATCAAATATTCACTAAGGTCATGAACCTAATTTAGTCTTGCTAGACTTCTGAGATGTGCGATAACAACAAAATATGTTCAATAAATTTTGAACAATAATACCATAGAAGAATATAGAACTTAAAATTTCATGTTACACCGCATTAAAAAACATAATGTATATGTTTTTGGAATACAATTTTGGATTTTAGATACTTATAATATACATGCTTCAATTGCATTTTCAAGCTATGATTGAATTTATTAATATAATGCCCTTGATATGAAATACGTTTTAATACTCTCTGACTGTAGCCTACATTTTTAGATATAATACAGAATCGTTTGAACGCATTTAAGCTTTATTGCTGAACAGAAACTTACCGAATCTTCATCAAAAGCGGATACTTGGACAACAGTGAAACCAGGGGGTAAATTTTCCATAACTGTTATATTATACATTTCATATTCAAATTCTGGGACGTTGTCATTCACATCTAAAACTTGAACGTCGACTTTCGCCATTGCTGATCTCAAACTGTTATCTGTTTGGGTTGCCTGAAAAAAATCAAATTTCATGTTTAATATAGGACGAATTTACGTATAAAATAGTGTAAGCAATTTCTTTTTTCAGCATCGCATATTTTAAAATGCATTATATAATTCCATATTTTTATTATTATTTAAAAGCTCCTGTTAATTTTAAAATTAGTCTTTAAGTACTTATAAGCCTTTAAGTGCGTACGTTTAGTACGTATAATTTGTTTTTAAATACGTACATATATAGTTCTTAATGCGTTAGAAGTTGAATATTTAATCTCGAGATGCGATTGATACTATTTTTCTGAATAGTTAAATATGACCAAAATAGGTTTTTAGGTTTCGAAATTAAAGTATAATGTTATTTATATTTTCAATATAAATTCAAAATACTTTATTGTTTTAAAACTTTCTTAAAATTGCTGTGCAACGTTAAAGTAGACTTCGTAGATGTTTTTACATGAAGGGATGTGTTAAATTTAAGAAAACAAAATTTACTGAAATAGTATAGAGTCTACTCGTATATAATATAGAGTCTACTCATATTTCAGTGCAAATATGAATAGACTGAAAGCTGTTGTGATGTATAATGCGTGTAAGCAATGAAAAGTAAAATTTATAAGTGCATTGCAATTGTTAAATTACAATAGTTATAAAAACGATTACATTAACATTATAATTTGTAATATTTTTCTCACATCAATTCTGTGATTTCCATTTTTTTTATGTGGTCAAAATGCTAGATTGACCACCTACTCATGTATTGTTTTTCAAATTAACATTTTTCGTTAAATATTTATTATTGTTTAAAATGTAACAAGAATAGATGACGAAATTCATAATACAAATATAAAAATAAACATAAAAAATACAAAAATAAATGAAAATAATAATAATAATAATAATTTTGTAAATGTAAGCGTAGAATTGAAAAGCCAGGGTCCAATTTAATCAAATATTTTCTTTAACAAAATCAAATAAAATTTCGATGATAATATATTTTTACTACAGTCATTAATTATATTTTAATATTTCGGATGTCTAATTGATCTGCACTTAAATAATTTGGGAAGGGCTAGACTAACTACTTCAGTCTTTCAATTTATACAACATTCAGTCTAGTGTAAAATTCATATATATTATTCAGAAAGGTAAACCGAGTCTATTTGTTTGACATGATCTAAAATAAAATTAATTTTATTTTTTGCACACTTTTCACAACTCATCTCCATGTGTTGGTTTTAATCTTTAACTTTTAAAGATTATTTTTTAATAAACTAAGACCCGGAAAGAGACTTTCCGAGTTAGTTCTTTTTGTACATCAGTATTAGAAACGCTATATCAAGTATACAAAAGCAGATTTTCCAATATTTTAACACTAAAAGATAAAAATTTTTAGAAATTATAAAAAGATACTAGATTTGGTTACAAAAGTAAAAATTCAATAATTTAAAATTTAAATGAACAATAACATACTAAGCCATAAAATCATTTATTAAAACTGATTTTGTTTATTAATAAATTATCCAACGAATTAAGAAGTCACACAGAGATGGAATATTAGCTGCAACAGTTATTTTTTAATAATTTTAGATAAAAGCATCTATTTAACTTAATATTGTGATCACAATGGGTTTTTTCAGAACAAAAAGTCGGGGTTCGGCACCAACTTGTCTAGACATATGATGTGCGGAAAATAAAAACTATTTAGGCAGATACAACGAAAAAAACAACCGAGGCTCTCAAAATGAAAGCATCATTTTATGGCATATTTAATAACACTTTCTGAAAGTACTATAAGAAATTAAATGACAGCATGTCGTGAGTTATGATGTATTATTTGGCCCATCAAATGAAACATTTGACGTAACAAGAAAAGAAGTAATTAGAATTAGTAATTTTTTATTGTATTAAATGTCGTTTTTATTAATTGTATGTATTATAGCGTTGCTATTTTGGTTAAACGAACTAAGTCAGAGAAATCTTTGACTCTAAAGTACAAGAAATATTGTTTAAAGTAATAGTGGAAGTAAATCAAGCAAATTGCTCTTTATTAATTACTCTACTAAATTGCTCTTGCTCTTTACTGACATTGACAAATAATCTTGACAAATGCTTTAACTGCAAATTCTTCTTTACTAAATTGACCATTTTTACATAAAAAGTAGTTTGCAAAAAAGAAAGTGTATCCTAGTGTTTTGTTATATGCCTCAATTGGCAAAATATACAATGACAAATTTTTTTAAAAATTTCAAAAAATTACCAATAGTATTAAGCACTGATATTGATTTAAAAATAGAGTTTTCACTGGGTATTTCTGCTTTTGTTATTTTTAATGAGAAGGACTGTTAGGTACCTGAATAACTTAGAGTTTTAAATTCGATTGACAAACGAGATTTTTATTCCATTTTATATTAGAACATTCATTATGTTATGCAATTTTTTTTCTTAAATTTTTGACACATTAAAATTTCGTATTTATTAATTATTAACTTTTCATCATTTTCTGGTGTTTTCTTATTATTTGGAGTTAAGTATTATCGCTCCAATGTTTGGAGTATCTTCTTTGAATTAATTTTTAAAAAAATATTTTTATGTTCTCATAGATATTAAAAGCTTAACCAATTGATTAACCAGCTGACCGATCGATTTTCTTTTAATTGCATACCGAATTTTGCATTTTTATTTTAATTGCATACCGAAACAGATTATATGAATCAAGGCAACATAATTCATATTATGAAGCTATAAATAAAAAAAGAAACTGTATGTTAAAGGAAATATCTCAATTCTATTTATATCGCTATTCAAAAAATTATATATTATTAATTTATTTTAAACCATTTAATCCCGGTGTTGGACTACAATAGTATAATTTCTACAAAAAATATTAAAAAACTTTAGTGATGCTATTTAGCTAACATTTACGACAGATTCATATTAGTAATGTTTAAAATGCTCATTGTAGTGTTAAAAAACCAAGAGCGAAAAGAAAAACTTGCAAACACTAATTGTACCTAATTCTTTTTTAATCTAAAACTGACCTTCTAATCATTAAAAAAAATAATTTTCGTTCAACACCTGTTTTCAGTTACGCTTTCAGGCGTTCAAACTATTCACAACAATAACGCCCAGTTTAAATATTGGGACTCAGATTTCACGCTGGATTAGATTTTCTCTATCATTTAACAAAGCTAAAGTACTTTTATTGAGTTAATATGATATCAAGGCAGTAAAGCGTGAAACTGTAACAGAAGAACTACAAAAAACCACTTTCTAGTTCAATAATCACCAGGTACGGTTAAAGTTACAAACTAAACCTTGTGAGAAAGAATAAATTAAGCTAACTAAAAAACAAATTAAAATGAATTGCAGCTAATATGCTGACTAAATCGCAAAATAGAATCCGCATGTTTTTTTAACAATGGTTTAAAAAGGAGAAATAAAAACAATAAAGAATGAATATATCTAAAAGAAAGTATGTCAGTCCAGCATAACTCAAGGTGATCCAGCGTTTACTTTCTCACGTGTTGTTAGTGGAGGAGTTGGAATGTTCAGAAAGTGATGGCCGCCCTGTTTTACTAGAATATCTAGCCATTACGTCAGTATCATACGTTCAGGAGGTCAAGCGTTCAAAATGGCGATATTTCTTTTGTTCTATACTGCATGTTGCAAAGCTCATCTTCGTATCTCTTAAAGATGATTATGAACACTTGACATAAATGCCTCATTTGTCATTTTAGGAACAACTGTTTTTGCGCGGATAATGATATAAACAAGTGTGAGCCAATAAATTATGACTGACAATTATTATTTATTCTAAACAAGAGTTATGACTACCTCGTTAAATGGTGTTTTGAAATTAAATCCTTAAACAGATTTTTCACTTGTTTTTATTAAAATCAAAGTAGATAAAACGTTAGTTTAGTTTTTTCTTATATGATTTTAAATATTGTAAGCATTGTCTTATCTTTATGTATCTTAAACATGATTTTAACGCTAGATATAAATGCCTTATTTGACATTTTAGGAACGACTGTTTTAGCACGGATAATGATTTAAACAAGTGTGAGCCAATAAATTATGAATGACAATTATAATTTATTCTAACTACATCACTAAATTTACTTCTGACTACATCACTAAATGGTGTTTTTAAAGTAAAATCTTAAGCCATTTGCATTTTTTAAAATCTAAGGCGTTAAAAATGTTCAATTAATTTATTTTATTTGAATTGTTTTGTACGGCATATTGCTAAGCTCTTCCTCACATCTTTTAGAGATGATTATGAACACTTGTCATAAATGTCTTGTTTGTCATTTCAAGAAAAAATGTTTTTGCTCGGATAATGTTACATATGAACAAGTTTGAGCCGTTAAATCATGACTTATAATTATCATTTATCATAAACAAGATTTGTGGCTGTATCGATCTATGATGTTTTAACATTTAAACCCTAAAATAATGTATTCTTTTCGTTTTTTAAAATCTAAGTAGTTGAAGTTTCGTTTAAGTAGTTGAATCAATTTTGTCCAATAAACTGCTCTTCGAGATTACGAATGCCTGACATTGTTATCACTTTCTCATTTGAAAGCAGCTGTTTTTGTGAAAATAATGTCATAAACTAACGCAAGCAAATAAATTATATATAAAAAATGCCTTTACAATTATAACAATACAATTATTATTTATCATAAACAAGATTTGTGGCTGTATCGATCTATGGTGTTTTAACATTTAAACCTTAAAAAAATTACTTTTCGTTTTTTAAAATCTAAGTAATTGAAATTTCGTTTAAGTAGTTAAATCAATTTCGTCCAATAAACTGCTTGCTATCTCTTCGAGATTACGAATGCCTAACATTATTAACACTTTCTCATTTGAAAGCAGCTGTTTTTGTGGAAATAATGTCATAAACTAGCGTAAGCAAATAAATTATATATGAAAAATCATTATTTACAATAAACAAGATTTGTAGCTGCATTAACATTTTTAGTTGGTTATAATTATTCTATGTT